AATGAGTAATGATACTGAACATTTTCTGAAATGACCATAACTTTGATTAGGAAACTATTTAATGAAATATGTTGCAAACAAAATGCGTGAAGTCACATAAAAAATTAACTCAGTTTCAGAGGCGGGTAACCTCTGTGACGGTGACCTCATTTTTGCATGATCATTCTCTCTTTTATCATGGACATACATAAGGGCATTTAAGCTAACAATTGTTGGTTACGTAAATATTATATTTTTCAGTATTTTACCATGACACGATTAGTATATACTATAGGTTTACAGATAAATACACCTTCTATTATCACGTGCTCATAAATCTAGATGTGTTACACTTAAACTCGAAATTATAACAAGTAATGAGGTTTTCCAAAGCATTACATTACTACAGGTTTCCCACTATTTATATTCCAATTCCTATTTAAGATTTAAGTTGGTTTAAATAGGTGATTTTATAACGGAAATACCCTAACAAATACACTCATTTTAATTTTACGAAATACTTTAAATATATGAGCCGCGTCACGACAAAACCAACATAGTGGGTTTGCGACCAGCATGTATCCAGACTAGCCTGCGCATCCGCGCAGTCTGATCAGGATTCATGCTGTTCGCTTTCTGTTTCTCTACTTCTATCTTCTACTTCTATGTTGATCTCGTCTGTAAATCCGCTGTGCAGACATCAGCGACGAGTGGTGATGTGAAATGTGCTCCATAAAAAACGTGGGCTAAAAACCTGTCCCCCATGTGCGGCACCAGGCGTTCGAGTTAAAATAATGTGAAAACGTAGTGTGAAGTAAAATCCAACATGTTTGTACACTATACACGATTTTAATAATTTACACATATACGTATGACTGGACAGCAGTTTTAAAACTGTCCAGATTGTCCACAGTTGTGATGTTAGTTGGTAAGTTGTTCCAATAAGGTACAGTTCTTGGAAAGAATGAATGTTTGTACGCATTAAGTCTGCAGTGATAAGTGACGAACTTTACCGAGTTTGTGTATCTTGTAGATAGTTGTGGGTGGTATTCAACTGGTACAGCCACCAGGTTATTAAATACTTTATACATAAGAATTAAGTCCGCGCACTGACGACGTTGTTCAAGTGTTGGCCATTTTAGGTCGTGTAGCATTGATGTTACGCTAGATGGATTGTTACGATTGAATGGTTTATTCATGACGAATCTTGCCCCGTTCCGTTGTATTTGTTCAAGTTTCTTTGATGTATTAAGTTGTTGGGGATTCCAAATTGGTGACGCATATTCCAGTTTAGGTCGAACCAAAGTTTGATAAGCTCTTTCCTTTACTGTGGTCGGGCAATGTTTTAAGTTCCGTTTGATGAAACCAAGAGTACTAGAAGCTTTTGCTGTAATTGAATCGATGTGTAGGTTATATTTCATAGTATCTGCTAGTTCAACTCCCAGATATGGATGTTTTTTAACAACATGAAGTGATTGATTTTTCATTTTGTAGTCAAATACAGATTTGTTACGTTTATTTGTAATTGACATGGTTGCACATTTATCGACGTTAAATTCCATTTGCCAGATATTACTCCAATCAACTAAAGTGTCCAGGTCTTTTTGTAAAATATTATGATCTTCACTGGTGAGTATGGGTCTATAAATTACACAATCGTCAGCAAATAGGCGAATTGATGACTTAATATCCGAGGCGATGTCGTTAATATATAGTAAAAACAATGCAGGACCAAGCACGGTTCCCTGGGGCACGCCAGATGTTACCAGTGACGGTCTTGATGATTCTCCGTCTACTACTTCTCGTTGATAACGACCGTTAAGGAATTCATTAATCCATAAGTTGGTTTCATTACATATACCATAATATTGCATTTTCACAGAGAGACGCTGATGTGACACTTTATCGAAAGCCTTAGAAAAGTCAAGCACCGCCATATCAACCCGGTGACCAAGATTAACACTACGAGCAATGTCATCTGTAGTTAATAGAAGTTGAGATTCACACGAGCGTTTAGCCCTGAACCCATGTTGGTTTTCATGAAAAATGTTCTGGCTGTCTAAATGGTTCATTACTTGCGAAACTATTATATGTTCAATCATTTTAGAAACAACTGCGGTTAAACTTACAGGGCGGTAGTTCGATGGTTTGGTTCTGTCGCCTTTTTTGAAAATTGGTACAATGTTAGCGTTTTTCCAGTCCAATGGTACTTCAGATTTATCAATTGACTGTTGGAATAAAGACCGTATAATTGGTGCTATTTCAGTTACACATTCTTTCAAGACTATGATAGGTATTTTATCTGGCCCAGAAGATTTCTTGGGATTAAGTCTGTTAATACACTTAACAACGCCATTTAATGTAACGTTTATCTTGGGCATCGAGCGGTATGGCGAAGTTCCTTTATTTGGTAGATTGTCCAAAGATTCTTTCGTAAATACTGAACAAAATTGGTTGTTAAGCATTTCTGCCTTATGACTAGCGGATTCGGCGATTTGACCGTTGTTTTTCAATGTTCCAATGTTCACGCTGTCTTGTTTACGAGACTTTATATATTTCCAAAAGGATTTCGAAGATTTATCGTTTTCTGGATCTAGAAGATTACTAATGTAATTGTAGTAGGAAGTATGTAATTTATTCCTTACAGTTTCGCGAAGAAGGTCACTAAATTTTTTTATAGTCACTTGCGTTATTACTTTTTCTTGCAATGTTATATAAGTAGCGTTTTTTCTTAATAAGCCGTTTGATATTCTTTGATAACCACGGTATGTCCGATTTCCCTTTTACAGTTTTCTTCGGTATATATTGTTCCATTGATTCTAATAATATTTGTTTAAAATTGTTCCAGTTTACATCAACTGTGTTGTTATGTATATTACGCAGAAAACTCGTGTTTGAAAATGATAGCACACGATCTTTAATTTTCCGCCAGTCCGCTTTTCTATAATTAAACACGGTTCTCGGCGGTAGTTTGTTAATAACCGGCTTGATAAATGTTGTTACAGATAAGATATCATGGTCACTAAGCCCGATAGGTGGTCCGACTACGTGTCGTTGTATGAGTGTTGGATGTCTCGTAAAGAATAAGTCTAAAATCCTACCCTTACGTGTAGGGGTTCTGTTAATTTGTTCAATAAAACAAGTTGAAGTTATATCGATTAATTTATCACAAAAAGTCTTATCCCTAGCATTTGGCAATGTACATCCGTTATCCCAGTCCTAGTCTCCGAGGTTGAAATCACCCCCTAGAAATTTCTTCATATTTTTGTATGGAGAAGTACAGTTCGCTTTTAATAGTGAATTTTCAAGTTCATCTAATGTTTCTAAAGTAGCCTTTGGTTCACGGTAGAAAGATCCAACCAAAACTTGTTCGTTTTTATCAATTTTGATTTTAATCCATTTTATTTCACAGACAGAGTCTAAATCTGAACATTCCTCAGCTTGTAAGCCAGGTCTAACCATTATAATAACACCACCGCCGCGTTTGTTCACTAATTCTGACCGATCTTTCCTGAATATTTGATATTTGTCAATAGACGGGATATTTGTTGGTAAGAGTTCAGCACTCAGATCCTCACTATTCAAATGCGTTTCAGTGCCTAAGATAACATCCGGCGCTTTACTAGCTATAATGTTGTATAACTCCGTTTTCTTATTACGAATACTCTGGAAATTTATCACTTCGAATTTCAAGTGAGACTTATTAACGTGGAGTGATTTTGAAAGTGAATGAATACTATCCACAGATGGGTTATCACTACTTGATTCCATGTCACCCAAAAATGATGATGTAAGCTCAGATTCAACACTACCCGAATGTGTTGATGTTACGTTAGAAATATGTGAAATGTTACTATCCAGATCGGTAGACGGTAGTAATACGCGCGGTGTTGATGCTACAAACGATAAACTATCTGGTTTCAAGGGACGAGAGATTCTCCTCCGAGGTGGGGACGAAGATAAGTTAATGTTTACTGGTGGTACTGGTTGCGTACTGCTAATTCTAGCAGAGTCTTTCACTAATGGCGAGAAAGTATTTTCTAATAAAAAGTCATCTAAGTCAAAAGAGCACACTCTAGATAGGTTTGGGATGCCACAATCATCTTTTTTACAGATCCAAACTACCTCTGAAATATCAAGGTATGCAAGAGTTTCACTACTGATTTTTGCACAGTTAGCATGGTACCAAGTGTCACAGCAGTCACATTGTACAGCTTTAACATTCCAGGAACCAATATTTTTATTACAAATTCCACAAGGATATTTCAAGGTTTTAGGTCCAGGATTAATTTCTATGTCACCCGACTGGATCAATAATAAACACAATATAAAGTTTGTTCCAACATTGTTTTTAATATAACATGCGCTTCGCCATTTGATGGTTCTTGTAGCAATTGCAAGCTTCATGATACTGGGTTTCGAGGGTTCAATCAATGTCTGGAAAGAATTAGTAGCATTTAGTTCGCTAGGCAAAGCTATAACTAGTAAAAATAGTGCTAAACATAGCAAATGTAAAGTTCCCTTGTTCTTCATGGGCGCGGCCATTGTTGCTGCGCAATAGGATGCGCGCGCTTGTCGATTTTTGGAATCCTGCGCAAAATGATGCGCACTCAAACTAATGTAAAAGTAGGTGGGTGGGGTAAGGTGGTCGTAATTTTCACCCAAAATTACACGCAAAAGTTACAACAAATTTCAAAAGTTCCTTTTCCAAATGATACTATCGATCATAATCCACGTTTTCAACAAGTGTCGTCATCTATCTTGCAGTAATTACCATGAAAAAATTAAATTAAATTAAATTTTGTCGGAGCACATTTTCGAACGCCTGGTGTCGCACATGACGTCACATCCTTTCAAAACTTGTAAAAGGTTTATAAGCGAACAGCATGGATCCTGATTAGACTGCGCGGACGCGCAGGCTGGTCTTGATCAATGCTGGTCGCAAACCCATTATGTTGGTTTTGTCATGACGCGGCTCATATATTTAAAGTATTTCGTAAAATTAAAATGAGTGTATTTGTTAGGGTATTTCCGTTATAAAATCACCTATTTAAACCAACTTAAATCTTCTACGCACATACACCAAATTGATGGGTATAAAAGCTTATGACGCTTGCGGCATCGCAAACGGTGGAACATTATCTACAGTTTACGGTTAGACTTTTTATTTCTTGTTTAATATTTGATTGTCGCATTTTGGTCATAACATTTAGTGGAGTTATACAAATTATTCATCAATCAAATTTGTAAGATAGATATATTACGACTATTTAAACCATTTAGAAGATTTCAGAATTTATAGAAAGTATCGATTGCGGTTTAAATACAAAAAGTACACTCATTTTTGTTTGTATGGTTAAACATTTTAAACAGCATTTTCAATAAAAAAACATTTGTCGGTGTATATTTTGTCGATAAAAAGTACAGTGGAACTATGATGATAAGGATGATAAACAATTTTATGAATTGTATAAACTTTGCATTGCCACTTTGTTCACCCTGAGGGCATAAATATCTGTATGTGTTATAAGACAATTTGTTTTTCACCTTTTTTGAATAAGTCAGGATTTTAGCAAATGTTAAATCATGAAATGCATTATGTATATAGATTTCTTTCAACTAAGACGCAGTAATAAAACGAGATGTATGTGAAAAGGTGATTGAAAGGAACGTATAATTAAAAATATATTAGAAACACATCTGGAAACATTTAATAACTAACTAACTATTTATCTGTTGCTACATGTAATTCACAAATTCAATTGAATAAAAGATAATTGTCAAATAAAATAGTGTTAGAAAATAGAAGATTAAAATAATAAATGATTTAGAAAATAAACAGCTCAGCAATCTCCCTGAGAGGAATTTAACCATGCGACTAGTTTCGGTTAATATTTCTTGTGGCAATAAATAAAGTTAAATTGTAATGATGTTTAGCATTGAGAAATATATATGCATAAATGTATTTTTTTTATTTTTTAGAATTCCTTTAAGCAGAATTAATTTTCTATTAAAACAATAAAACACAACAGATAATGGGGAAAAGGGGAGCAAGGTTCTATCCGCCAGCAGAAAAGCCAGCATTACCTAATAAAAATGAAGTAAGTGTTTTCCTACGAGTTTTATTTTATTAATGCGGGACTGAGGATAAATGCGTTGCTTTACGATTAACATGATGGATTTATGCTTTTCCAATTAGCTTTTTTAATTACAAAATATATGCACAATATCAAAATGTTCGGTTGATGCCTAACAGATTAACAGTCATTGTAGAGATCGTAGATATCGATAATCATTTCATAAATGATTAGCCATGACCGTCCGATTGTCGTATAAAAGTATTTATTTTAGTCTTATGTTTAAAAAGAATTATTGAAGTCAATTCAATTTAGATGCTGATACTAGCAAAGAATAATACCGTAAATGAACAGAGCATACATATTGATAACCATAGTCTCTACATTTCCGTTGACAATAATCCCCGTATGGTTAATAAAACATTCAAGAAATTACAACGAATATCTTGTGTACGATAGCAATAAAACTTAAACCACTTTAAGCATTTTATATTACTTGTCAAATAATCATTGAGATACAAATGCTTTGTTAAAGAACTAGGTTATTTACGCGTGAGTAAAAAACGTAATATTTAATTTTAAACTGATCAAATGTGTTTATTTTTCCAGTCCAAAATCTAACTAAATGTAAGAGACTAATTTTGTGATCCATATGTATATAAAACTATATTTTATGGAATGATTTATTCATACATATTTCCATTCTGAAATGAGCATGATACATTACACAATCTCCAAATATTTGTCTTAAAGAAAAACTTCAATTTTTTATCAAAAATTGGGGTCGCTTTCAGTCGCTTTAATTTCGAGGCTTTTTCTACACATGCATAAATTCCATGCGTCAGCGCAACGCATTGTCCGCAAAAACGCTATTTTAATGACGTCATAAAATGACGTAGTATGACGATGTCTATTAACGTGTTCGCTTACGCGCAAAGAGTGAAGTTATTACGTGCTGAATTTGTAGCTTTATGTTGTTTTTTTTTGTTGTTTTTTTTTTCCAAAAATTACAAAATAACTCTTTACCTGACGATCCTCATTATTGGTCAATCATATCATAATTTCAGATACACTTGTTACGATTTCTGCCAAAGATTTCAAATTTTAAAGAAAATCGGCAAAAAAATGCTTTTGATAATACATGTGTACGCAAACAACACATATACAAATCTAAATTTTGAAAAACAAAAGACATTAATATAAGGTAAATGAACAAATAGATAAAATAAATACATGCATGCCAATGTAGTAATAATCAGTTGACATTAATGTCTCAGATGCATCGTTTGTTCCATAAATATCTTTATTTCTAACCAACAAAAAATATGTTCAATTAACAGAAAGGATTCGACATCGGAATAAACAACCTTAAATTGCTTAATTAAGTGCATGCAAATAAACCCGATCTTAAAATGTAAATTTTGTAACAGTTTGTTAAGAATTATTTTATAACATATCTTTAGGTAGGTTTCACCACGAATGCAACGAACCGTGAGAATAAAATGGAGCTATATGGACCACCAAATGGAATCCACATGAAAGGGGATATAATCATTATCGTTACAAGTGGAGGGTTCAAAGGTAAAAAGTTATAACTGCCACTTTTGCCGAAATTGACATTTTATGTTTTTTATAATGTACTTATTGTCCTTTATGTCTGACGAAAATATTATATAAATATTCAATCCTTATAAGGGCAAAAAATTAAAAAGTATTTTGTTATAACTTCTTTTCTACAAATTATTTAGGGGTAAAAGGTTCTAAGTGTACTTATTACCTGTTGTTTACTTGTTGTTCCACATGTTGTGAAGAATCTGTAGTGGAAAAAGGTTATAACTGATTTTATCACCTTTTTCCTCTGACAGAATGCTGCATTCATACAGTTCACAGGCACTATCTGTTATCTCTTTTCCCACGAAATTTATCTTTTAGAATTAAATGCAGCGAGAATATAACCGAATATGAAAGACAGAAAATATTCAGTACATACTGGTCAATGGGTGATTACATAAGTCAGAGGCAATTCATTTGTTTCCATGTTGCCAATAAAGAACCAGAGAATGTATCTAAACAGAGAACAAAACAAAGACCCATTTCGAATTCGTTTTTCACACAGGTAGAAAAGAGGGCGTGAGGGATGTTGCACTTATTCATTATCTCTCATGTACAGACTCAATCAAACCGAGTCTGCAATTTTTATGTAATTTTGTTGTGATTAATGCTTCCGAGGGAACATTGTTTCCAGAATTTTTTACTAAAAACTATCGATGTCGGTTCCAAAACAGTTGCAAACGCAGTTAAGCACAAAGTGGCAGGGTTATATGTTGGAAATGACAAGAGAGGGAAAGCTGTGCCTGGAAATAAAACCATGGAATATCACAGATCATTTGTAAAGAAACACAACGAAAGCTTTCTGACTGTTGAATCACACTACACACGAAGACCCAAACAGGAAGTATCTAACGCAAGATTTAAATATAAAACGAATATACTCACTGTATGTAGAAAAATGCAAAGGACAAAATAGAAAGTGTGTTTCAGAGGCTGTGTACAGAATCATTTTTAGTACAGAATATAACTTTTTTCTTCCGTCAATGTCCACTCTGCAATCTGTATGACACTTTGAGAATAGAAGATAGACTAGATGAGGCAACAAAAACAAAATATCAAGTACACCAAGTGACCAAAAAGAAAAAAAACAGTGCAAGAATGCAAAAATCAGCCGATAAAAAACGCACAAAGAAAGATCCAAAGTTTTCTGTGTCGGCATTTGATATCCAGGCTATTTTGAAAACACCACTCAGTTTCATTGGTGATCTTCGTTACAAAAGAAAACTGTGTTGTTGCAATTTGTCATTCTATGAACTGGGAAATGGTAACGGGACTTGTTATCTGTTGGATGAGACACATGGGGAAACCAGGCTCGTGCAAAGTAGGAACTTTTGTGTACTTGTATGTAACCTCTGTTGCAAGTAAGACATCTGGTATTGAAGAAGTGACATTATATAGTAATGCATGTGGAGGACAGAATTGCAATCAGTTTGTTGCAAGTTGCTTAGTTCACTGTGTCCAAGATATACCTCACATCAATGGTAAAACCACACATTTCTTGAAATTGGCCATTCATTAATGGAATGCAAATTCCATACATGCATCTGTCAAGCATGCAAAAAGCCTTACAATAGTTCATGTTCCATCGCAGTGGGAAACAGTTATATCATAAGCACGCCGGAAGCAACCATATATTGTCGTTCTAATAAAATACAATGACATACTAGATTACAAGTTGTACAAAGAACAAAACTTTGGCTCAATGCAAATCGATGTTGATGGTGAACGTGTTAATTGGCTGAATATATATAAAATACATGGTTGATTTAGGGATGGATAAGGCTTATCCGGTGAGTTAGAAAGTGTATCTTGGCGAGCCTTAGCAAGCCAAGATTCACTTTCGCAGTGAATCGGATAAACCTTCTCCAGCCCGACATCAACCATGTATTTGTTTTATCCTGCTTTTAATAATGTTTTTAGAATAATTAAATGGTTTCATTCTCCTTTTCCCCTATAAAATAACATCTATATGTAGTTTTGTTTTGCTGCTAAACATGTGACGTTATCAAATGACGTAATGACTGGAGATAGATAAAGACAAAAATACAGTATTGTTGTGAGCTATGGTTTTGTGGTTAGTGAGCTCAAGGCAGTTAGGTTAATGCAGAAGAAGAACAGAAGCAAAGAATAGTCTCTGCAGGCTCCACGAAAGGCTTATACAGAGAAGCTTCCAATATCTGCTGCAAAAGCTGATTTGATGTCACTTGTTGCCTCTGGAACAATTCCGAAGGAGTGCGAATCATACTATGAGTCATTGCCATGCAGCAAATCTATAAAAGACAAACTTTCAGTGCCTTCTGTTAGTGAGAGTGAAGAAAATGAGTGGAGGTCATAGAATAATTAATGACAAACATTCACATTTTGTGACATGAAAGAGTAGTCTTTATTTACTTAACTATGGTATGGGTCACTAATATCCTTAATTGCTAATGTCTGGGGTCTGTTTGACTTCAGTTCGATTATATACCAGAGAACATTCAAAATAAATGAAATTTGTAAACTTAGATTTTAGTGCGTATTTTCGTAAACTTTTTAGTTATTAATTTATTTCTGTAGAATCTAAATATTGAGCAGGTACATATTTCATATTTCTATGAATGAAAAGTGTGAATTTTGTGTACGAGTATTACTGTGCATTGTGTTAATTACATTACGTAAGGTTCTTCAAAGTAAGGACATAATTGATAAATTTGCAACAGTAACAATTACTGCAACATCTAAATTTTTCAGAGGAACAAGGCTATAACTGCACTTATAACCTTTTACCACAGTTTATCTCAAACTTTTATTGCTAAACCTTCAGAAGTAAAAGGTCGTAAGTGCAGTTATTACCTTTTACCGCTCAAACTTGTAGTCTTGACAGGATCTAAGTACATTTATTACCTTTTACTTCTGTAAAATGATATTATTTTGATCTTAGAACTTTAAAACAAACTATAATTACAGTGTTTTATCAGCACCAAACAATGTAAACTAAACAAAATATGATCTAATGTAGTCAACAAATATGGGAGAATCAAAATTGTTACAACAATATTACGGAAAATAAAGTTGTATTAAAAAAATATGTTTTTTGCGTTTTTCTCGAAATCTTGAAAATGGCAGTTATTACCTTTTACCTTTGAACCCTCGATTATTTAGTAGTCGTGGTATGAATTGATCTTATTAATTTTTTTCTTCATGTTTTTTGTCTTTATGTTCATACATGTGACATAAACTTAAGATCATTATAAAGACAAATTATTTTATATTGTTTTCATGAATGAAATTAGTTACTAGTAAATCATTTTTAAGTGCGCATGATTTATAGAGCAACTATGTGAAATTTGGCAATAACTCAAGAACTACTGAAATAAATGTATAAATATAATTTGTCATTCTGTCTTTTTTTAGGAGGGGTGGGGGAGATAAGAGTGGGGAAAAAAGACCTGCTCGGAATTGTCTGAATTAACTATGATTTCAATGTATTTCAATAACAATATATAATTAAGCATTTCAACTAATACAGTAAAAGACATTTTATATTTAATAACGAACAGGCATTAAGCGATATCCTAAATTGTCATTTTCATGTCATGTGACAAATTTATAGTTTCATACATGTGACTCGTACTCTAAACTTGCCATTATCAAAAATATTATTCTGTAAGTTTTCATAAATGAAAATACTTACAAGTAAATCTTTTTTTCTTAACTTGTATTGAACATAATTTATATAGAGTGAAATTATGATAGATACGTTAAATCACTGCATATCTCAAAAACTTTCAGTAGTGTTTATTAGTATGGTGGCGTGCGAGACAGGAATGTCAACTCGATTATGGATGGTGTGTTCGGCTGCAGCAGATTCAATATTTGGCGTCGGGATCATAGCAATGCTGATAAAGATGATATCAATTGCACAGCGTCAGGGTACAAAGTTAATAAGAGATGCTGTTTCCGAAATCGTATGTTTCAGTTGTATATCATGAATATTGTATGTATGATTTGTGTTCAATACAACTCTATAAACACCAAAATAAGAATGTTGCTCCGAATCATGACAACAAGTCTTTGTCAATAATTTTACATAACATGTTGTTGGTACAACAGAGATGTTCTTATTCAAAAACGTTCTGTCTGATAAGTGTCAAGGTATGACCATGCATCCTTATGCATTATCTCCGCTTTGAAGAGTATTCTAATAGGCGAGAACTACTGTTTAATACATTTAAACTTCTCCGGAGGTCAATTTCTTTTTCCTTTTTTTTCTTTTTAACATAATTAATGTATCTCTCGTATCCCATTTAAGAGGACGAAAGTGTTTGATGTTCATTATTTAATTAATATAAGTATTTATGGCTAAATAATTCAAAGGCAATATGGTACTTGATATTTTCAAAGTGCAATAAAATCAAAACAAGACGGTAGAAGTATTTGATATTTTACAAGATCAACCAGTACACGTTTAAAAAATTATTGAAACTTTGAAAACAGGCACTCATTTTAGTAAATTTAAGGGATTTAATTAATAAGGTTCTCTGAGTAGGATATTGGTAAAACACGTTTTACAAATGGGTGTGGTAGGGTAACATTTTATACATATTTCATTATTTTTGTTTAGAATAAATAAGTTTGCTTATGTGGATTGTTAGCGGAATAGTATATTTTTGTTTTTTACCAAAAATGAAAGAGAAAACATTTTTTATAATGATGATATTGTAGATTATTTAAAGGTTCCTTATTTCTGAAAAAGGGCCCTTCTAACATCCAAGATTAAATTTAAGGAGAGTGGCCAAAGCTCTATTTCCGTACGGATTTTTTTTGTTTAAAAATGGTATTCAGGTGTATTTAGGGTATATCTCTGACCTATTTTGTCAATTTTTTAGTTCCTTGTGGTGCCCGTTAGGATTGCCTACCTTTACTTCAATCAGTCGTTCCTTGGAAAGGTTCGCGTAACGATGATATCGATTGCTTGCGTTTGTTTCCAAACCACAAGACGACATGTTTACATAAATGAGGATAAGTGGAAACTTCCTGTTGAGAATATTGTATTTCAAAATGAGGGCGGACACTCTGTTGGAAACCCGGCAGTTACACGCTGTACAGAAACAGGTAAAACTACTCAGGAATAAAAAAGGAAAAGAATACATACCAGACATGATTATTCAAATGTTAAAGTCCGTGTGAAATAGCGAATTGCTGAATCCATGCCGAAAACAGCAGAATTTAAAATGGTTCAATATTTCAGACTTGGCTTGTTTGAGCATGTCATTGACGATAGTGGTAAATTCATAGGCTTAAGCAGAATCAAACATTCAAACATAAAATAATGGTTACATTTTTTAATTTAAAAACATCCGAGGACGTACTCGTGCCATTGTATGAAAAGACGTTATTTCGAGTCAATTTTTATATCTTTTATATAAATGAAGCCGGTGCTTCGGCTGAAATCATTTTTATGTTTTGACGTAAATTGTATATTCAAACGCTGCATAAACTTATAAAGTATAATATCCGTTTACATAATTTCTTTCGGAACTAAGATTTAAATTCAAACTTCGGCTGTCATCACAGACAGGAATATTTTGCTTTCGGGTAATTTAAAGCTACTGTTTGACATTGACTCGTTATCGTCGTAAAGAGTCAACCTCGAGATACACATTCCGGTTTGTACCTGCAGTCGAAAATGCATGCATTCAAATTTCAAAGAATTAACTTTAAACGTTTTGGTGATATGTAGATTCGGTCAGATTTCCTTGGAAGTATATGAAAATGATCTTATGGAAACAGGTAGAGCATTTTATTGATTGATATAAAGTATTGAAAAATATTCGTTACTAACAATTCTCAAAGTTAATACCGACCCTTATTAAAATAAATCAATTTTCATAATATTATTTTGAAATATTACGCGAGAAACCTCGTGCGTTACAAAGGTTTCGGCATTACGTATTGTATTTTTAAATGCATCAATAAATGAATATTCTTATGGATTTAATTTTGTTTCATTATTAAATCTCTTAATACATAACTGGCGTGAATATTGTTAAGATTTCAAAAACTGTAAAATCAGAAGTTTAATTATTTTTTGTACAAAAAAGTGTCAAGCACATATGGCTTATATACGAAAAATTAACATTGTGGCGCTGTAAATTTGCACAAAATATTTAAAATAGTTAGAGTAAGTCAAACATACGAGCTATATATTGTTGTATAAAATTGGGTAAAACCAAACAAATTAATATTTACCATTTTCTACGCAGTCGACTAACTTCACCTTCGTTTTGCTTTGATAGCAAGGTTTTAGCCGGTGCTTAGGACAACGCGCCAAAGATGTTACACTTAAACAATATCACTTATGATCAGACTAAAAGCAGTATGCCTCAAGATTTATCTAATTTTCATTAAAATTTTGAAAATGTATTTAAACAATGTTGTTATATGAATTAAGATTGTAACTTTCACAATGCAATCGACACTTTAAATCCATTACAAAATAGCTCACATGCAAAGTAGCGCTAACTGCGTTAGTCACGCAGTAGAAATATGGTGAATAACACTTAAAAATCAGTCATTACTCACGTATAAGATGTAAAGCATAACTTAAAAATTTAATCCTTTTTAAGATATTATAACCATTTCGCCTTCTACAGATCAAATGACCTGCGCTGAATTCCCAAGGGAAGAAACTTTTGAACAGGATGTAAATTCGGTCAACGGCAGTGAAAGTAGCAGCAAATATAATGGTAACTAACTTCTTCTTGATAATAAACATTCATTTTAAAAAGGTATAATTATTTAAAGGATTAGTTCGTTTCAAATTATAAACGCTAATTGGTATGCCATTGTATTTATCATTTATCTATTTATTGGTTTGTCCCCGGTATATTTGCGCATGTCAAATGAAAATTAATCATACTAATTCTTTTTAATGCTACAGTATATCTGATGCGTTGCGATTGTGATTCTGACTGTTGTAATTTCTTTCATCCAAAAGAGCGGATCCTCTCCGAATCACAAATCGAAAGATCCTTTGGAAACAATGCTACAATTGACTTTCCGATTTCTGACGTTTCAAAGAAAATAGGTTACATAAAGCAGAAACTATGTCAACATATTCTTCTTGAATCAACGCAGCAAGAAGACTGGTTGCATTTAAACGGATGCGTTTTAGGCTATATACCAGAAATTGCCAGCTGTAAAGACCGAGGTAAGACACTTTTACGGTACAATAATTTTGGTGCAAACTTGTATTTTAGCAAATGAATTAATAGTATTATAATTAAGAATCGTTTCAAATAGCGCTTTTCCTCAACAATATTGATGTAACTTGAAAAATGGCATAATGCAAGTGTTTGTAACGTTTTTTTTTTTTTGCTGTATGAGTTATTAATTCACGTGTGACTATTTTCCACCATTTAAGACATAGTATCGATAGCAATATGTTATCACTTGTATTTCATTAATATTTTGAAAATGTATTTAAACAATGTTGTTATATGAATTAAGATTGTAACTTTCACAATGCAATCGACACTTTAAATCCATTACAAAATAGCTCACATGCAAAGTAGCGCTAACTGCGTTAGTCACGCAGTAGAAATATGGTGAATAACACTTAAAAATCAGTCATTACTCACGTATAAGATGTAAAGCATAACTTAAAAATTTAATCCTTTTTAAGATATTATAACCATTTCGCCTTCTACAGATCAAATGACCTGCGCTGAATTCCCAAGGGAAGAAACTTTTGAACAGGATGTAAATTCGGTCAACGGCAGTGAAAGTAGCAGCAAATATAATGGTAACTAACTTCTTCTTGATAATAAACATTCATTTTAAAAAGGTATAATTATTTAAAGGATTAGTTCGTTTCAAATTATAAACGCTAATTGGTATGCCATTGTATTTATCATTTATCTATTTATTGGTTTGTACCCGGTATATTTGCGCATGTCAAATGAAAATTAATCATACTAATTCTTTTTAATGCTACAGTATATCTTATGCGTTGCGATTGTGATCCTGACTGTTGTAATTTCTTTCATCCAAAAGAGCGGATCCTCTCCGAATCACAAATCGAAAGATCCTTTGGAAACAATGCTACAATTGACTTTCCGATTTCTGACGTTTCAAAGAAAATAGGTTACACAAAGCAGAAAATATGTCAACATATTCTTCTTGAATCAACGCAGCAAGAAGACTGGTCGCATTTAAACGGATGCGTTTCAGGCTATATACCAGAAATTGCCAGCTGTAAAGACCGAGGTAAGACACTTTTACGGTACAATAATTTTGTTGCAAACTTGTATTTTAGCAAATGAATTAATAGTATTATAATTAAGAATCGTTTCAAACAACGCATTTCCTCAAAAATATTAATGTAACTTGAAAAATGGCATAATGCAAGTGTTTGTAACGTTTTATTTGCTGTATGAGTTATTAATTCACGTGTGACTATTTTCCACCATTTAAGACATAGTATCGATAGCAATATGCTATCACTTGTATTCACATGGAAAAAAAAACAACTTTCATACAAAGAAAGTTCATTTAAGTAGTGGAACTCGGGGCTAAACTCACGGATTTGAAGATGTTTTCACATTATCTTTCAATGCATTCATTCCATTGTATGAAAAGACGTTATTCGGTCGTTTAATATAATTTATGATAAATGAAGTTGGTGCTTCGGATGAAATAATTTTTCTGTTTTGACTGACATTGTATATTCAAACGCTGCATTAACTGATAGAGTATAATATCCGTTTTCGTAATTTCTTTCCGACATAAGATTTATAATCACACATCGTCTGTCGGCACAGACAGGAATATTTAGCTTTCAGGTAATTTAAAGCTACTGTTTGGCATTGACTCGTTATCGTCGTAAACTGTCACCCTCGAGATAGATACTGGCAGTTTGCATCTGCAGTCGAAAATGCATGCATTCAAATTTCAAAGAATTAACATTAAACGTATTGGTGATTTGTAGATTCGGTGAACAGTCAGATTTCCTTGGAAGTATATGAAAATGATCTTATGGACACAGGTAGAGCATTTTATTTATTGATATAAAGTATTGAAAAATATTCGTAACTAGCAGTACCGACACTTGATAAGATTAATCATTTTTTCAAAACACTATTTTGAAATATTGCGCGAGATACCTCGTGCGTTACAAAGGTTTCGGCATTAAAAAATATAATTCTAAATGCATCAATAAGTGAATATTTTCATTAATTTATTTTGTTTAAAATATAACTCTTTTAGTACATAACTGGCGTAATATATTGTTTACATTTAATAACTGTTAAAGTTTTATTATTTTTTGTACAAAATAATGTCAAGCACATATGACTTATATACGAAACAATATACATATATGCACAAAAATATTATAATAGTTACAGAAAGTCAAACATAGCTATATATTGTTGCATAAGGGTGGGTCAAACCAAACAAATTAATATATTGTCATTTTCTACTACATATCAGAACACCTTTGCTGATTTGCAAACGGGGAAAAATTTTGAACATTGTGTTATTTCAAATTCTTTTGGACACTTGTCTGTGAGGGGCAACAATAGCTGTAAACAGAGTGGTTAGATTAATTTTTATTTCAACTTTTAAAAAGTGAATACTCATTTCAAAACGTACACGAACGATTTAAAAAATAGTTGCTGCTTTTTTATTAGGTGTCCTTATTGTTATCATGTTTCTTTTTCGTCTTAAAAATACACGAATGTATCGCTAATCGACTTCTTACTCTTGTATTGTCTTTTTTTCAAGACAATCGCGATAGGATATGTGCAAGAGAGCCCTTGAAATCTATGTTTCTATTTATATCATGCATGTGTTTTCATTTTAGCTTAAAATTTTTTTTTTCGTCATTGGCTAGACGTGTATTTTTTTATCAATAATTAAATTTAGATTTATAATGCTAGTTGCTTGGTTTGACTTTCGTATTGTTCTTCGTCAAGATGAAGATAGTTTTCTTGCAATCTCGGCTGAAGAAATAAACACAGAACATGTAGAGCAGGACTTATGGAAATGGTCGCACCTTGATAAGACATATGGAGAAAACACACAAAGGAATTGTGTGGCATATCCGACAGTCAGGAGCTGTACAGAAATAGGTAAAAGTTCTCATAGATGACAAACTGCTGGAAGCTTATTTAAGAAAGTATATATTTTTTTAAAAATTACCTTTGATATTTGAATATCTATTAATCCACTTTCGTAAATAATTAGGATACTGGACATGCAATATCATATAACATGCAAACCTTCAAAACATATTCAACTTTATTTTGCTGTTTTGTAGATTCTGTAATCAGTCAGACTTCCCTGGAAATATATGAAAATGACATAATGGAAACAGGTAAAGCGTTTCTATGATACTGATTGATAAAAATGTATAAATATGTGGAGCCAAACCAAAACTGACAACGTTATTAACACAAATTCGTTTCTGTGTTACAGAGATCTAAGCATTGCTAGATATACCTTTCAAAGTATCATAAAACGTTTCAGTTAATTTTGTTTCAATACCAAATTAGGTCAATTTGTAACGGGCGGAACATATTACTTACATTTATTACAAATTCAAAAATAAAAAAAACGAACTCGCGTTTATTTGTTATTTCTGTTTTTTAGAGTTGCAGCAACACATTTTATAAAGATAACCAATAACAATATAAAATGTTTGGTTGTACATACACAAACACGTATTCTTATAGTAACTGAGAGTACAACATATATCTATATCGTTATGTATAAAAGATAGGAAAAAAATATAAAATAATTTCGCCTTTTACAGATCAAATCACCTGTGCTGAATTTCCAAGTGAAGGAACTTTTAAACAGGATGTAAATTGTAATTCTTCTGGACACTTGTCGGTCAACGGCAATGAGAGCAGCTGTAAACAGAATGGTAACAACATTTTTTACCTAACTTCTTTTTAGTAATAAACATTCATTTTGAAAAGGTACGATTTCTTAAGGATTAGTTGTTTTCAAATAAAGAACGCTTATTTGTATGACATTGTATTTGTCATTTATTTATTTATTACTGTGTTATATCAGGTATATTTACGCATGTCAAATGAAAATGAATCATACTAACATTAATAGCTCTACAGTATATCTAATGCATTGCTATTGTGATTCTGACTGTTGTACTTTCTTTCATCCAGTAGAGGGGATCCTCTTCGAAATCCATATAATGCAAAACAAGGACGCAGTCGACTATCTTCACCTTCGTTTTGCTTTGATAGTAAGACTTAAACTGGTGCTAAGGACAACGCGCGAGAGATGTTACACTTAAACAATATCACCCATGATCAGACTTTAAGCAGAATGTCTCTAGATTCATGTAAAATAGATGAAAATTTTGAAAATGTATTTCAAAGAACAATATTGTTATATGAATTCAGATTGCAATTTCCACAATGCAACCGGCACTTAAAATTCATGTACATGACAAAAATGTATCATAGTATAGTATGCAAAAAGTAGCGCTAACTGCGTTAGTCACGCATTAGAAATATGGTGAAAAACACTTAAAAACCAGTCGTTACTCACGTATATAATGTAAGGTATTACTTGATGTTTTTCTTTTAAAGATATTATTACCATTTTGCCTTCTACAGATCAAATGACGAGTGCTGAATTCCCAAAGGACGAAACTTTTGAACAGGATGTAAATTCTCATTCTTCTGGATACTTGTCGGTCTTCGGCAATGAGAGCGTTAAAGATAATGGTAACATTACTTTCTATCCTGACTTCCTTTTAGTAATAAACATTTCATATTAAAAAGGTTCAATTATTTAAAGGATTATTTCTTTTCAAATTATAAATGCTAATTGTATCACATTGTCTTTATCATTAATCTATTTATTGTTTTGTACCCGGTTTATTTGCGCATGCTAATACTAATTAATAAAATACTAATACTATTAAATACTACAGTATATCTAAAGCATTGCGATTGTGATAATGACTGTTGTACTTTCTTTCATCCAGAAGAGGGGATCCTCTCCGAATTCCAAATCGAGAGATCTTTTGGAAACAGTGCTACACTTTAGTCACGCATTAGAAATATGGTGAAAAACACTTAAAAGTCAGTCATTACTCACATATGAAATGTTAAGTATTTTTGAAAATTTAATCCTTTTAAGATATTATTACCATTTCGCCTTCTACAGATCAAATAACGTGTGCTGAATTCCCAAAGGACGAAACTTTTGAACAGGATGTAAATTCTCATTCTTTTGGACACTTGTCGGTCACCGCCAATGAGAGCAGTAAAGATAATGGTAACAATACTTTCTATCCTAAATTCTTTTTAGTAAATTAAATTTAAATAAACATTTCATTTTAAAAAGGTTCAATTAAGTGAAGGGTTATTTCTTTTCAAATTATTAATGCTAATTGGTATGTAATTGTATTTATCATTAATCTATTTCTTGTTTTGTACCCGGTTTATTTGCGCATGCCAAATGAAATTAATCATACTGATATTTTTTAGTACTACAGTATATCTAATGCATTGCGATTGTGATTATGACTGTTGTACTTTCTTTCATCAAGAAGAGGGGATCCTCTCCGAATTCCAAATCGAAAGATCTTTTGGAAACAGTGCTACACTTGACTTGCCGAGTTCTGACGTTTCAAAGAAAATAGGTTACACAAAGCAGAAAATATGTCAACATATTCTTCTTGAATCAACGCAGCAAGAAGACGGAACACATTTGAATGGATGCTCTTCAGGCTATATGTCAGTAAATGCCAGCTGTAAAGACCGAGGTAAGACACATTTACGTTACAATAATTAAGTTGCAAACTTTTATTCCAGAAAGTGAATTTATAGAATTAAGAATCATTTCATATATCGAAATTTCCTCAACAATATTAATATTTATGAGTCTTTTTGGTCCACATATCGAGCCTGTAAAACAGCTTTAAGATCTTTATAATCTTGAAATCTTGTTCTTAGCAATTGCAAATTGCGAAACTTGTAATAATTGTTGGGACCAAGTCGGACTGTATGTCGAATGATTAAACTATAAGAACTTACTCTCACTGTTTGAAGCTTTGGGCATAATAATGCAAAACAAGGACGCAGTCGACTATCTTCACCTTCGTTTTGCTTTGATAGCAAGACTTAAGCTGGTGCTAAGGACAACGCGTGAAAGATCCTACACCTAAACAATATCACTCATGATCAGACTTAAAGCAGAATGTCTCTAGATTCATGTAATATAGATGAAAATTTTGAAAATGTATTTCAAAGACGCTATTGTTATGTGAATTCAGATTGCAATTTCCACAATGCAACCGGTACTTTATGTTCATGTACATTACAAAAATATATCACAGTATGCAAAAGGTAGCACTAACTGCGTTAGTCACGCATTAGAAATATGGCGAAAAACACTTAAAAATCAGTCATTACTCACGTATGAAATGTAAAGTATTTTTGAAAATTTAATCCTTTTTAAGATATTATTACCATTTCGCCTTCTACAGATCAAATGACGTGTGCTGAATTCCCAAATGACGAAACTTTTGAACAGGATGTAAATTCTCATTTTTCTGGATACTTGTCGGTCAACGGCAATGAGAGCGGTAAAGATAATGGTAACAGTACTTTCTATCCTAACTTCTTTTTAGTAAATTAAATTTAAATAAACATTTCATTTTAAAAAGGTACAAATATTTAAAGGATTATTTCTTTTCAAATTATAAATGCTAATTTGTATGTCATTGTATTTATCATTAATCTATTTATTGTTTTGTATCCGGTTTATTTGCGCATGCCAAATGAAATTAATCGTGAAAAACAGATAGTTATCACTGGGGCCAGGTCTGGGCTGTATGCCAGGTGTCTAAAGATTCATGCTAATTTTCATGATTTTTATTTACAAAATTAATATATTTCAAAGACAAATATTGTTATGTGAATTCAGATTGCACTAAAACTCCATGTATATAACAATAAAATAGCTCACAGTATGCACAAAAACCTTACTGCGTTAGACACGCAGTTGACATATGGTGACAAACACTTAAAAATCAGTCATTACTCACGTATAAGATGTAAAGCATAACTTAAAAATTTAATCCTTTTTAAGATATTATAACCATTTCGCCTTCTACAGATCAAATGACCTGTGCTGAATTCCCAAGGGAAGAAACTTTTGAACAGGATGTAAATTATCATTCTTCTGGACACTTGTCGGTCACCGGCAATGAGAGCTGTAAACAGAATGGTAACAATACTTTTTTATACTAACTTCTTCTTGGTAATAAACATCCATTTTAAAAAGGTACAATTATTTAAAGGATTAGTTCGTTTCAAAATATAAACGCTAATTGGTATGACATTGCATTTATCATTAATCTACTTATTGTTTTCTACCCGGTATATTTGCGCATGCCAAATGTAAATTAATCGTGAAAAACAGATAGTTATCACTGGGGCCAGGTCTGGGCTGTATGCCAGGTGTCTAAAGTTTCAAACTTACTCTCACTTACTTCAACTGAAGCTTTGGGCATAATAGTGCAAACGAGGACGCCATCGGCTAGCTTCTCCTTTGTTTTGCTTTGATAGCAGGACTCAAGCCGGTGCTTGGGACAGCGCGCGAGAGCTGTTATACTTTAACAATATCACTCTTGATCAGACTTGAAGCAGTTTGCCTCCAGATTCATGCTAATTTTCATGACATTTTTGAAAAGTTTAAAGTATTTCAATGTAAAATATTGCTATGTGAATTCAGATTTCAATTTTCGCAATAGAAATGGCATTTAAAATTCATGTACATTATAAAAACTAGCTCAAAGTATGCACGAAAACCTAACTGCGTTAGTCACGTAGAAGAGATATTGTGAAAACACTTAAAAATCAGTCATTACCCTTGTATATCATGTAAAGTATTACTTCAATATTGAATCTTTTTTACCTTTCTTAGGATCTAAGTACCTTTTTTCAAGTTTTTCTTCAAATATCTTTGCTCGTCTTGAGTCAAGCAGCTTTTATAATGGAACCGAGTCCAATTTTCGTATGACATTTTTGTTCCATAGCTTCCGAAAGATCACCCCCTTTATTTGTATTTTCATTGTATTTTTCTGTAATTGAAGTACCAGCAGGCTTGCAATCTAGTATCAGTATGATCCCTTTGGAGTTCAAAAACACGTTAAAAGACATTACATTTACGAATTGTCTTACGCGGGATGAGCTGGGGCTCTTCCATTGCATAGGCTCATTTTTATTATCTCGATCCCAGTGTTGATGTTTCATGTTCTGTTAAGGAATTGTATGGATAATTTCTGGATTGACATTGTACAGTTTTAGAATATATTGACTTTGCTGACGATCTTGCATGTTCTAGTTTATTTGTACCCATTTCGCATATACTTTTGACATGCCTAAATTTTCATGTATCCCATTAAAAAAGCATTTTGAAGCCCAAATTTAAATTATGCTTGTCACTTTGGAATACTTTGTGGCTACTATCACCATACACATCAAACTTGCATTGATGGATTTTTCTGGCGCTTGTTCCCTCATTAATGAGGATCTTTATGGCTGCACTAAAATCCATATTATGACTTCCTATTCATGCTTTTGGAAATAGGTTTTTAACCTAAAAAGAGTGTACGTATTAACTGTTATCATTCAACCTATAAAGGCTTACACGTCACAAAATGAAAAAAGAATTACTTGTAATAAAACTAACAAATTCTGAAAACATAGTGAACTCCACTTGTATATGTTGTATTGATAATATCTTTTCAGCAGACTCGAAACGGCTTGATTGGTATTCGGAACAATCAGACGGAAAAGACCATCCCGATAGCAAAGTGAAAGAAAATGAAGATGATTTATGCAGTAGAGAAACGATAAAGTGTCAACTAGATCGGGTAGAAGAATGGCTAATAAGCAATGATTTTGAAAGAATGAATACAGACATTGATGATTATACAGGTTGTGGTGAACACGAATTCAAACCTTTTGAAAACTCAATAACACAATGTAACAAAGAATGCAAATGTGAAAAAATATCAAAAGATAAGGCAATAACTGATATATCCTGTTTAACAAGATCATGTTCAAATATCAAGGCGAAAAGTTTGAATAAAGACAACGATTCTGGCCAGTTGGATTCTTTTCCGGATGCACACCCGTTGCATGATCGTAGCAAAGCTAATTTACATGAACATTTTGAAACACATGCTAAGATAAAGGGCAACTTCCAAACAAATCCATTGCATTGTATCAGTATAACCCCGAAGACAGAATCAATGTTGTACCCTCAAGAATCTCAGCGCGATTCAAACGAAACCAAAACCATTGCTTCTTCTAGCAGGAAAAGTAATTCCCTGCAAAATATAAGCAATAATGAGTCCAAGCATAAAATCAAAACTTCCCTTTTGGACACAAATCCTGCTCCTCTTACATTACCAGATCCTTTTCACCGAGACGTGCTCGTCGTGGTCTAGGCACAGGGCAGAACATGGTAGGGGCTTAAATAAAAAATAGCTTTTAGCATGTTTTGTCCTGACAAACGTCGGTGTTTTATGTATAGGTTTATTCATGAACATACTTAATCTTCATTTCTCTCTATTAGATTAAAAAAGAGAAATGTGTTACGTGACACTCATTGCTACCTGTATTTTTATATTGAAAAGTTTGGAAGTTGCCCAAAATAAATAACTGTGCATTGATGATTAAATAGTTAGTCTGCTTTCATTTAATTTATGCTACACATTGTTATTTATAGATCATGAATTATTTTATGTTAAATATCGACTCCTGTTTATGAATTTTATAGAGGATATTGAATGAGTTTACGTTTAATTCTAAATTTATTGAACGAGTTTAAGTAAAATTATATTCTATTATTTTATTCAACGACTTCAATAAAAAAGTAATGAAGCTACGCGAATATAATATTTATCACTTATACATAATAGAACTGTTTATAGTCAAATTGAATCACTATTTCATTGACGCGATTTAAGTGTGATGCTAACATTGGGCGCTTCTTTATACTATGTTTCTATGATGCAAATGAAGTAAAGTCAACGAACAGCATGCAATACAATATGTCGGAGTCGCAAAGTGATAAAAACTCTGCATTCTTTCAATTAATGAATTAACGATCACGATATGTGATATTTAATGCTAATAAGTGTAGTGACTTGTCGATATTCCAGTTCAAGACTTTTAAAGCTATATTATTTTTTGGTAATATTTATTTTGTTTAAGTGACATTATGCCTCTCCAAGTGTAAATTGGAAGTGTATAGGCTGACTTGTCGATATTCTAGTTCAAGATTTTTAAAGATATTGTATTTTGGTTAAAATATTTTTGTTATATATATTTTGTTTAAGTGGTATTGGAAGTGTATAGGTAAAAGTAAAATAACAGCATTTTGTCATGTGTCTATTTCATAAATAAAAAGTAAACAAGAAGACCATATTTTTTATATTTTAGGCAGTTAATTATGTTTTATCCCAATGTTTTGTCCCTGTCAATTATTGGTCAGTCGCCATTGAAAAGTCAGTCGTTTGAAATATATTCAGGTTATTCATCTCAAATTGAGAATTGTATCACTTTAATGTTTGTGTTACAGCGCAAAGCATTTACTGCACGTATCATTTGATATTTATTCAACATTATTAATGATGAATATAAAATGACTAGTACAATATTGATTTCATTCTTGTCGGTAAAAAGAAATAATACATTCAAGAAACAATACATTCATGTACTTTGTTTGTTATTTTGAAGCGATTATGTATCAAACGAGCTTACGTCAACAGAAATTACAACTAGCACAAACGTAGATGAACTCGATTGATTTTGAAAAGGCATAAAGACATTATAGTAATTCAATTATATAGATGACATGATAAAAAAGATTTCATTTCGTTTTTTTATAATTATTAATTTAAGACATGCTACAATAAACCTTGAAAATAATTTTATAAGTTGACTTTCCAACTCAATTTATGAAACATAACTGTGTATTAGATCATATTGTTCAAGGACATTGTATCTTCGTGATTTTTATACAATAAATACATGTATAACAACTCGACTTTGTCACTTCTTCAATCACGCCCGCAAATTTTTGCAAGTGTGGTATACACACAGTAACAAAACAATATCAATCACAAAACATACAGGATCTTTAAATGCCTTCGAAATGTCACAGAAGACACATTTTATTTCTTGGTCTTCATCATGGGGCTTTACAAATGTCATTTATAAATGTATTAAAATGCATTGGTTGTTTCATTGTTTCATAATGATCAATTACTTTTCATTTGCTTTTTGTGTCCCTTTAGTTTTCCCAAGACAGCTAAGAAGGAAGTAAGACATAAACAAAAGTTTGTTAAATAAAAGAGAGTGTTGGTGGGCGAATTCATTTGTAGAGGCTAATTTAGTACATATGCTTAAGGTGGATTTTTGCATTCAGGATAGCAGAATATATTTCTTTTAATATGCTCTATCAATGCATTCCTTCCAGTAGTGACCAATAGTGATTGTTGGTATCAATATGGTTGGGGCGGTAGAATCCACCAGTTATTTTTTTTTTGTTTTAACCCAGTCTTGGTCAGGTAATGATCAGCAAATAATACAATAAAACACGACGATTGCAGCATTCAAACGTATAAAAATATACAAAAAAAAGATTAAACTTTCAGCAGATTTTTTATTACTTTTTTACATGTACTCGTATAGCATGTGTAAAACCGGCATACAAAATCACCCTTATTTTCTATATCAATTACAAAAGAGAAAAAAAAAGAACCTTAAATGGTATAAATCTATAAATACTATATTCTAAATGTACCATTATAACCTTTATGCAGATGTTTTCGACTAATGGAATGCAAAGACAACTTTTCTCTTAACATGACATGAAAGAAAATACCTCTTAACATTGCACGCAAAGAAAACTTTTTTCTCATAATTTTTTTAATTATTTTCTCTTAACAAAACATGCAAAGAAATTTTTTTTCGTAAGCAAGACATGCAGATAAATCGTTTTCACATAACATCTAAATCACAGAATTCTTCCTCTTTACATTACGTGTGATGTTTTGGGTTGTTTTTTTGCAAGGAATATACTCGTATTCTTCAATAATGATGAAAACGCAATTGAATCAATGGAAGATTGATAAAACGGCACTTTATTCAACTACAGCATAGAAGCATTAACCATGTGAGCTACAGATGGTAAATTATCTTATTGCTTTCCGTACAAAGTGATGACCGGAACTTGTCATAAAGTCTCAATTGACCCTAATTAATTTAATTAATATTACAAAAAATAAAATAAAATCAATACGCTAATTATATTGTTCTACATTTTAAAAAAGATAAATAAGATGTAAATAATTTATTAGTTTATGCCAAGTACTGTCATTATGTATTCTAATTAAACTAATACAAAGGGATATGTGTTTGTTTTTGTGTACGACGAAATTTTATTTAACCGAGTGGGCATGAATGCATGAAGACTAGAGCTCAAAAGAATAGTTCAAACATCAACGTTAGATGGTGCTAATGTTATTTAATTTGAACAAAACATCATGAATGTTCGCTTGCTTTAATAAAACAATTCTAAAAGATAAAAAAATTACACCATGCCGAGCTCCGATCTGTGAATCGAAAAGTACATAGTGGGCTATCCTAAGCGACAATCTCGTCAGCCCATTGTAAAGATGTGTATGTAACGCGGGGACAGACTGTTATGTAATTTATTAGGAGGGATTTAATTTGTATTTGATAATTTAACTCCAAAGAAATCAATTAACTGCCTTTTCTGTCAACCCGATTTTTTTACTGAAAAAAATTGAACTTCAAAACAGACCCGTATATTGCAGTACTTAATCTGTACTTTACATTGTAGCAAGTAACATAAATTCAGACTATTTAAGTTATTTAACAGACAGCCGTTTTGTAACAAACATATCAACAATGATCAGTGAGCAGTAAATGTGTGTATATATATATTTGGTCACACAACACAGTAATAAATTTGGCATAACGAGTGAATATGTGTATAATTATATGTACAGTGATACCCTAATGTCTTGATGAAAACATGCATGTTTATAAAACTCGCCCTTCCCTACAATACATGTATGTTATAAAACATATCAACAACGAAGTTAGGTCTCCTTTTTTTGGTCCATAAAATACTTCGTTTCTCTGTCTGTGCAATGTAAATTACACAATATATTGCCATGTTTTCCAAGAAAAAATAACATAGTATTTTGTAAGTTAAAGGTAGTCATTGTATTGTTCCATGTTTCTGGAAATTTCCGGATTTTTTCATGATTGATATTTATCCATTTCGTCTCTATGTAACGACAAGAAAGCATCGGCACTGTTCAATATACCTTTCAATGCAAGCAGCGCAAGAATGTCAACATTAGGGTCAAGTTCACATTCTTTCTCGTAGTTTTTGACCGGAAATATACAGTTCTGTGGTAATCCTAACATTTCTGAAACCTGTACAAATATATGGATGATTGTGAAACACTCAAAAATTCAAATTCTCAAATAATTGTATTGCATTAAACATACAATATATGTTTATAGCACATTTATAGCATATCTATCGACAGAAGACATGGATTTTGTCAAGGAGCATGAAAATACAATGCAATGTGAAACATTTATACAACTTAGATCACTATCTTTTACAGAAGAGATTTGAAGCTATATAATGCTTAGAGAAAATAACTTCAGTGACTAATGATGATGGCTGGCATATCCTACTTTTTACATCACAGATTGAATTAAATAAGAACTGTTTACAGCAAAAAGATCAACTTTTTCATAGACGCGTTTATAAAGTAACACCCTAAACTTAAATTGCGATGGCATAATTATCTTACTTTACGTTTTGTGAATTGCCCAAAGGCAAGGGCAATTTGGTCAGGTAAGAAAAAGTCTTTCTTCCTCTCTTTGAAGAGGGTCTGGTAAGACATATCATTAAAATATGTTCCTTTGTAATTTGTATCACATTATATTATTTTTACATCTTGCTATCAATGTTACAGTAGTCAAATCTTGATATAATTGACGGTACTTTTGAGTCTAATTAAGTGATCCTATACAGAAGGTAGCATGACATGGATTATAATAAGATGTTCTAAATATCAAGGCGTAATAAGTTGGGTCATATGGGGGTTGCGTTCATTGAACGCCGCCTTTCCTTGTTGGTCTTGTTTATCATATTTCATCAAAACTCGAATTTTATTTGTTACAATCAAGGCAGTAGTGGTCTATGGTTCACTCGGATCAATTAAGTGTTTAATATCCTTGTCGGTTTCCATGATTTCCTATTTTGAATCACTTATAATAACTATAATTATCACTCGTCCGTGCTTTGTCCTTGTGTCATTTCCTATTTTGTTAGGTGTCTTGCTCCGGTCCTTGCCGGTGGTTCTGTATTGCTGTATTTTGTTGGGGGATGCGTTCACTGAAGGTCGCCCTTCTATATTGGTCTTGTTTTCAAACACAAATAAATGCCTTCGAAATATCACAGAAGACACATTTTATTTCTTGGCATTCATCAGGGGCTTTACAAATGTCATTTTAAATGTATTAAAATGCATTGGTTGTTTCATAATGATCAATTACTTTTTATTTGCTTTTTGTGTCCCATTAGTTTTCACAAGACAGCTAGGAAGGAAGCTATGCATGTCGTTTAAATAATTAGAAGGGTCAGACTTTTTTTTAATACATTGGTATACCTTTTTTTGTTCACAAGGTCAGTAACACATAGACAAAAGTTTGTTATATAAAAGAGTGTGTAGGTGGGCGAATTCATTTGTTGAAGCTAATTTAGTGCATATGCTTAAGGTGGATTTACATTTAGGATAGCAGAATATATGTCTGTTATAATGCTCTATCAATGCATTCCTTCCAGTAGTGACCAATAGTGATTGTTGGTATCAATAAGGTTGGGGCGGTAGAATCCACCAGTTAATTATGTTTGCTTTAACCCAGTCTTGGTCAGGTAATGATCAGCAAATAATACAATAAAACACGACGATTGTAGCATTCATACGTATAAAAATATACAAAATTAAGATTAAACTCTCAGCAGATTTTTTATTACTTTTTACATGTACTCATGTGTAAAACCAGCATACAACATCACCCTTATTTTTTATATCAATTTCAAAAGAGAGAAAAAAGAACCTTAAAGGGTATAAATCTATAAATGCTATATTCTAAATGTACCATTATAACCTATATGCAAATGTTTTCGATGAATGACATGCAAAGACAACTTTTCTCTTAAAATGACATGAAATAAAATACCTCTTAACATTGCACACAAAGAAAACTTTTTCTCACAATTTTTCAAATTATTTTTTCTTAACATAACATGCAAAGAAATTTTTTTTCGTAAGCAAGACATGCAGATAAATGGTTTTCACATAACATGTCAATCACAGAATTTTTCCTCTAAACATAACGTGTGATGTTTTTGGTTGGTTTTTTTTGCAAGGAATATACTCCTATTTTTCTATAATGATGGAAATGCAATTGAATCAATGGAAGATTGATAAAACGGCACTTTATTCAACTACAGCATAGAAGCGTTAACCATGTGAGCTATAGTTAGTAAATTATCTTATTGTTTTCCGTAAAATTTGATGACCGGAACTTATCATAAAGTCTCAATTGACCCTAATTAATCTACAATGTATTTAATATTACAAAAAAATCAATACGCTAATTATATTTTTCTACATTTTAAAAAAGATAAATAAGATGTAAATAATTTATTAGTTTATGCAAAGTACTGTCATTATGTATTCTAATTAAACTAATACAAATGGATATGTGTTTGTTTTGTGTACGATGAAATTTTATTTCATAGTGTGAGCATGAATGCATGAAGACTAGAGCTAAAAAGAATAGTTCAAACATCAACGTTAGATGGTGCTAATGTTATTCATTTTGAACAAAACATCATAAATGATCGCTTGCTTTAATAAATAAAACAAACAATTGTAAAAGATAACAAAAGTTACACCATGCCGAGCTCCGATCTGTGAATCGAAAAGTACATATATAGTGGGCTATCCTAAGCGACAAACTCGCCAGCCCATTTTAAAGTTGTGTATTTAACGCGAGGACAGACTGCTATGTAATTTATTAGGTGGTATATAATTTGTATTTGTATTTTAACTCCTATTCAAAAAGTGAAAGAAATCAATTAACTGCCTTTCTGTAAACCCGTTTTTTTTATTGAAAAAAAATTGAATTTCAAATTTCAAAACAGACCCGGAAATTGCAGTACTTAATCTGTACTTTACATTGTAGCAAGTAACATAGATAAAACATCCTTAACAGTTCCAAAACAGTCAAATCACAGACTATTAAAGTTATTTAACAGACAGCCGTTTTGTAACAAACATATCAACAATGATCAGTGAGCAGTAAATGTGTGTATATATATATTTGGTCAAAAAACACAGTAGGCCTAATGCCCTTGGCATAACAAGTGAATATGTGTATATATGTACAGTGATACCCTAATGTCTTGATGAAAACATGCATGGTCATAAAACTCGCCCTTCCCTACATAATGTCCTACAATTTGTTATAAAACATATCAACAACGAAGCTGTGTCTCCCTTTTGGTCCATAAAATACTTCGTTTTCTGCCTGTGCAATGTAATTGCCATGTTTTCAAAGAAAAAAATAACATAGTATTTTGTAAACTGAAGAAAGTGATTGTATTTTTCCATGTTTCTGGAAATTTCCGGATTTTTCATGATTGATATTTATCCATTTCGTCTCTATGTAACGACAAGAAAGCATCGGCACTGTTCAATATACCTTTCAATGCAAGCAGTGCAAGAATGTCAACATTAGGGTCAAGTTCACACTCTTTTTCGTAGTTCTTGACCGGAAATATACAGTTTTGTGGCAATCCTAACATCTCTGAAACCTGTAAAAATATATATATGATTGACACTCAAAGTTTCAAATTCTCAAATAATTTTATTGCATTAAACATACAGTAAGTGTTGATAGCACATTTATAACATATCTAGGCAGAAGATATGGACTTTTCAATTGGAATGAAAATACAATGCAAAGTGAAACATTTATACAACTTAGATCACTATCATTTACAGAAGAGATTTGAAGCTACATAATGCTTAGAGAAAATAACTTCAGTGACTAATGGTGATGGCTGGCATATCCTACTTTTTACATCACAGATTGAATTAAATTAGAACTGTTTACAGCAAAAAGATCAACTTTTTCATAGAAGCGTTTATAAAGTAACACCCTAAACTTAAATTGCGATATTTGTATGGCATAATTATCTTACTTCATGAAATTTAAATTGCTCATTTGATTAGGCTTCTATTTATACATGCCAAAAACATCATATTTTGTAAACAATGAGTACATTTAAAGAATATATAAAATACCGCATACCTTTGCAACTGTTTTGTCAATGAGTTTGCTCTTTAATGCATTAGACGGGTCGATCTTTGTCTGCTTGCAAACCTTGTCAATACATGTTAGTATAACAACTTGAGGTACATCTGGAAGTTTATGTAGAATTATTTAATGTATTCAATGTAGCTAAATGATAAGGGAACATAAATTAAAAAAGGCAATGTTTTACATACTAATATAGCAATATTTTTGTCACTTTCTACCACACTGTATTATCGAAGCCAGTGATGACAAATTGCTGCAGTGAAAGAAAATCTACAATATACAGATTACTACAGGTAGGTTATAAATTTGGTTGGTATATCTACATTACCTAAATAAGACAATTTCATTGCTATATACCTACTTCTTTTAACTGTGATTACTAGCAGGTAATTTTGGACCTGTTTCCCATTTTATTGAAATATTAATACTAAATACCGAGTTTGTAACATTCTCAAGAAAGAAAAGATACATTGGGTGCGTGACCCTAATGAATGAATTTTTAAGTGTTTTACCCGAAATACCTGTATTTGATTCAAACTTGAGATATTTTTAAGATTTATCATATTTTTATTAATGTTTTTTTCCCCAAGTATTCATTGTTGATCCGCTCAATATATATAAGTATAACCTTGAAATATTGATTACAACTGACATACAATCATTGACAGATGAACATTACGTAAATCACTTCACTATTTCCGTTCGTTTAAATATTTGCTTTTGTTTCAATATTTGCTCTCAAGTCTTACCCAAGCTGTTCATCACAGTTTGCATATCTTTTATGTTCTGTATCGTGTCTTTAATGGCATCAGCAGCGTCGACTGTGCTAGCATCTAGAACAATGGCAGTACAGTGAATCTGGTCTTCCAACTTGGGTTGCTTCAGAAAGCCTGGAGTATTAGGAGCAACTGCCCGACTAGGGTCCAACTGAATTATGAAATCATGTTGGTAAATCACGTTTAAGAAATATATGGATTTTTATGTACAATTTGGTCATATTTAATCTCCCTTCAACTCATCGTCCACATCGGCAATTGCTCTGCTAACTGGCTACTAAGATAATAACACCGGTGCACACAGATTGCAAAGGTTAGCTTATCATTAGAAACGTTTGAACTCATACAAGTATGATATTTGTTAATAATATAGTACAAATAAAACACTTAAAAGTATATAATTTGAATGCTAGCGTATTTACAGTATAAATGAAAGAAAGATATACGTTGTGCATTTTGGACAAAGGAAAGAAAACAGTAGTTTCAACAAGAGTCTAAAACAATTGAAAAATATCATTTTAAGCCCATGAAAATAGTTTTTGTTTTAATTAACTATTAACTATTTTGGAAAAATTACCAAAAACTTATCCTCTATGTGACCATTCAGTATGTATCGCATGTTGTCTTTTTCCATCAAGTGGTTAGGCTCTAAGCCCATGGTGTCACATATACGAAATCCCATCTCCTTGTTGCTGTTACTCTTGGAAATCACGGGGTATTGTCGGAACTGCAGAATAAATCGAGACAGAAAATCTACAGTACATTCTGTTCTCAAGTCATTTTAGTTAAAGAATCTGCAAAAGAGTCGGTGTAGACTAATACAAATTGATGCATATATCACACAGGATTATCTACTATTTTCACCCGTGCTAGAAAAACTTGTCTTACACCCTCCATGTAAGACAAGTTGCGTGCTTTCGATGACATCATTCCGGTGCGTTTGAATGACATGAATGAATTGCGTTTTTAAAATGACGGCATTTAGCCGTTAGGATGAATTTGTAAATTCATACGCTATTATAAGTAAAGAAGTCCTAAACGAAAGTTTTAGTTTTCAGAATTTCTTTTCGAAATATTATTCATGTAATATGTAAGAAAAAGAATCAAACACCGGCTGTCGTCACAGTCGGATATAATTAGCTCTCGGGTACTGCTCAGTTTAGCAGAAACTCGACAGAGCCTCGTTACCGCAACAGTTACCTTCGAGCTAGATATACCGGTCCTTTCCGGCAGCCGGTGTAAGACCCTTAAAATATCCTACAGTGTGACTGAACTCTTCACTATCATACCTTCTTTAACTTACTGAATGGTATAATTTCCATGGCATAAAGAAATAGTAGTTATTACTAAAACCTTGATAACTTTTCAAAACAATAAAACTCATTTTTTTCATATATGTAGGTGGAGCATAACACTAAATACCGTATTCCGGTATATACCGGACAAGGCACTTGATTGATAAAATGCTAAAATCTTGCCTTTTTACCCAACGGAATGAATTTTGAAAGGTCTTATTCATCTTTTCACACCGATTTTTGTATGTAAATGCATGAAAAATGTAATAATCGGCGAAAAAAAACGATATTTGTCTATTTTGTGATCATGAATTTTGCAAGCGTCTAGAGGTACTGCTCCTATCCTGTAATGAGTTAAATCCGTACTTAATAACACCTTGGCGAATATCTAAAATACTTAAGAATTAGGGTTATAAATCTAAACAATAACAAACAGTCAGTAATATACCTTGGTTGTTAAACTATGTTCCGAGCTGCCACTCCGTGCAACACCAAATATCTTCCCTCTAAATATAGAGTTGATGGTGTTGAAGAAACTGGACTTTCCTACGCCTATAGGGCCCATTAACAATATGTTTACACGAGGGAACCGCGTGTCACTACTGAGGAAGTCGTGTATAGGTCGGTAGTTCTCTATGTCCTGTTTCAGTGATTCTCGGGTCTGTTATAAAAAATTACGTAAGAGATGATTTTCAAACTTAAGTTAAAATCTAGTTTTTCAATTTTTTGGTTCAAGCAAAATTTTTTCCCTTTAACAGCGTACTACAAAACTGCATGTTCTATAAATAATAAATTAAATGTAATAAATAAATAAATAAATAAATAACATTATCTGTTACATACATTAGCTGTGGGTCCAACAAGGCTAAAAAAAATCTCTTAAACAGCGAATGCTTAGTGTTTCTACTGGCTTTTATTACAATCAAACTATATAAATGTGTTTGAATTACAATTTTAGAATTTGTTAACAATCTTTTTTATAATGTACATGTATATAACAAAAAATACTCGCCTTCTCCTCTTCCATACTCAACATAAACTGAAACAAATTGAAAAGAGATTATTGCATGGACACCTTGTCAAGGGGGGAAACTAGTGTAACGAAGAACCGTATAATATAACAGGGTTATTTCCCTTCCAATAAAATATACGACAGTGTTTTTGCTTATTCGCTTTTCTTAAAATTTTTGGTTTAATATATGTGTTGCAGCAAACATGCAGGAATGATTGTTTAACTGAAAGTCGGGTCAGTGGTAGCTTATCTATTATTAGTCTAAATGGTTGACACAGAAAAGACAAAATCATTTCCATTGCTACTTGAAAGGCATTCGGAACACCCTTCCGATTATCCATAATAGCAAATCGTTAAACCTACATGAATTATTAAAAACTATGTCCGTTGTTATAACTGTGATGCAAGTCCTTTACTGGAGTTTGACTGAAGACCTCGAGGCCGAAGCATTGCAATTATTTTATTGCTACGTATAATTGTAAGAAATTACCTGTTTTACTGCAGCATTCTCGAATATTGGTTGTAAAGGTTTCACTCTTTTTAAATGTCGTAAAATAGTAGCGCCCCTGTGAAAAGAAATATCAAATTTTTGGAAACAATCAGAAATCGTAAGTCTTAATTAGAATAATTATGTAATAATTATGAAATGTCAAGTTTTTCACGTTATAATTACTATTATTTTGTTTATTGATGTTTTTTCAGTAATAATAGAGCGGATGGTAATGTATTTTTTATCATTGCCCGCCGTCGCATTATCAACCAATACAACGTTGATATTACACAGTGTGTTAGATCGTCAGTTACTTGCAGAAAATGCAAGTCTTTTATTAAACAGTAAACTGATTACCTTGTGTTAAACAAACAAACAAACAAACAAACAAACGAACAAACACTACTCACTTAAATAGAGATAAAAATCCTAGTATCTCAAGAAGACCTCCAATCCGAGTTAAGCCTATAACGGAAAGAAATAGTCCTGCAAGAAACAATGCGAGGGCTTTGCCTTCCCGACTATCTAGAGATAATCTTACAAACTGCTCTAAGTTGCTGATAATATCGTCATGTGTGTTAAAAAATATCTGGAAAAATAAGAACTCAATCATTATGTCATCCGTACAGTTCGTGCCAAAATATGCATGCCTTATAAAGGATAATTCATCGTCTGGTTGGGTGCTGAATGAGGATTATACGTAACGAGTGCATAATTATATGGTTTACCAAGGATGATGATAGTCAAGTTTAAAGTGACAGTATGACCATTCAAGGGTATGTAATGATTGATCGGGTGAAAGTGAAAATAAGTTTTCATTTTGCCATAATTTCTTTCCATTTGCATAGATGATAAATAACTCACGTGGCCCAAGGAAATTGCTGTAAATATCTATCGGTATTTAACAGTAACGTTCAGTTTTAAATTATATACAAAACAGGGCAGGTGAGACAATATTTTTATGTTTTATGCAGATTGATATCTTATATCATAACTATTTTCCAATATCAACTCTTGTTCATCTTCTTAATACCTAATCTTTTGAAATATAAAAACAATTAAGCTGAACTTCACAATGAAAAAAATGAACGTAATATCACAAGTTCTTTGTTATTTGTTTTTGAAACAAAGAGGCAACAGGCGAATTGGTTTTCGTCCCTTGATCTGTATTTTTTTTATTAGGTTATTTTTAATGGGAATTTTCTGTGCGTCTTGGGTAATATGCAATGCACCGTGGAGTCTGTGGTGATGCGACTTCGTGTAAAAAGAAATCAAGAAAGTCAAATACCAGGCCATTGACTTATTCCATCGAGATTTCAAAAAACATGTGTAATATTATGCCAGTTTTGTATTGATTATATAAGAGGTTCCAACTTTTAAACAATTCAACCAAATTACGTGTTGAATAGCTAATCAGAATAAAGCAGATCTACTCATTTATTAAATGTACAGCGGAGCGTTTAGCAATAATAGTAATAATATCCATATTTAAAGAATGTATCACATGAAAACATACCATCGTAAGAATATAATCATTAAATTTTAAATGTGGCCTTCTAAACTTATAAAAACACGCAAAAAACAACAACGAAAACAACTATTACATTGCGTCAATTAAACTTTGGTCCTTTAACAAACATTATTGGATTTTTAGGATATATTAAGTAATCACAAGTCCGTCAACAGAAATATAACAGAACAGAAATATATTTTATTTTGAATTAATTAGGCTTTCACAGCTAATCTGCATATACATCATTATATACACATGCATGAATACGAAAAATTGTAATGCACAACAATAACATATGAGCCGCGTCACGACAAAACCAAAATAATGGGCTTGCGACCAGCATGGATCCAGACCAGCTGCGCATCCGCCAAACCCTATTACAAGTAGAGAAACTGACAGCGTACAGCATGGATCCTGATCACACTGCGCGGATGCGCAGACTGGTCTGGATCCATGCTGGTCGCAAAAGCATTACGTTGGGTTTGTCATGACGCGGCTCATATATACAAACATTGGTTTTCAGTATGATTACAACAAAATAATGAATACGTACAGTTCGTTTTCTAGGTTGCCATTTTACGGACTTGTCTCTCCATGGTGTATCATACAACGCATCACTTCCAACGCTGGTAGACGCTGAAGATAAATAAATAAATAAATGAATGAATAAACAAATAAGTAAGTAAAAAAACAAACAAACAAACAAACAAATAAATAAATAAACAAACAAACAAACAAATAAACAAATAAGTAAGTAAATGAATAAACAAACAAACAAAACAAACAAATAAATAAATGAATAAATAAATAAACAAATGAATAAATAAATAAACAAATAAGTAAGTAAATAAATAAACAAACAAATAAATAAAGAAACAAATAAATAAATAAACAAATAAATAAATAAATAAACAAATAAATAAATAAACAAATAAGTAAGTAAATAAATAAATAAACAAACAAACAAAAAAATAATCAAATAAATAAATGAAAAAATAAATAAACAAATGAATAAATAAACAAATAAGTAAATAAATAAACAAATAAACAAATAAATAAACAAATAAACAAATAAATAAATAAACAAATAAATAAAAAATAAACAAATAAATAAATAAACAAATAAATAAATGAATAAATAAATAAATCAATCAATCAATCAATAAACAAATAAGTAAGTTTTTAAATAAACAGACAAACAAATAAATAAATAAACAAATAAATAAATAACAAATACATAAATAAATAAATAAACAAATAAGTATGTAAATAAATAAATAAACAAACAAACAAATAAATAAATAAATAGACAAACAAATAAATAAATAAATAATTAAACAAATAAATAGATTCTAAATGAATAAATAAATAAATAAACAATTAAATAAATAAACAAACAAACAAACAAGTAAATAAATAAATAAATGAACGAATAAATAAATAAAAAATAAACAAACAAATAAATAAAAAACAAATAAATAAATAAATAAACAGACAAACAAACAAAAATTAATTACTGACTGTTTCATGGTTCACAAAACAGTTTCACAAACATTGTAATATAAATCTGGTGATTATAAAACCCTTGTTGCGATAGTAGAGAATTTTATTTTAATTAATTAATTTATTTATTTATTTATTTATTAATACCTGACTGTTTCATGGTTCACAAAACAGTTTCACTAGCAAATATATCATTTGTTTTCAGGTAAAACATTGTCATATAAATCTGGTGATTATAAAACCCTTGTTGCGATAGTAGAGAATTTTGGAAGTATTTTTTTTTCAAATTACAAACATTTTTTAATGCACTAGATATATAGAGGATATTTGTTTGCTTTGCATGTAAGATTGAAATATAATTTCACTGAGTGAACATCAGATGCAATATTTTCACGAGTGGCGTAGCTGTGTAGTGTTCACGAATGAAATATATTTCAATCTTATATGTAAAACAAATAAATTTTCTTTTTATTTCATGCTTTTTAAGTGATTTTAAGTATTTTTTACTGATTTTGCTGCGTAACCTCGCGCATTCTCCTTTGTGACGTCATCACATCATGACGTCACATCATCAATTTTGAAATATAGTTCTGTTAAATATCTCTAATTTTGTTACATTTTTACATGATGTATGGTGACATCAACTTTCTTTTCCTAAAGAAGCAAAATTTACGTATGACGGCATTTATTTCTGCCTGTTATTCCATTTAGTTATGATTTTCTTTTCATTCGCATTTAGATATAGTCCGGCTACAGTGAAAATTATATTATATAAATTTCACTAGTGGTTTATCAGAATATAATCATATGATATATTACAATAAAACACTGGAAAGCATGAAATAAAAAGCTGTATTCACTTCAAATACGCCTAGCTACGCCACTGATTAAAACAACGCAACAAACAAACAAACGGGAAAACCATATTTAATATTCTTAATATTTTATAGATTAATAACAACAGTTACACTCGCATGTAATGGCTCATAACATAAGGAAATTAATGAAGAGGGAAGTAAGCGATGTAATCTTTGCAGACAATCTCCTACGCAGTAGTCTTCCCTAATCACTACTGCCAAGGGAGGTAATGACTGTGAGGAGTTTGCATTGCAGTTGCGCTAAAAAATTGCTGTTACAGGGCTATAATATTTCTTTTATCTCCATTTTATTAAGTCGGAATTTATTTTGATTTCCCTTGATTTTTGTAATTGTGTATAACTAATAATGCGAACAATTACTTTGTCAGAAAGTTAATCATTAGTCTAAAAATACACATGAGAGGCTAAAAATATATACTTTCTAAAAATAGTTTCATCTTAAGTCGGAAAATCCAAAATAGCTATTTATAATATCAAATTTCCAATTTAATGCGGATGAAAATAGAAACAACAAAAACTCAAGGGGAATACCGCTCTTTTATGAATTCCTCTCTCACCAAGATATTGCAAGCTATTTTAAATGATAACGTATTTAAAGAGGTCATTTACTTCTGTACATGTAAATTTCCTCGTAGAAACCATGGGCGGATAAGGCTGGTTATTTGTTTATGTAGATCCAGACGCGCTATAAATATTTACATATAAATTATTTCAATAACGTCAGCTATTTCGATAGATCTCCAACAATTTTTAATTAATGAAGATGGAGAAATAAGACGCGACATTCAAATCTGAAAAATACACACATGTGCTTGTTTTGTAAACAATATTTTACACGTGCATAATTTTATAGGTCTGAGATTTTCATCTTCCCATAAATTATTTCATCATTGCATTTATTTGTACAGTAGTCTAGCAACCCTCATTAAGACCACCCGTTAAGTAAGACCATCCTTTTATTAAGACCAACTTTTGAACAAATATAATTTTCCGTACTTTAATTATTGATATACTGTCCACTTTTGGGACTTAATCTTAATTTGATACCATTTTTGAGAGCACTGAAAATCCAATCAACCCTTATTTAGACATGAGTGTTGTCGTTATCATCTGCTTGTGCTACTATTCTGACTGAAGCAAGAGGGAGATCACTGGCAGAGCGATCTGTATAGAATAGAATCTCTTATTGCATCATAGTTTTCCTAGAGTTAAATCGTATACCAATGCATGCACAGTGCGTTGACTGGAGTGTTACCTTGAGCAGCATGCTCGTTGATTGGCTCATTTTTCTGGGGTTCAGATAAGGAAAACGATAAGGAAGTCATATTCAGATGCTCGTTAATTAGTAACTCTTTTCTGGGGTTTAATGTTGTGATGACAGGGAGCGTGTTTTAATTTTTGCCTATGACAACTTCAGAACACTCTGATTTGTAGTGTGTGTGTGTGGGGGGGGGGGGGGTTACTTCAAACAAGACCAATAAGAATTTAAATTTTACAATTATTAAATTTCCCTAGAATTATGCTATGCACTCGGTCATAAAATATATAAGTGATGATATTAGAAAAGTCCTTTATATAGGGGGTTTCAACTGTACTTGAAAAGGTAACTAATATTGTTAAACACACAATAATTTATCAAAGGGCTCACTTCATCTATTTTTCAGTGTTTGGTACTTAAAATTAATATCAAAATTTGATTTCGTTCTTTTTACTTTTAAATTTATAGTAGTACCTAATTGTAATAAAACTGGAGACGTACACGTGTATGTTTACAAAAATGAAACGCCTTGACACTTTAATCGCGACAAAGGATACTTGTCTTCGATAAATATTGAACTTAATTGAATTTAACATAACACAATGCGTAATAAAAGAATATATAAAAGATCTACCTGACATAACATTATCCATTTTGTATTCAAAATTCTTGTTTTCTTTCTCTTTTCCGGTTATAATCTTTAGGCCTACTTTCGTTTTCAGGTTGGAAAATATATTTTTAGATTGCTGGGATTCCCTTTAAATATTTTCACAAAATTAAACGTAACCCTTTTGAAAATATATGACACGAAATAAAACTTATCAAAATCATAGGTAATCGGCGCGTTGATTGGTTTCACTTACCCCCGCCCCCCTTCCTCCCCCAATAGGTAATCGGCGCGTTGATTTGGTTCCACCATACCCCCGCACCCCTCCCCCCCCCACACCCACTCTACAGCCCTCCTACCTCTTCAAAAACCATGTAAAAAATACAGTATTTTTCAATTTGGGGAAACATGTTTTAATATTTGGTTTATGCTTTTAATTCAATAACCTTCATTTCCTACAAAAAATTAAAAATTGATACATATATACTAAATATATATGTATCAATTTTTAATTTTTTGTAGGAATCAAATTAAGAATATTGGTTTCGATTTCGATTATATAATGATGTTATATTGATTAATATATTTATGATGACAATAAAATAACATGAATATAACAAAATTAACAACATGAAGGTGACAGCACGAACACCATATAATATTGTGATAACGATATGAACAACATGATAATGACAACATGTATAGAACATAAAACATGCAACATGAACAAAATTATGATAACAGAATAAACACGTTGACGGAACTATATTAAACATAAAATTAAACGACTTAATTAAAACATAACAAGAAAAACAATAATATCATAACAATATAAACAATATGAAAATGGCAATATGTAGAACATGTTAATAACTTCATGAAAAACATGATAGTGACAACGCGGACATCATGATGGTAACAATATAAACACAATGATGACGGCAACAGGTAACCATGATAATGACTCCATGAAAAAACATGATGATAAGATGAGGAGAAAAAAACATGACAAAACGAATAAGATTATAATAACACTATAATCAACCAACATGATGATGGCAATATGTAGAACATGATTATGACTTGCAGACAAACAAATTGACACAAACTACATGATGATAACAATACAAATAACATGATGCTATAAAAAAATAACACCATGACAACAAGATTACAATAAAAACAACATGACTACGATAATTATGAAGGGAATATTGATACAAATGTGATTGTATTGGTAATGGTAATTTTCCCTAGGGAAATTGTTTTGATTTGATACAATTAGCGGGGAAGTAATGATACGTTTGAAAATTTGTTTTGTTTTTGGATAACAATGGGCCGGAAAATAAAATTTTAAATTACGTTTTAACGTTGTTTTTATTTGATTAAAAACAGGGGGGAAGGGAAAAATGATTTAAAAACAATTTTTATTTTTAGATGATTTTTTAAAGAGAAGAAAATTTGTTTCCGATGGCAATTGTATGATTATGATAATTTTAAAAGAAAGTTTTAATGTTTTGGAGGGCAATTGAAAAAAATTTGATAAAAAAACCCGAAAAAAAAACATTTTTACGGGGGGGAAATTTGATGGAAATTTGCTAAATGAGTTTGAATAAATGATTAAAGGACAATTGTACCGATTATGAAAACCAATAGGGGGAAATTTTTAATGGTACGGGGAAATTTATTATAATAAAAAACATCACCCGAGAAAAAAATTTGGTTTTCGATGGCAAGGGTATGATAATGTTAAAATAGCGAGAAATTTTTATATGTTTGAAAAATAATTTGAAAATTTTTTCATAATGATTATAATTAGCAAAAAGATAATGATAAAATTTGACAATTTTTTATAAGGATAACTGAACTAGAATTGATGTTGATTTAAAATTTTAGGGAAAATGATACAATGCGAAAAGAAAATTTTTTTCGATGGCAAATGGTTTAATAATTTGATAATAATAGCGGGGAAGAACATGATAGGAAAATGTTTTGATTTTTGAAGGAATATCCCTGATTGCGTTAAAATTTTTTGAAAAACCCGATAATGATTTTTTAAAAGCGGGGAAGAACATGATAGGGCAAAGTATGATAAGGGATAGCCAGATATATTTGTTTTTCCCTTTACTTTTTTGAAACGTTTAAGTACAAGGTAAATTTGGGTTAATTAAATAACAATAGCGTTTAAGATAAATCCCTAGGACAAGTGTATGTTTTGGTATTTAAAAATTTATGATTAGAAAAAAGGGACGATGACAGTTATTGTAAATGTTTCAGTGATGAAAAATTATTTTTTGGGGAGTTTAATGACTTTGATTTTAAAATTTTTATGTTAATAAATGTGGTAAAAAATTTAGTTTTTGTGAATTATTTTGGGGGATGAGAATGACTTTGAATATAGGTATAATGTTATTATATTATGATGAAATGAATGATATGGTATAAGTGTTATGATGATAATACAATGGTAGTATTGATAAATATATTATGATGAGAATGACATGATATAAATATTATTATGATAATAAATAGTGGTGAAAATGGTAGTATGATGATGAATATATTATGATGAGAATGACATGATATAAAATGTTATTATGATAATAAATGGTGGTAAAAATGGTAGTATGATGATAAAAATAGTGTGACGACCAAAAAGATAATTTTACGGAAGCACAGAGGGCACATTCCGATTTGATTTTATTTTCCTATCTCGGGGCCACGAGATATAACCCAGAAAAAAAGTATATCTTTTGGCCACGAGATATAAGTCAGAAAAAAACAAAACGAAAAACAAAATGGTAATCTCGTTCCCACGATTGCAATATTAGGATGCTAATTATAATATGAAAATATGACATAAAGGGGCAACTTTTTATACGTTTGTTTAATATGATATTTAAAATTGTTATGTTTGGCAATTTTTTGGTCTTTTACAAAAAATAACATGATGGTGGGGAACCGGTATGTTTAAACCGGCTTTTTAATTAGAAAAATATGAGGGAAAAACCGCTTTGTTTTTTTGCAGATGTGTTTCTTTCTGTACCCGTTAGCTCTGTTAAGATATCTTTTTTTTCAAAAAATTCCTTTTTTCGAACGGGAAAATTTAAAAAAAAAAATTTTCCATAACAAAAATTTACCCGCGGGGGAAAATTTAAAAGATTTTATTTAAAAAATTTTTCTTGGACGGCTTATGGTTTTTATGGCCTTTTTATAAAAATTGACGTAAAATGAACGTCGTTTCTCATGGCTATTCTTTGAGGGATGTATTATACGTTTAAAGATTTGTTTACCCTATAGGGTTAAAGGGCCCCTTTTTGAACTTTTTGGTTTTTTATATATAACCCGAGCCGTTTAGGTGTTTGCCCAATTTAGAAAAAACCCACTTTGGTTTTCTTAAATGGGAAAGTTTGCTGTTTTTTAATTAAAAATTTCGTTATACAAAGTCCTGGCGGGTTTTTGGCCGTATAAAAAAGGTTTTTTGTAATAACCCCGGCTGGGAAATATTATGTTAAAACATTTTTATAAAGATTTTAAGCCGCCCAAAAAAAAAAATAGTAGTATAAATAAATTTAAAATTTTTTTAAAAACAACCTTTAGAAAACCACTGCCCTTTTTAACCTTTTAAAAAGGTCTTATTTTTTTTACAAAATTTATTTATTTTTACAAATGGGTCAGCGGTTTGTTATACGGGGTTTTAATTTGGACCACGAAAATAAAATCTGAGGGTATAGTAATTTGAAATACTTGTTTTTAATACCGAAGGGAAATTTAAAAATTTCCCCCTTTACTTAAATTTAGACAATGGCCGTGTAGTTTTTTACCCCGTAAATCTAGACAGAAACAATTTTAATTTATAAAATGTTTACAAAACAAAAATTGAAATATATTGAAATGTTTTTTGGGATTGAAATTTTAATTTTGGAAAAAGCCCAAAAAACAGAAAATTTTTTTAAATAGAAATATTATACAGTGTGAAATTTAAATTTGGGATAAAATAAAATTTTTTTCAGCCCATTTTTTTTACTTCATATATATTTTTAGACTTAACCCCCCCGTATGGTATTTTGCCCTAATGTAGATTTCACTGGGTTTCCCCCGCGGGAATTAAAAACCTAAGCTTTTTCCCTTTGAGCGATTTTATTTATTTTTCCGGTTTTTGACAAAAAAGTCTCAATCTTTTTTTATTTCAAATCTTTCGAACAAAAAATTGTAAATTTTCCCTTTTATTTTTGAACAAATGGCTTTTTACGGGTTTTTGGGAAGGAAATTTTTTTAAATATTTTTTGGAAAAATTTTTACGTGTTTAAATAACGGGATAAAATTTGGGGAACTTTTTTCAAGTTTAAATTTTTTTCCCTTTTTCCCCCCAAATCGAAACAGAAAAATAATAAAAAAAAATAGAATCACTTTTCGGGCTTTTTAACAAATTTTAAATTTAGCTTGAAAAAATTTTTTATTTGTTATTATTTTTTTAAGATAGAAATTTTTTAAGTTTAACCCTTAAACAAGCCCAGCAGCTGGTTTGCGAGTTTAAAAAAAAATTGGAAAAAAGGGAAAGGGTATATTTTTTTTTACAAACTTTTTTTTCGTTTGGGCTTTTAAATTTTCGCAAAACCACCAAGATGTTCGAACCACAGTTAAAAAGTATACTCCCTTCCTAGTCAAATCTATATCATCCCAAAATTTCAAATTTTAACCCGCTTATTATCTCTAGCTACAACAACAGTCGCTACCCCAGTACAAACAACTGCCCCTGCACCTGTTACTGCTACCTCGGTAACAACCACATCAACCGCACAAGCCACTGCCGCATCTACCCAACCTATTGTTACACCGGCTACAGCGCCCGTTGTGGCAGCGACAACAGCACAACCCACTGTTACATCTACACAATCCATTGTTACACCGACTACAGCGACAACACAGCCTGTTGTGACACCTGCAACATCACCATCCGTCACTTCTGTTGTCACGACGGCCACAACCCAGCCAAGTGTCACATCACAAGTTACTAGTACTACAGCGGCTCAGGCATCACAACCTGCTAATATACCAGTGTCAGCGTTTGTGCCAGCCTCTTACAACATGTCAGGCTTCTCAGGTAAGTTTAATCATGATCACTGGTCCAGTTTCGGCACAGGACCTGTTCCGACTCATTCGATGTCATTTGTTTCAATTCATAAGAAAATGAGCTGCCAACATATAGTTTGACATACATTGCATTATGTTATCTAATGTCAGAAATATTTCAATGAAAAACGGCATTGGCATTGCGTTCATTGAACGCCGCCTTTCCTTGTTGATCTTGTTTATCATATTTGAAGAAACCGGAACTGGTCCATCACGGAATAGGTTGGCACATGTTCGATCTTCTGTAGAAATGAATTCAGTATAATATGTTATGCATTGTTGTTGTTATGTGTTATATGTGTTTATTTTCTTATTATCGTGCATTTAATAAAAAAAATATAAAATAAGAAAAACATTCGATCTTTCAGAAATCAAACAGTGATACAGTAATTTAAGTACACGGCTTTTATCTTGATATTTAATTGACCTTTATCCGAACAAAGAAAAAATATCATTATCTTTTTAATTTTCCCGTTTTGTGCCCCATCTTAGGTAGCGGTAAACCATTTTTCTAAAACGAAAGTAGAAGTTCATAATAATTCTTTGAAAATATGCGTAGGGTATTTCCGACCTTGAAACCGAAAGTAAAGCTTTAACTGCGTATATGTGATATTAGTTTGATTAACAATTATTTATTATTTAAAACAAACTGGTATGTAAGTATTTTAATGTCTTTGTGTATTATTGAGCGTTATATTTTCTCGTCGAGATTTACATAATTTTGAAGTCTTAAGGTGATTCCGCTTTGTCAGCCATGTTTGTTTTCACAAAGTCTGTCCAAATTGAAATAGGCCAAAATTCATTAACAACAAAAGCTCTTATTTTAAAAAATGATGAACCATTTTGAAATACACTTCCAGGTTTAGATTTAAGGACAATTATAAACAAAAATAAAAATTGATAACAATAAGATATTTACATTGAATTTGCTACATTTCTGAAACCAAAAACATTCTGTTGCAAAGTGTTATGCACATTTCAATGAATGGCAAATCCTTTTTTAAGTCTGTTTTAGTGCCACAAAAAGCTATTTTTGCAGCCAAATACAAAAATTCTTTCAAAACTTAACTCCAAATAAAATCCATATCTCATTGTCCTCTAGCACATGGCGCCTCATTATTTTTTTGTAAAAAAAGTTTAGTGCAAGAAAACATCATCATTTATGCCTTGATGAACTACATTAAAATGAAAACACAATCAAACTTTAAAATCTAACCTTTTTTATGTGTAACAGTGAAGTTGTGTCTGTTTTGTCATGTACACAAGGATTAGATAAATGATGTTATTCATTGGTACTACTTTTTTTACACATGTTCATGGTGGCCATGTTTTTTCAAGGTAATAAACTTACTTTCCTAAGGTTTATATTTTTTTAAATTTTTTGTATTTCTTGCAAAAAGTGCTTTTGTAGGCACTAAACAGACTTTAAAAAGGATTTTTGCCATTCATGAAATGTGCATAAAAACTTTGCAACAGAATGTTTTTTGGTCTTCAGAATGTAGCACATTCAAGGTAATTTTTCTTATTGTTTATCATTTATTTTTGATTTAAAATAGTCTTTAAAAACATAGAACTGGAAGTGTACTTGCAAATGGCTCATCATATAACAATGGTGAGCTTTGCTGTTATTATAATTTTGGCCCTACTTTCACTTTGGAACCCACATAGTGAAAAACAAACATGGCTGGACAAAGCAGAATCACTAATTAAAGATGTATAGTTACTCAACCTTATTGTATCTGCTGCGACGAGATATTGTCATATTTTCGTGTCTGGGCAATATCTCGCCTCTAAAAAAAGCGAGATTCTGCCCCAGAACGAAAATATCTCAGAATCTAGTCCAACTAATTAGACTTGTCAAAGAGACACCGAGATAATTTTGGACGGGCGCTGTCTTGGTTTGACAGTAATAAAAAAAAAGTCTGTAAAATGGGTCAAACCGTTCACGCCAAATTAATTAGGCTAACACCACGGAAGGTACATGTATCTGATTCTCTACTCTTTAAGGCGTCTCAAAATGCCCTTAGTTTGTTACATATTGCAAACTCTTGATTTTTCAGTATCAAATCTTGAAAAATGTTTATGTGTATAATCAATTGTATTAATAAGTGGAGAGAGAGCAACTGTTTTTATGTGAATTTCAGACAGAATGAGTACCAGTGACGCGAACACCTTGTATGAAAGCCCCTGGGCTAAAACGATTAATTTTCACAACAATTTTGAGGTATTTGATAATAAGTGTATTATATTTTTTCTGTCTTTCTATTCATTTTTTAATTTTGGTGTAATATGTCAAAGTTTTTTGTTAACGGGTTATATGCCGACTTGACGTTCGCGTCTGTCATCGTCTTTTGAGTCAGAGTGTTACTTTAAAAACTCTTAGCTACATTTGTTATTCAGGTCATTCTGTGAAACTATATATTAATGGCCCGGCCTTTAATGGTAATGATTCAAGTCAATTCGCATTCAATTGAGGTAAAGGTAACATGGGAATTTTCCAGCTTTACGGTTTACGGAAGATTATGCACCAGACTGCCATCTGAGTAGAACCACTCACGCTCAGTTAGCTAGCTTGTAAGCTTTCTCATACGAAATAATCCAATGCATATGTACGTCGGGTTTCGAACTCAACAACGATGTCTGGCAACTGGTGGTTTAAGTATTTCTAAGAACTTTGAAAACACAATGTCAGTCAGAAATTGATATGCTTCTAATGCTTATCGATCGTTTTAAATTCTACTGTAGCTTCTACTGTACATAGCGTATTAATTTACCGGTATATTGACTTTTCTGTCGGAGTGAAATATTTGTTTAAAATAAATACCGTCACGTGGTTTCAAGGGTTTTGTTTCTAGAAAGTTTTGAATTTTATATATTTGTAAAAAATCTGTTGACTTATACCACATCATTTATCCTTATTTTAGACAAGAGCTGAACTAAAAGATGCCATAGAGAATTACGAACCCCTCGGGGATATGCTTACAGACGAGTTCCAGTTTCCACTCGTCAATATTCTGCTATTCGGAAGTGTGGGCGCCGGAAAATCCAGTGTTTTCAACACAATTAATTCTATTTTCCGTGGGAAAATTTTCAATGTAGCAAGAAGTGGCAACGCAGAACACAGTCTTACGACAAAGGTTTGAACTTACCAAACCTTTCAAAACATGTTCATCATGGCCAAATAATTTAATGCATGTCGTATCTTTGAACTTAGCCTGTGACATTTTCAGATAGTCCGATATACTATAAATTGCATTGTAAATTCGCAAACTTGTAAATGAGATATATTGTTGTTGTTTTTTTTTGTTTGTTTGGTTTATCGCCGATCCAACACAGTATAGGTCATATAGCGACTTCCCAGCTTTACTCGCTTTAGTTTACTGGTTGAGGAATACCTCAGGTGCCCTTCCGTTGTTGAAGCACCGACGTTCCGTTAGCTATATAGCTGGATAGTACCACATATGAAAAAGTCTAAATTCCATTTCGGAATTCGAACCCACAGCGGTGAGGGGAAAGTGTTTTGAAAAGTCTAAGACCTTAAATGAGTTAAAACGTGTAGAATAAATTGTTAAAGAAAACCTCCGAGTTGAATACCTGCAGAGTATATAAGGAAGAAAATTTGTCAGTGCGGAGACAATACATAGCATAGTATGATGAATTATTATGCATTTTCATCAATGCGTTTGTGTTGGTGGTGAGAGGAGGGGATAAATTTATTGATTATAATATGACTATGCCGGTTTTTTTTTAAAGTTCTCCAAATACCCGGTGATGTCTTCGGGTAGGACCATACCAAAACCGCTGAATTTCAGGATATGTGACATTCGTGGACTTGAACAAGATCATCTGATGTCGAAAGAAAATATGCGACTCCTTCTTGAAGGTCACGTGATGGACAAATTCCCAGTGAGTATTGAGCGCATGTCATGGCAACTATTCAACAAAACTTGTCTTAAATAAACAAATTAAGGCAATTCAAAGCCATATTTTCCTGGGTTATACTGTATTAAGTGAGATCTGTAAACTGTGTATGGAAAGAAAATGGCAAAAAGAAAAAAGTTTTTAATTTAAAAAAGACTTTGTTCGTCTTTCATTTGAGTTCAAATTTCCGATGTTTAAAAGGTAGGTTTCATTTTTACTTTAGAAACAAGTGTCACAATTTCATAGCCGTATTATTTTAAAAGGCTGCATATTTCATATAACAAAATTACACATAAAAATATATTTTACGGAAGGCAATATGCATGTACATTTAATTTTGTTTTTAATTTTAAGTTTGATCCAAGTGGAACTATGTCTGCAGACATGCCGGGGTTCAAGAGACGTCCAGAACTTCACGAGAAGATCCATTGTGTTGTTATTGTTCAAGATGCAACCATTGTTGATGCCATGCATGATCTAAACCCAGAGGTCTCCAAAAATATCAAGGACATGCAAGTTGTTATGAACAGCTTAGGTACAAAGCAAATAAATCCCATTATGCCTTTAATATCAAGTTTGAAGCTTGCTCCCAGAATGATCAAGTCAGCTTTAATATTTGTAGGTTATATTGCAGGAAAAGAAACATCTAGTGAACAGATATGTATGAAGAAAAATGAAATAAAATAGTGATTATAACTTTAAAATAACTGTTATTTTGTGAATATATTTTAAACTACATATTAACTGACAAACGTAATGATAAAGGTTACCACCTTTACGAACATTTATTATTCCACAATTTATTAATTCACTTATATTGGAGGCCACTTCTGTGACTTTGTCAATATTGTTCCGACTTCTTTAGCGTTGTAAGAAAAAAACATGAAAACGATTTTGTTGCATTTTCAGATATTCCACAGGTTGTTCTCCTGACAAAAATAGACAGTGTCTGTGAGAAAACCAAAAACAACATTGCTGATGTATTTCATAGTCCGTTAGTTGAACGCTGTGTGTCTAAGGTAAAATTCAAAACATAGCTATCACTTTATGATTATTTCGATTCACAATTTACTAAAGATAGTTTAAATAGTTTATTTTGATCACTCTATACTTGCTCAAAGCTAGCCATATGTGAATTGTACAACTATAAGTAGGAAAACAAGTTTATATTTATGCCCAAGGTTCGAGTCTACCAGTTGAATTTTTTTCTCTCTCTCTATTACAACTGATTATAGTTATAACTATCGACCGCTGTTCATTATGTAAATAGAACATAACAATGGTATACGTATATTTTAAATGATTTTATATTATATGTTAATATATTACATGAAATTATTTTTTATTATTATCAATTCTAGGCATCTGAGGCTCTCGGTCTGCCCAGGAATTGTATATTTCCCTTGAAGAACTATGAAAACGAGTGTGAGCTGGATGAAAATATAGACGTGCTAACCCTTTTTACCATCAAAAAAATCCTCGACAACTGTGACGCACATCTCTTCAACCATTATAAGGAAATACAAGAAAACTACGGTGTACAAAACAGGAGAAAACCGTGAATCTTCCGAACGTGGTCCAAACAAAGGGAAGCGATCGATTTCGGGATTATTTACTTTACAAACGTAATACATATAAAAATCAAGAAATTGTTGCAGTGGTGGTTTTGAAATACAACCTTGTACAAAATAAAAATACTATTAAATAGATATTGTAATAATGAATGACGCATTTGGACATTATCGTTACAGAATAGACAGATATTTTATCAAACAATTTTAGCCATGATGTTATCCAATCATGGTTAATTTACAATTCAAGCTTTTTAAACTTATACATTGCTATCACTTTTGAGTAAATAATTGGCTTTTTAGATACACAGTTTCATTTTCAGTGGAAAGGAGTATGATAAATGTCACGCTACAGCATGGAATTGTGTAAGAAATATATTTTAATATACATGGTATTAAATGTTTATTGCTTTTTTATTTTTTTTTTCATTTTAAATTTAGCTTGGAAAATGTTTCACTGTAGTATTTTATAAAGATCGTTTGTTTTGTCTGCTTTAAGGACAATCTATATAAGATAACACAGTTTATAGGTCAGTCCAACAACAAAAGTTTGAAACTGAAAAACTAGTGACCTTAGTCAGTTTTATTACTAGTTATTTTTAACAAGGGTTGAACAATGTTTTTGTTGTTGTTTTTTATTTTATTTTTATTAACCTTGATATTAAATTAAATTTTTCTTGACAAATTATACTGATGGAAGTGTTATATTATGCATAAGGTAAATACACATTTTACATATAACTATGATGTCAAACTTTATTAGATATATGTGATTAAATAGAATAAAATATTCGTATGTTTTAATTCATCAGGTCGATATATTTGCATATGAAAAATGTACCAGTTTTTTTTTTAATAATTACTCAAATGAAATTACTTTGTCGCCGAACATCCCGCCATTTGTTGTGCTTTCAAATGTTTGTGGTAAATGGCACGTGTAACTTAAAGTGTCGTTTAATTTCAATTTGAATTTATATGTTTTATTTAGTATTTACACTGAGAAAGGAAAAAGAAAAAACAAGTGCATTTCTGTATTATTATTTTTTTATGTTAAAACGGATTTTTTGCAAATATCGAACTTTTAAAAACCGGTACATATATTTGAAATGTCGAAAATAGCACGCACTATGACAAAGGTTCTTTTATTTGTTTATAGAAATCGGACCGTGATATGTAAATATTTTCATGTATATATTATTAAGGAGAGTATAAACTGTTTTTCTGGTATATCGTGTTAGTATTAATTTCTTTGAAATGAGTCATTTATTCATATATATGATATTTTGTGAATTAAATGTGTAATTGTAGTATCTGTTGTTGTTGTTTTCTGTCGGAACTATCCGATAAACAAGATATGCTATTTACATTCGTGAAAACTTAGTTGGACATATCTTTGTTGCAAATATCTGTTTCTTAGGTTAATACGTATATAACAAAAGTAGAAAAAAAGTCGTGTAAGCATTGTGTACTTCACATTTAACATAACATTATATGTTATTTTGGTTTTGGAGTGATATATGTGGATATATTACCTGTTAAGATTTTATATCACCCGAGCCGTCAGGCGAGGGTGATATTTTATCTTGGCAGGTAATATATCCACATATATCACTCCAAAACCAAAATAATAATTTTATTACCCTTCCCCTGCCGAGTTTAGACGATTTTTTAAAAAATCATTGCTGCTTCAAATGAAACGTCGAAATAAGATTCCCTTTAGGGTACCTCTTCGTCACAACATGACGTCACATAAATACATGACGTATTTTTCCCGTACCTTACGAAAGTAAACAAGAGAATAGAAGTAGTCTATTGAACGCACTTTTTTGTAATTAATATCAAGCTTTCACAAGGTCATATTTGTTTTCGATACTGATGGTAATATGTATCATTACTCTACTTTGGTAAATAATGATCATTTGACAGTTAAAAAGTGCTTTTAAATCGGAATTTACACCGCGTAAAATCGAACCGTACGCGCATCACCTCAGCGCATGTTGTTTACAACGTTTGGTACCAAACGGGGAAATTTAGTGTGTATATTACCTGTCTGGCTCGGTTATATCAATTTCTTTCGGGTGATCAATATCCAATAAAAAAGGCGGACAAAATCTGGAAGGGTAATAAAACGTAATGTAACGTAACGTAACGTAACAAACCACAACATAGATTAGGTGTAAGTCATACCGTATTTTATGCAGAGAAATTCGATGCGTCATAATTTGGTTTTTCCTAGTCTAACTATTATCATTTAGAGCGAATGTGTAATGTCGTCCAGGACGTTAGTCAAGTGTTCGTAAAACTTGGTTATATTATATTTGGAAAAGATAAAGCGTTGAAAAAGTACAGAGCACTCAGGGCCTTAAATAGCATTATAGTGACCCAAATATTTATTGCTCAGCCCGTTCAGTGTTGGACTGACTGGAAGGTAGCTATAATGCTACAAGGTCTAACGTCCTGTGTGCTTCTTCATACCCACCGCAATTACCAGAATAATTAAAATACAAAACACTGGGAGACGGTTAATTGTTATAATGCTAGGACATTGACAAGCGAGGATTAAAGAAAAAGCGCAACAATCGTAAATACAAAATATGGAAAACAAGATCAACAAGGAAAGGCGGCGTTCCTTGGCGGCGTTCATTGAACGCAACATAAATCTCGTTAATTAAGTACCGCCGACGTATACGATCACTTAAGGCACACTATTCAACAATCTCTCTGCTTGTCGCAGTCAGTCAGATGATATGTATCAAGTTTTATCTGCCATGGGTACAAGACCTGTTCGGGGCATTAATATAATCCAGTATGCAACCTACGGCTCATGGCCGTTGAATCATTTACGGCGTTCCTGTCCCTACGCAAATTGTTATTTCTGCGATAGCAGTTAAAAGGTATAGTGTTAATCAAGATCATCTTTGGACGATGAGTATGGTTATTCTAATATCAGTTCATGTCAATCACATGTTACTAATTTTACGGATGACTTTATGAAGACAAATCTGGTCAAAAAGAAATTTGGTCAATAAATTTGGTTGAAGTATAGGTTAAAGTTTATTAGCACGTATTTACAAAAATGTTTGTAAATTTTAACCGGCTTATTGTTTTAAATTATTTTTATAAACGGTCGATTTTCTAGATTGATTAAAAGTTTGCCGATTTACCAAAGTAAATGTGTGACGTTTCATTTGAACTACTGCGATCCTATTGGACAAAAATAATTTCAAACGCTTAAAATCTTTAAAGATGTACAGTTTTGGGATAACATTAATTCAAATTCTTGTCTCAGTAATAGAAAGAGCATCGAAACACGAGACTATCTGATTTTTTACGAGGGGCGTAGCCCCAGAGTGTAAATAAGATTGCCGAGTGTGTTGATGTTCTTTCTCTTTTGTATTATAGTCAAACATAAATACACGTCGTTCCCTGTTCCCCAGAAAAAGTAACAGATGAACGAGCATCTGAATATGAAATTTCTGTCGCTTTCCCTTTCTCAGCCGTAAGAGAGTTGAACCCCAAGTAAAGTAAACCCCGGCAAAAATGAGCCAATCAGTGGACATGCTCTGGAGTGCGGTGCACTCCAGTTAACGCACTGTGCATGTACAGTATACGATTTAACTTTGACACATTTTCAACAGAAACGTCCCTAAACTATGATCAAACTTTAATTGTTGGTAAAACCCTTACAGACACCCCTTCATTTCGAGTAAAGCTTTTTATATGCACAAACATTCACTCACCCCTTAATGAACGTTAGTCATTTTATATTGATAATTTAGTGACAGTATAAATAAATCTAGCACATGTAACAATTTACTTGTATTCGTCATTACGAGATCTAAGAATAAGCAATTATGTATAAGATGTAATTCATTATAAGTGTTGTGTATGTAGATAATATAAAGTTTCCATGTAATCATTTGATGTAAAGCACGGATCTATATATGTAATTTAAATCCGTGATGTAAAGTTATGTATTTCATCTGACATATAACGATTTATGTATTTTCTCCATTAATTTACATGAAAAACCAACAATTTCCAAGTCGCTAACAACATAATTATTAAACATTAATGTAAGCTATTTGTTTTTGTTGTTTACCCCACATATTATAATGATCACGTTGTCCGTCGGGCATCGAAATCTTTCAGCAATTTTAAGGTTTTTTCCAACAAGTACACTGTTATAACTTAATTTATTAGTCCCCTACCGGTTTACCGGAGGGGACTTTAGGTTTACCCTCCGTCCGTCTGTCTGTCTGTCCGTCCGTCCGTCCGTCCGTCTGTCCGTCCGTCAGTCCGTCCGTCCACAAAACTGGATCCCGCGCTAACGCAAAAAGTACTGAAAATATTTTAATGAAACTTGATATATGGATAGATGGCAGTATGGAGATTATGCACGTATTTTTCTTTTCTTCCTATGTTGAAAATTCTGGTTGCTATGGCAACAAATAGACTGAAAATATGGCAAATTTTACACATAACCTGGATCCCACGATAACGCAAAAAGTACTGAAAATATTTTTATGAAATTTGTTATATGGATAGATGGCAGTATGGAGATTATGCACGTATTTTTCTTTTCTTCCTATGTTGAAAATTCTGGTTGCTATGGCAACAAAATAGACTGAAAATATGGCAAATTTTACACATAACCTGGATCCAGTGATAACACAAAAAGTACTGAAAATATGTTTATGAAACTTGACATATTGGTAGATGGCAGTATGGAAATTATGCACATCCTTTTTGTTATCTTCCTATGTTGAAATTCTGGTTGCTATGGCAACAAATAGACTGAATTTCAAGATTTCTGATTCTAGTTTTTAAGTTTTTTTCACTATAAGTTCTTTATTTCTTAAGGTATTTTTTCAAACTTTAAATATAAGTTGCTTGTCATCAACCACATCATAAGTGACAAGGTTTACAACTCTAGCACAGAATTTTTCAGAATTACCTCCCTTGAACTTAAAATTTTCATGAAAAAAACATTGTTTTTTTTTTAATAACTTCTTTTTCTGAATGTATCTACTTCAAACTTCATATAAATGTTTCTTATTATCACTCAACATTAAATTTTGTGAGTGTTCAATACTCTAGCAAGACTATTTCCAGAATTATGCCCCTTTTGAACTTAGACTTTTTTTTGAGAAATTGGTAATTTTTACTCCAACTTCTTCAATCATGATAGGATTTTAAAAATGTTATATTTTGATAACAGGGATGTTTAAAAAATAACTTTAGAGTGTCTTTCAGTCCGTCTGTCTGTACATAAAAACTGTTTCCTGTGATCACTTTTAAAGAACTTTTTCAACAAATTTAATTAAAATAGGAACCTAAGTGAATAGCCCTTCAGAATGTTGCTTGGGCTCTTACCGGTAGGGGACTTATGGATTGCTTGCAATACTATGATAATTGCTTGTTATATGATATATTATCTATTTTACTATTTTAATTGTCCTTTTCCGAATCGATATGATTATATTATTTACAAAAATAAATCAATGAATAAAATATTTTGGGAAACCATTTTATCAAAAACGAAAGTAGATTTTCATAATTCTTTAAATATGCGTGGATTATTTCCGACCTTGAAACCGAAAGTAAACTTAAATTGCGTATATTAACATTATCATTGATTTAAAGTTAAATGGAATAAAAAGGTATGTACGTGTTTAATATCTATGGTTATAACTGATTATATTTTCTAGTCGTCGAGTTTTACATTACCGAGGTCAAAGGGGTACGGCCATAGGTGTTCGGCGCGTTGATTGGTCACTACCCCCGCACCCCCCCCCTCACCCCCACACCCACTCTACAGCCCTCCTACCTCTCAAAACCATGTAAAATACAGTATTTTTCATTTGAAACATGTTTTAATATTTGGTTTATGCTTTTAATTCAATAACCTTCATTTCCTACAAAAAATAAAAAATTGATACATATATATTTTAGTAAAGGTATGCAACTCGCCGCTCAATTTTCAGCACTCATCTTAATATGAACTCCATAACTTCAACATTTTTTCACCAATTTTCAATATTTTGGTACCAAATGGTAGGGAATTGATTACTCTTAAAGGAATTAAAGTTGTCATTACAATCATTTCAAGTTATAAGAAGATGTGTAATCTCGAAGTCACCGCAAGTGTAACTCGACAGTGATCTGACCGCTGGGTTTTCTTCAAAATTACCCGACTAAACGGCAGTTTATTCGAAATGAATGAATATTTCATTGTATTGCGCATATAAATATGATCAAATTATATTATAATTTGTAATAACTGTTCAATCAAAACATCTTATAAAACTATAACAAACCTTTTTTTTCCCATATGCCAAATTCTCCAATCCAAAATGAAAGTACACATGTATAAACGGAAGCATTCGTATGGAGTATTTTCATTGGTCGTGTGAAAACCTTAGACCAATGAAAATACTCCGAACAAAAAATGAAGAGGAGAGCACTCTGTAGAACTATTACTTGCATTATAATTTGGAATTTAACATATAGGAAAAAAGGTTTGTTATAGTTTTATAAGATGTTTTGATTGAACAGTTATTACAAATAATAATATAATTTGATCATATTTATATGCGCAATACAATGAAATATTCATTCATTTCGAATAAACTGCCGTTTAGTCGGGTAATTTTGAAGAAAACCCAGCGGTCAGATCACTGTCGAGTTACACTTGCGGTGACTTCGAGATTACACATCTTCTTATAACTTGAAATGATTGTAATGACAACTTTAATTCCTTTAAGAGTAATCAATTCCCTACCATTTGGTACCAAAATATTGAAAATTGGTGAAAAAATGTTGAAGTTATGGAGTTCATATTAAGATGAGTGCTGAAAATTGAGCGGCGAGTTGCATACCTTTACTAAATATATATGTATCAATTTTTTATTTTTTGTAGGAAATGAAGGTTATTGAATTAAAAGCATAAACCAAATATTAAAACATGTTTCAAATGAAAAATACTGTATTTTACATGGTTTTTGAGAGGTAGGAGGGCTGTAGAGTGGGTGTGGGGGTGAGGGGGGGGGGGGGTGCGGGGGTAGTGACCAATCAACGCGCCGAACACCTATGGGTACGGCTCATTGAATTGTTCACAAAATATGTATTTGATGGTAGAAAACATTTATCCTAAGTCAGAAATGAATTCTAAGTACATTCCCATTACACTATATACTAATATATAGACTATATATATTAGTATATAGTGTAATGGGAATGTACTTAGAATTCATTTCTGACTTAGGATAAATGTTTTCTACCATCAAATACATATTTTGTGAACATTCAATGAGCCGTACCCCTTTGACCGAGGTCAAGCACCACTCGACCAATACACATAGCACGGAGGATACATGTTTCTTAATTCCTTTGAAAAGTCTCAAAATTTATCATGTTTTTAAAATATTGCAAATTATTGTATACTTTTTTCAAAAACGTTTATTTAGAAATTAAATTTAGAATCATTTGATGCCAATCACCCACGCAGTAATCTCCCCTTACAGGTTACTGGGCGTAGCGTGACTGGTGCGCGGAGTTTGGTAGCACGCTCGTTTTGCTAATGCTTTTTCAAGTGTCTTTTAAGCGATTTTTACATTTTTTTCTTAAGGAATTAGCCACGATATGCAAAGACAAAGTATGGGTGTCATAAAAAATGTACATAAATGAAATTATAATGCAAAGTAAGACTCTGTGGTCATGTAAATATCCGTTTGTATCAAATCCAAGCTGTTATAGAAAATTATCGAGATGGTAAAAGTGTTAATATGAGCCGCATCATGACAAATCCAACATAGTGCGTTTGCGACCAGCATGGATCCAGACCAGCCTGCGCATCCGCGCCGTCTGATCAGGATCCATGCTGTTCGCTTACCAACCCTATTACAAGATTAGTAGATAAACTAAGCGAAAAGCATGTATCCTGATCAGCCTGCGCAGGCTGGTCTGGATCCATGCTGGTCGCAAACGCACTATGTTCGTTTTGTCATGGCGCGGCTCATATATATTTGAAGATGTTTTTCATTAAAGTTTTATTTGAACCTACAGTAGAGAGAAACACTGGTTTTAGTTGTTGAAAAAAATATTTTATTTTTCAGCCTGTGAAACTGTGAATTTATTTTATGTGAATGCATTTATCTAAGATAAAAAATATGAAAAAATAAACAACAAAAAAAACAACAGAAAAAACAATGAATACTTGATATTTACAGTCACTTTGTAAGTTGTATAGGTTCAAATGAAAACAAAGACATAGATAATTTCTACAACATATGCAAACATAATTCCTCTTAATATGCTATGGTGATTGAAATTTTAGCAAAAATTCAAAGATGGGGTGTGACACTAGTATAATATTTTTTTTTTCATTTCGGTGACCATTAAAGTATATAATTAATTGTAATTCAGAAGATATCTTCTTATTCATGTGTTTTTCAGAAAGAATGGGTACCAAGGACATGGATATCCTGTATGAAACCCCGTGGGATAAAACGATTAATTTTCACAACAGTTTTGAGGTATTTATTAAGAGTATTATGATTTTTTCTGTTTATTTTTACATATATTTATATATGTTTGTTTACGGGATGTACATGCCGGCTTGACGTTCACGTCTGACTATGTTTAGGGTCGGTGTGTTAAAAAACTGTTCATTCCTGTCAATTAGTGAAACTATTGATTCATGGCCTGGTCTTTTGTGGTCATTCATAAATTGTATAAAGCTACATTTCTGATGCAAAAATTATTGTCTGGATTTAAAAATAAAGAATAAAAATGGCAATAAGTTGCCTTAAAGCGAGTGGCTCATGCACAAATTCATTGCTAAACGGATAAAACTCTAATTAAAATAGCAAAATTATATTTTGTTCCGGGATATTTTATTCTGTTTATGTACATTATGCATATGTGTTAAATACATGTGACAGAGAATTCTATGTTACATCTTTATGTTTATGTTATTACCATTACAAATGAATTAAATATGCATCAATTATATTCTATGTTTCTTGTTTTAAAATGTGGCAAGAATCGTGGATATATTCAGTACATATGTTTATAACCTAATATTTGATGAATATTTATAATTTCACATAGGTTTAAAACTTTAACATTTATCAAATATATATGTTTGGATTACATTTATATCAAATGATACTATACATATCTATGTAAGTTAAACACAACATTAATGTATTCATACTTGAAGATTTTTTATCGATGCGATGTTATGTAATCCATATTTATTTATGTATGTGCACTGTTCGTTGTCTTGTATTATGCTATTATCATGGCATCGTGGGCTTTTAAGCCTAATATGATTGAAATAAAACTATCATATACGAATTTGAAATCTCCGCACGGTCGGGATTCAAACTCAATAGTCAATCAATTCAGTAGAGGCGGTTGGTAATATGATATTCAGATAATGTACAACTTTACATGTACATATACCAGTCGTGTACGTATTACTTGTACTCTAATTAAATCAATTATGGAGATTAACTTTAATTAGCACTTAGTGCTTCTGTCAAAATCCATTGAGTTTATTAAGATAGTATGGTCGTCAAAATGTTTTTTTTTATGTTTTAATCTGATTATATAATATGCGCAGTAAATAGGTTTAAACTAAACTCAACATCGGGGAAGGGCAGCTGATTTATGTATTACTGAGAAATTAGAACACACAGTGTCTGTCAGAAATTTATGTTCGTATTATATTCGTATTATATTCGTATTATATTCGTATTATATTCTTATTTTACTCAGTCTGAGAGTAAAATGAGCCTCGTCACGACAAAACCAACATAATGGGTTTGCGACCAGCATGGATCCAGACCAGCTGCGCATCCGCGCAGTCTGATCAGGATCCATGCTGTTCGCTTTCAGTTTCTCTACTTGTAATAGGGTTTGTAAGCGAACAGCATGGATCCATGCTGGTCGCAAACGCACTATGTTGGTTTTGTCGTGACGAGGCTCAAATGTTGTGTTGGTCCACATTAATACTGGCACAATGTATGTAGAATTTTTTTTAATTGAAAATTATCTGTTGCTTTACCTCACATCATGTATCCTTATTTTAGACAAGAGCTGAACTAAAAGATGCCGTAGAGAATTATGAACCTCTCGGGGACTTACTTACAGATGAGTTCCAGTTTCCAGTCGTGAACATTCTGCTATTCGGAGCTGTTGGCGCCGGAAAATCCTGTGTTTTCAACACAATTAATTCTATTTTCCGTGGGAAGATTTTCAATGTAGCAATAAGTGGCAACGCAGAACACCGTCTTACGACAAAGGTATTAATTCAACAATTATGTCCAAAAATCTGTACCTTGACTAAGTTATTTACAGCATGTCAGACTGCCACTTTTCAGAGATCCTTTTTAATATGCTGTATATTTGAAATTTGCAAACTTAAAAATGAGTTTTTACTTGTAGAATAAAAGGGTTAAAGAAAATCACTTGTAAAAAACTTGCCGTGTAAGCAAGAAAATATAATAGTGTGAAAATAATATGAGCCGTGTCATGACAAAACCAACATAGTGGGTTTGCGACCAGCATGGATCCAGACCAGCCTGCGCATCCGCGCAGTCTGATCAGGATCCATGCTGTTCGCTATCAGTTTCTCTACTTGTAATAGGGTTTGTAAGCAAACAGCATGGATCCTACAGACTGGACGGATGCGCAGGCTGGTCTGGATCCATGCTGGTCGAAAACCCATTATGTTGGTTTTGTCGTGACACGGCTCATTATATAGTATGATACATTACCTTGCAATTTCATCAATTTGCGACACTAAATCGATTCATTATCGTATAGATATGCCGTTTTTCTTTTTTAAAAGTTCACAAAATACCCGGTGATGTCTTCAAGTAGGACCATACCAACACCGCTAAAATTCAGAATTTGTGATATGCGTGGACTTGAAATCGATAATCTGATGTCGAAAGAAAATATGCGCCTCCTTCTTGAAGGTCACGTGATGAACAAATTTCCAGTGAGTTCTGAGCTTATGTCATGGCAACTATTTATCAAACAATATCTTTCTTAGATGACTGCTCTTAAATGACCTAATGATTGCAATTCGATATTTTCTTTTGTTTAACTTTATTAAGTAACATCATTCTGTAAACAATTTATGGAAATAAAATAACAAAAAGAAGTTAAAGAACAACCTTAAGCATTTAAAAAAGAATCAAAAGAAGTTTTTTATAATCTGATGTAAAATTGTTGATGCGTCAAAGTAGGTTTTGTTTCCTATTTAGAAACAAATGTTGCAGCTTGATTAGCAAACTTTTTAAAAGTCTCCATATTTTATATAATAATTTGTGCATAAAATATATGTTACGGATTGCAATAATATTTTTACAAATTTTAAGTTTGATCCAAGTGGAACTTTGTCAGCAGACATGCCGGGGTTCAATAGACATCCAGAACTTCACGAGAAGATCCATTGTGTTGCTATTGTTCAAGATGCAGCCATTGTCGATGCCGTGTCAGACTTGTGCCCTGAGATTACCAAAAATATACAAGACATGCAAGTTGTTATGAACAGCTTAGGTACATAATAAAAACCCCATTATGTTTTTAATATCAAGTTCGAATCTCCTCTTTACCTTTCAGCATTACCTTTATCACGACGAATATTTATTTTTCTTCTTTTTTTTGTTTACTTCTATAGCTATTATTTTTAATGAAAATACAATAGATGAAATATATTGCAGGCACACTTCCGTGACTTTGTCATTTTTGTTCAGCTTCAGAAGCGTTGTAAAAAAACAATTACAATTCTGTTGTATTTTCAGATATTCCACAGGTAGTACTCCTAACACAAATTGACTGCATATGCAAGAAAACCTTTAACAATATTGCTAATGTATTTCATAGTGCGACAATTGAACGCTGTGTTGCTAAGGTAAAACAAACCTTATTTCGATTTCGTACCACTTACTATAGACAGTGTTAAGTGACATTAAGTTCATTTTTAGCTGTCAATTTGAGTTAAATTAGTAATTTATTTCAAGAGATATATGTTCAAAATGGTGATTTACCAATAATTTATATAAAAAATAAAAGACTGACATATTAAAACTGCCTAACTTATAAAAAAACTGCCCCACTTTTTATAGAAATTGTTCTAGCAATATGTATATAAATTTCTGTGGTTCACGTACATTATTGAGTAATTTTTGCATAGTAAAATATAAAATTGAATACAATTATGGCAAAATAAAAAGTTATTTTTACTTTTTACCCGTGCACTTGGGCATAATAATGTCACTTTACATTGAAATGTTATTTTGATTGAGGGCCAAATGACCTATATGAATTTTAGAAATAAATAGCAAAAGGAAGTTTATATTAATGTCAAATTTGTTAGCCTCTCAATTATGTATACAATGTACGCAACCGGCTACTTTACAAGACTTAAAATTAAATGATTGTTAAACATTATCTCAGCATATTCTATAAAGATTAAGTCGTATCACTCGTGTGTACTAAGATTATCTCAGTACACACGACTTGACCTTTTATTACAAAAGTCCACCAGTCTACAAGTATTTTTTATAAATGTTTTCTATCTTTAATTACCTGTTTATTCGATGATTATAATTTAAAACGATAGACAGATGTTCATTATGTAAATTAAATTATCTTAATATTTATTATTACGCAGGCATCTGAGGTTTTCGGCCTGCCAAGGAATTGTATATTTCCCTTTAAGAACTATGAACACGAGTGCCAGCTAGAGCCAGATATAGACGTCCTGACCCTTTTTACATTAAAAAATATCCTCGACAACTGTGACGCCCATCTCTTCAACCATTATAAGGAAATACAAGAAAACTACGGTGTACAAAACAGGAGAAAACCGTGAATCTTCCAAACGTTATCCACACATGGAGAAACGATCAATTGTTTTCATTATTGACAATACATGTTGAGAATGTTAAACGTAATACTCATTAAAATCAAGAGATTGTTGCAGTGGTGATTTTCAGCACTATTTATCGGTCAAACATGCTACACAATAAAAATAAATAATATTGGCATTATGAATTTTGGGCATTGTCAGTGTGATCAAACAATTTTTATTCCTGATATTCTTTCATATCAGACAGGATTTTTTTTTAATTTTTACAGCGGTACTAGGAAACCATGTCTTACAGTCCCGTGTAAAAACCTGGAAACACAGTGAAAAAACGCTTGCTTTAATTGACGTCATTCTCACGCGCCGTAAATATGAATGAATTTGGTTCTTAGAATGACGTCATTTTTCTTTATGAATAAAGTTGTAAATTCATAGGCTATTATAAAAAAGTGCTATAAGAGAATGTAATTTTTCGTAATTTTTTCCTGAAATATTATAATTATTAATGCAACAATCAAACACCGGCAATCGTCACAGACCGGAATATCTAATGTTTAGCAGTAACTCGGCAGAGCCTCGTTTACCGCCGTTAACAGTTAGCCGCGAGCTAGATATTCCGACCGGTGTAAGATCTTTATATTATCTTATCATGGTAAATTTACTGTTAAAACTTTTAAAACTTATAGATCTACCATCGTCGGATACCCACGATTGATAAACATGTCACATAACATGCAGATAAATGTTAATGGTTCGGCCGTGGGTATCCGACGATGTAGATCTACATGCATATCACTTTATAGGGTAAATCAGGGTTTTTAGATACATAATTTTATTTTATTTGGAAAATGATACATTTCATACTGCAGCAGTACATTGTGCAAGAATGATATTTCAGTCTACATTGTTGGCGACGCCGGTGAGCGGCGTCGTCTCTTATGGAATGCTTTTATTTTGGCCTATGGAAGGAGCTGTTATTATTAGCAGTTAATGTCATGTTGTGTTAATTAGTTTTATTTTGATTCGTAAAAATCAAGTAAATAAATATGTTGTTATATATGTATTTAATAACTTTATGTAAAAAGCATGTGCATTGTGATATTATTTTCATGATATTGCAGGCTCAGTTTATCAGCTTGTATTTGTTTGTGTAATTTATTTCATTTTAAATTAGCCTGCACAATGTTTCGATGTAGCATTTTGTCTGCATTTAGGAAAAATCTGTTTATGATAACACCGTATATATATACGTACATATGTCATGTATATTTTTAAAAATGTGGTCGGTATATTTGCATATGAGACATATAGATCTACTCGTTTTTATTATTCAAATGAAATGACCTCGTTGCTAAATGCTCTTCCATTTGTTGTGCTTCAAACTTTTATAGTAACGGCATCTATTATCTGAATTTCACTCTTTTATGGAAAAAAAAGGATTTTTTTGTGCATGTCTTCCACTCAACAATATTTCTTTATGAATTCTTTTAGGACAAAATGGCTTTATTTGAACAATTGAACTATCTTAAACAATTCATTTTAACTGATACATCTATTGGTAAAGTTGAAAAAATGTCACATACTGTGACAAAGATTCTTTCATTTGGTTGTAAAAAATAGGACCTCACGTAATATGTAAATATTTTTATGCATACCAATGATATTATCACGGAGTGTATAAACTTTTCTTGGGTTATTGTGTTGGTGTTTATTTCTGTAAAATGAGTTATTTATTAATGTACACTGTATATGATATTTTGTGAATTAAATGTGTAATTGTAGTCTTTGTTGTTGCTGTTGTTTTCATAACTGACCGATACACATGTAACGTTATTTACATTCGTGAACAACTAGTTAGACCGTCTATGTGACTGTCACTATACCAAACTGCCAGGCACCGTTACATTCGTGAACAACTAGTTAGACCGTACATGTGACTGTCACTATACCAAACTGCCAGGCACCGTTACATTCGTGAACAACTAGTTAAACCGTCTATGTGACTGTCACTATACCAAACTGCCAGGCACCGTTACATTCGTGAACAACTAGTTACACCGTCTATGTGACTGTCACTATACCAAACTGCCAGGCACCGTTACATTCGTGAACAACTAGTTAAACCGTCTATGTGACTGTCACTATACCAAACTGCCAGGCACCGTTACATTCGTGAACAACTAGTTAAACCGTCTATGTGACTGTCACTATACCAAACTGCCAGGCACCGTTACATTCGTGAACAACTAGTTAGACCGTCTATGTGACTGTCACTATACCAAACTGCCAGGTACCGTTACATTCGTGAACAACTAGTTACACCGTCTATGTGACTGTCACTATACCAAACTGCCAGGCACCGTTACATTCGTGAACAACTAGTTACACCGTCTATGTGACTGTCACTATACCAAACTGCGAGGCACCGTTACATTCGTGAACAACTAGTTACACCGTCTATGTGACTGTCACTATACCAAACTGCCAGGCACCGTTACATTCGTGAACAACTAGTTACACCGTCTATGTGACTGTCACTATACCAAACTGCCAGGCACCGTTACATTCGTGAACAACTAGTTACACCGTCTATGTGACTGTCACTATACCAAACTGCCAGGCACCGTTACATTCGTGAACAACTAGTTAGACCGTCTATGTGACTGTCACTATACCAAACTGCCAGACACCGTTACATTCGTGAACAACTAGTTAGACCGTCTTTGTGACTGTCACTATACCAAACTGCCAGGCACCGTTACATTCGTGAACAACTAGTTAGACCGTCTATGTGAATGTCACTTTACCAAACTGCCAGGCACCGTTACATTCGTGAACAACTAGTTAGACCGTATATGTGACTGTCACTATACCAAACTGCCAGACACCGTTACATTCGTGAACAACTAGTTAGACCGTCTATGTGACTGTCACTATACCAAACTGCCAGGCACCGTTACATTTCGTGAACAACTAGTTAAACCGTCTATGTGACTGTCACTATACCAAACTGCCAGGCACCGTTACATTCGTGAACAACTAGTTAAACCGTCTATGTGACTGTCACTATACCAAACTGCCAGGCACCGTTACATTCGTGAACAACTAGTTAGACCGTCTATGTGACTGTCACTATACCAAACTGCCAGGCACCGTTACATTCGTGAACAACTAGTTAGACCGTCTATGTGACTGTCACTATACCAAACTGCCAGGTACCGTTACATTCGTGAACAACTAGTTAGACCGTCTATGTGACTGTCACTATACCAAACTGCCAGGTACCGTTACATTCGTGAACAACTAGTTAGACCGTCTATGTGACTGTCACTATACCAAACTGCCAGGCACCGTTACATTCGTGAACAACTAGTTAGACCGTCTATGTGACTGTCACTATACCAAACTGCCAGGCACCGTTACATTCGTGAACAACTAGTTAGACCGTCTATGTGACTGTCACTATACCAAACTGCCAGGCACCGTTACATTCGTGAACAACTAGTTAAACCGTCTATGTGACTGTCACTATACCAAACTGCCAGGCACCGTTACATTCGTGAACAACTAGTTAAACCGTCTATGTGACTGTCACTATACCAAACTGCCAGGCACCGTTACATTCGTGAACAACTAGTTACACCGTCTATGTGACTGTCACTATACCAAACTGCCAGGCACCGCTCAGAGTTATGATTTGAATGGGGGCAATTTGTTCTATCATAGATTTCCCTATTAGGTCTATTCGAAGTGTGACTCAGTAATAGTCGGATATTTAACGGCTTTGTTAATCAAGCTAGAGCATTTGTGCAATTGCATTTATCTGTTTGTAACGTTAATATATATCAAGTAGACAAAAAAAATTCTCAGCATGTTTGTACCCCAACATTTACATAAGGTGGAAAGCAGCCCAGATTATATACATCATTACGCGATGTGTCATGATTTGATTTTCCTAGTTTAACTTTTATGGCATCACTATTAATTTATCATAATCATTTGGAGGGAAATTTTTGATGAAGTTCAACAGGTCAAGTGTTAGTATAAAATAGGTTATGTTACATTTGGGAAAAAGCAATTTTTACAAGTCATATAAATTCCACATTAGTCATATATGTAGATAGTAAATTTTCAGATGCAAGACCTATCGATTTTACAAAAATATTTCTCTACAAGTTGTGGGAGGGAGATTGGTTGTATTTGACTCCATGGCATATAAATGTATCTGAATATTGAAGCAATGGTTAAAGGGGCTCGACTGAGGTTTTCTGTCGTGTACTTGTTGATGTTGGTCTGGGCCAATGACTAGCGTAGAATATTTCAGATTGTCGCTCTCTTTGTTTTCCCCAGACAAAACTATTTTAATTGTAGAGAATGACCCAAAAAATGAAATTAGTATCAAGAAAAAATAATAATAAAGAATGAAAAATAATATGTATAACATAAAGCAATACGATATTCAATTTAATTTTGAGTAAATATTTTATCATAACTTTTTCATAACATAAATGCCCCAGTAGGCCGTCAATGGAGTTTATATTCCTTACGCTTAATGTCAGGCCTCAGAAAAGTTAAATCAAATTTCAGGAACATGCATTTCATTTTACTTAATGTTTTTTGGCAATTATTGCGATGGCTGATCTAGTGTTCCTATATTGAAATTTTGTTTTGCCTTTACGTGTTTTTTTTCTCCTTATTTTTCTGTATTACCCTTTTTAACTTTTTTTAATTGCATTTGTTTTTTTATGTTTTTTGTGAAGCCTTTCTTTAAGGTTTATTTAGAATGTTTATATTTTAGGAAGCTGCTTGGCTATTTCTGAAATGTAACGCACGTCCATCAAAAATACAAACGGTCAAAAGTATCACAAGTGAAAATTCCCCTCAAAAGTCACACTTTAGTCATAGGTCAGAAATAATTAGTAAATGATTATGACCGGTAAACCCCCGGCATAAATAGTGAGTAACATACAGTAACCTGGGCAGCACAAAATATTTCTACAAAACTCCCCTTCTTTTATTGTCTGATAAAGATGCGAATCACCATCAAACCATAAATCAATAATCAATAAAAACGTCCAACAGTAACAAGATTAATCAATTTCTTTCCGTTTTTTTCTTTTGTAGCTATTTTTAGAAAGCATGAAAATATATGATAGTATGCATGTTTACTTCTTTCATAAACATGATAATCTATTGCTAAGCTCCGTAACATGAGCTGAAGTGAGCGATGAATCAATTATTTTTTTCAAAATTATTGTAGTCGAAAGCCGCTGCTCAAGTTATAATTTTGCATCTTTATTTCTAAATCTTGCACGGTTGTGAAACAAGAAACGTGTTGTTATTTCTTCAAGATGGGACCTATTATAAATTTGCCTTACGCTGAAGTTGATCAAAATGAGCATGCAAACGGTCAATAAAATGCGACAAGTTTGCTAACTTAGCAATTGATTAGATACTAAAGCTAAAATGCACTGGGATTTGGGATTTAATTTCACTGTAATGTTTAAATAATGTGTCTGAAGTTTAATAGTTTACATTAAGTTTTAGATATCAAGTGAGCTAGTTAGTTAGTTAGTTAGTTAGTTAGTTAGTTAGTAAGTTAGTAAGTTAGTTAGTTAGTTAGTTAGTTAGTTAGTTAGTTAGTTAGTTAGTTAGTTAGTTAGTTAGTTAGTTAGTTAGTTAGTTAGTTATCGTTTCCATAGTGGAAACCACAGACTGAATTTTATTCACGACCCCTACCAACGCCCGGCCAAATCCCGCACACTGGAATTTTTTTTTATAGATTATGCATGAAGCTTTGTCGGAGTTCTGAGACCCCATCTGGTACAACAATCCTCGAACCGCACCTTCGATCATCTCATAAAATTAACAACTTTGAAAATCACTTACAGGGGCGTAGCCAGCTTTTTTCAACTTGTACGGCACATAAAAGGGGGTATGGGGGCTTAGCCTCCGGAAGCCATAAACAAGTTTAGATTAAAAAGGAAAATGCGCGTTCCAAAGTATGTTCAAGGAAAATTATCAAAACAATATTTTTAAACTATGAATTTGATTAGATGCATGAGCATGGTAAATCATGCGCACACACTTGATTTGACTATACGGCTTGAACTCACTACCAACTCCACTCACGCCTGTTTTATTGTATTTTTGGGACTTTTGAAAATGTTAATTTCTTGACCAACTTGTGGGGCCCGTGCCTACATGGCTTAATAGTAGCTACGCCACTTATAGATCTTTTACCAAGTAAAGTGGTATCTTGATAGTTTTGTTGTTAACTCGAAAAGTATTTGTGAATTTAGTGCTGTTATTTTTTTTTTTCAATTTTGACGGAGATAGCCCGTGACACTATTATTGCAGCTATATGGAATAAATTATTAAGTATCTAAGGGAATCTATTTGTTACTATTAATATATGTGATACGTGGAATTCTACTTTCGATTTAACTTTTGTACATGTATGTACTGGGAAACCTAACCGTACACATCGATATAAAACTCCTGGTACGTGACAAGTGAAATTTATTCTGCGTAGAATGGCAACGGAAGGTTAGCTGTATGTCTTTTGACTTTCTATTTATTGAAATAATAAAAAAAACTAACTTTTTTAAAAAGAAAAATATATATAAAAAATGATATGCTTGATAAATTATAAGTACTCGAATTATTTATTAGTAGATCTACTTAATAATCACTGTTGAAACAAAATTCAGCTAAGTAATAATTTCGCATTCATTCTAAATCATATAGAAATTACGGGGTGTTTTTTTTTGCCATATTTTTATCCATTTAAGATATTGATTACTTTTATTACTTTCGGTTTGAAAAAAAGAGAAAACTTTAGCGTTCCAAAACAAATTCGTATTATTTTGATCATATAGACTAATAGTAATTTTATTTACGTTTTCAGTTTAAGATTTTAGATTCTATCATTTAATATGACTTTGCTACTTTCGGTTTGAAACAAAACGAAACCACCCGTTCTGTATTTAAAAAAGTTTTATCTTTTTTAAACGCTTTTTTCTTCATTATTTCAGTTTTATACATAATGTAACTTTTGATACCGTATTATACTTTCACTTTTATATCAAATCAACTGATTTTCGGTTAATTATTTAAGGCATCCATTAGTTTTCAGTTAGGGCCAGCGCGTTTTCTCTGAGAACGAAAGCAAGAGGTATGACAGTATACGATGGTGACAGTACGACAGTATACGATGGCAAAGCACGACAGTACGATGGTGACAATACGACAGAACAATGGCGAAGCAAGACTATCACCTTCGTTATGTCGTGCTTCGCCATCGTGCTGTCACCATCGTAGTGTCGCACTTTGCCATCGTACTATCATGTTTCGCGCTTTTTTTTGTTGGCCCCAACGGAACACCGTAGGTGATAAGTTTGCATTAGTAATCATTTGCTAAATAAAATTGGTCAGGAATGGAGCAGCCGTTCAACCAATTAAATTTTTGATTTTTTTTTTTTCAATGAAAAACCATTTTATTTGATAAACAGTCAATTTAATAGACGAATTAGAGGTGAGCCGTTTATTAAGGTAAATTTGTCCAGATTCAACATCTATAAAGACACAAACATAGTCGAGATCAGCGGTGTTGGAATTGATTTAAAAGTAACACTGAATTATACTTAATTACAGTCGAGTTAGTTAGTTAGTTCGTAAGTTAGTTAGTTAATTCACGTGAAAAATATTCTGCATTTCAATATTTTCAGATTTTAGCATTGAAATATTAGAGTACCGTAGTATTGACTCCGAGACACAGGAAACAAGCGTGTCCCTAGCACATTTATCTACCATACCCTATCACACAGGTGGAACAACAGCTGCAGCTGAAACAACAACAACAACATCGTCCGCACAGTCAGGAGTCATAGCGGCCGTGTCTAAAGGAGCGTCCGCTCAACCGATCCCAAAACCAAGAAAGAAAAAACCAGAACTCGTTTACTCACAGGCTTACATCTCAAGAGGTATGTAGATTTGTATGAGCCGTGTCATTACAAAACCAACATAATGGGTTTGCGACCAGCATGGATCCAGACCAGCCTGCGCATCCGCGCAGTCTGATCAGGATCCATGCTGTTCGCTATCAGTTTCTCTACTTGTTATACGGTTTGTCAGCGAACAGCATGGTTCCTGATCAGACTGCGCGGATGCACACATCAGCAACCATATTATATTCATAATACACGAGCGTATTGGTATAGACTGACCTGGCTCCATACTTGTGACATAAGCTTTCATTATGACTGCTCGAACCAGAAGAAACACAGTTTACTCCCCTATAAAGTAATGTCAGATAATTTCTTATTAAATCGGCTCTTGCTTTTGGGGCAAATGTTTCGTGTCTTATATATAAAACGCTGTGTATAATTAAAAATTGATAAGAGGTGCGTGACACATTTGGGGTGTTGGGCCTTTCTACGCACCTGTACAATCAAATATCTATTTAATCGCAGTACATATTTATGGCAGTGCCACAATAAACCGTATCATAAGAGCTGAGAGATTAAAAAATGAACTCCGTTAACTTAGTCCTAAGAAAACCTAGTTACTAGATAGAATATCTAGATTATCATAGAATGTGCCCTTTGTGGGTTGTGCGGCCTCTTTAGCTGTAACTTTGATACATGTATATTTACTATCTTATGAAGTATCTGTAAATACGCCACGAAATGTTCATTCAAATACATTTACAAATCATATACCAATGTAGATAAATAAAAACATTGTATTTCCATTTTCGGTTTATATCCTTACATATCCCTTTGTTCGCCTCACGATAAGGTACAAGTCATTGACAAACTGGGAAACCAAAATTTTGAAACAGAAACTGAAATATTTATATGCAAAATAAAAATTTTCCGATCATGGCATTAGGTAATAATAATTTTAATTTCTTACAATTTAACATAGGTTATTCAAGCGTGTCAAATTATCACTTTAACATAAATACATGTTCTCGTCGCTTCTGAGATTTTTACATTTGAGCCGCGTCACGACAAAGCCAACATAATGGGTTTGCGACCAGCATAGATCCAGACCAGCCTGTGCATCCGCGCAGTCTGATCAGGATCCATGCTGTTCGCTATCAGTTTCTCTTGGTAAGCGAACAGCATGGATCCTGATCAGACTGCGCGGATGCGCAGGCTGGTCTGGATCCATGCTGGTCGCAAACCAATTATATTGGTTTTGTCGTGACGCGGCTCATTTATTTTATTTATAATTACAGATCTTGTGTAAATGCAACATCTCTGTAACTTATTTTTGGTTAAGAGAAAAAAGAATGTGTCCTTTTCTAACATTTTCAATTTAATCAAAACTGCAAAACTTGTACATAGTGATAATATTTATCACACCTATATTTGTGATACAAATTTAATGAAGTACAAAACAAATCAATTAGTTGTTTTCTTAAAATATCTGCTATCTTAAATGAAAAATTGTACACGAAAGATTGGAATTATAGAAACCGAAAGTATAAAATCATGTGTCTAAAGTGACCGATTTCTATGCTTTAAAGACAACTCACGACACAAACTTTGCTCATAATCAAAAATCATGCCTTATGATGATAAAATTATTTCAACGAATTGAAAATGACTTTAACTGTTGTTACTTTATAGTATCTAAATTTAACTTTGTTGAGACGTCAAGTGACTGTGACATTATTTGATCTGTGCCAAATATAGGTTAAATGTGTTTGCTATTTTATCTTGGAATACCGAGAAGCGTTTTATTTAGTATCAATGAAAATCCCCTTATAAAAAGCGGATGAAAACGAAAGTGTATTAACAGTTTAACTCACGAAACTAAAAGTAAGTGCAGGTTAAACTTCATAAAGTCCAAGTATGATGGACTTCATAATTATATAAGTTGAGATCATACTGTGTTTGTAGCAACTTAAGTATAGGTTAAAGGTTATAAGACTAAATAGGTCAGGCGCGGTGCACCTGCGTTTTGTAAATACGTACTAAAAAATTCAACCAGCTTAGTGTTTTAAATTATTTTTAAAAACAGTCGATTTACTACACAGTTAACCGATTTACCACAGTAAGTGTGTTACAATTCATTTGAAATACTGCAATCATATTGGACAAAAAATAATTTTAAACACTAAAATGTTGTTTTTTTCTTCAAAAACTAAATTTTAAAAGCGATATGTGTTTGTAAAAACCAAGCTCCGCTGTTTTTGTTGTTATTATGATAATTTTTTTAGGTTTTTGTCTTTTCTCATGAAATATTTATGATAAAATCACGCGCTACTTAATCGTCACCATGGCTCCCACCTGCTGATAATAGAGAGGGAATAAGAAAGTCGTTTTGGCCTTTTTCCGGAGAATTCAATTATCAAAAAATGAAGGTCCCCACACTTTATCTTGAGGTTACGGCTAAATTGAAACCTTTGTTTTTACAGAAGGCAGAATGAGTCAAATAGATGTAGATGGATTGAGAGAGACCCCATGGAGGAAGACTGTAAACTGGAACAACTCTTTTGAGGTAACAATAATTAATGAGCTTTTAACCCCGAAATGAATGGTATAACACAAAAGTATGTAACTTTATCGAGGGCTTGCTTGTTTTAGACTTTAGTCGAATCTTTCCGCTTTTATAGAGGGGTTGTAGCCTCTCGCGCGCATGAATTAGACTTGGCGGAATCTCAAAGAATTTCCCCTCCTATCGAAGGGTTGTAGCCTCTCGCATCCTTGGTTTAGATTTTTTACTGAAATCTCGGTTGTAGCCTCGCACGTGCTCGTTTAACATTTAAAATGGAATCCCAAGATGAATTGATGCATACTAAAAATATAACATATGATATCTATGCTATTTTTAGACTTTAGCGGAACTTAAAGATGACTGTGAGAATTACGAACCGTTGGGTGAACTTTTGACAGGCGAGGTCCATTTCCCCCAGGTCAATATTCTTCTGTTTGGTGGGGTTGGAGCCGGGAAATCCAGCGTTTTCAACACGATAAACTCATGTTTTCGTGGGAAAATCTTTAATGTGGCGAGAAGTGGTTGCGCTGAGCACAGTCTAACATCAAAGGTAAGTGTGTACAACAAAAAATATGGAGTGCTTTCGTTGGTTAGTCTGAATTAACCGGACAGTTGTTTGAGCTATAAAATATCAAATACCGGTTCATTATTTGAGAGATGTTTGAAGTAAAATGGAGAAGATTGGTGTTACAATAAATGTATTAAATTGTATCCTATTAATGTGACGATACATTGGAAAGGTCGTGCGCATTCAACTTTCCAATGTAGAAAACATTTTTTTTTGTAAATTGGATACCCCAGTATCAAATATAGGACATTTTGCGGTCATGTGAAAGCATTCAAAACCGATGATTGCCATAGAACGATTTTTATTGGAATATAACACATTGTATATGATGCCCCAAGACATTTTATTAATAATAACATCTTTAAAAGCGGTGACCATCTTTAAAGTGAAAGTTATATTATTTCGGATATGTTTTATATTTTAATAGTTCACCAAGTACCCAATAATGTCCGGAAGTAGTACATTGCCATTGCCATTGAAGTTTCGAATCTGTGACATCCGAGGTCTTGAAGTCGATCATCTGATGAACAAGGAAAATATGCGCTATATACTAGAGGGGAATATTGCTGACCGATATCCGGTAAGTACCGTAAACACCATTTATAACGATACCGCTTATAACGATATGCTGCTTATAACGACATACCTCTTACAACGATATTCCGCTTATAACAATATACCGCTTATAACGATACTGTTGGCGCGGTCCCGACTCTTTGCTTTTGTTAAAATCTAACAAACGCATTCAAGGCTTTTCTCTGCCAGTCGATTGCCACCACAATCCAATCCAATGAATTTATTTACATGCTCTCGGTGGCAGGCACATGATAACATTCATACTAAATATCCCTATACCGTTAGTTTGACATATCCCATGTCATGTTTGCGCCAAAACGAACCCATCGCTGTGCCTTGGCAGAGCAGTGACATGGGTAGATTTCACAATATATCTAGGATAAAACTCCGATTAGTTTTCATGCTATTACCAGTTCTAGGCGAAGTTTCATTTGACGGCTGTATTTCAATGAAGCATCCATCCTGACAAATATGAGCCACGCCACGACAAAACCAACATAATGCGTTTGCGACCAGCATGGATCCAGACCAGCCTGCGCAGTCTGATCAGGATCCATGCTGTTCGCTTACCAACTCTAAAACAAGTAGAGAAACTGATAGCGAACAGCATGGTGTTGGTTTTGTCGTGACGCGGCTCAAATGTATACCGATTCGTCTTTTTATTTTAGACAAAGCTTTATACCACCATTTTATGTGTTACATTTTTTGATAAACAATACATTCTTAGGAATATTAAGAATAGTGGATAAATAGTGGATAAATGCAAAAATAATACATTTCGAGACTTATTTCAGCTCGATCCTTGCGGAAACATCTCGTCTGATATGCCAGGATTCAAGAAAAATCCCGGTCTTGACGATAAGATCCACTGTGTTGCTATAGTCCAAGATGCTACCATTGTTGATGCCATGCAAGATTTGAGCCCAGAAGTCACCAAAAATATAAAGGACATGCAAACCGTAATGAATAGTTTAGGTAGGTCTGGTGTATTATAATATACCATTTTTTTCATCACCTTTTAAATATAAATTTTTCATAATGAGAATGGTATTTAGCTTACATTAAAGCAGATCGAAAATTCCAATGTTTGTTTATTTAGACGTTGGGATATCCTTAGTTTAGTTCTAACATGATATCTTCTACATCTTTAAATAAAGTATATTCTCAATAATTTAAAGATAAACGGAATCCCAAAAGAACACACATAATTGAAAATGTTGCAGTTTTCGGTTGGATTGAAATTTACAAATGAAGTCAAGAATAACAGAATAGGGCAGGATCAAGACATGTTTAAATCAAAAGTACGAAATACTTTATGGTTGTTATTAACAATGTATTTCAAGTGTTTAATTTTGTCTTGCCTTTCAGATATTCCTCAAGTTGTTATTTTAAGTAAGGTTGACAGTATTTGTGAAGCGACTAAAGACGACCCAGCTAATGCCTTCAGAAGTCAGAAAGTGGAAAAATGTGTAGCCAAGGTAAAATGTTAAATCTTTAATATCACAGTGTTTTTTTCTTCACAGTTTTAACAGTGGTTTCAAATGATTAGATAAGAAGGAAAACAGGTGTTTTTAAATAATGACATAATTATTTGATATCTACAAATTGTTTTTCCGTAGCAACTTTTTAAATGTTTGTCAGAGTTATAATATTTTGAAGAAGTTCTGTCCCTTTTTAACATATCTCTTAAAATCTCAAAAAACATTTATTCATAAAGACATACACATGAAGTTATATTTTATTGATTCAAGTTTGTATGAACAATTAAAACAATTAAAAGAGAAAAGAAAATGTGTTAAGTCAATTTTGGTAATATTAATTTTCAAGGTATCAGAGGTACTTGGGCTACCTAGAAATATGGTCTTCCCGATGAAAAACTACGAGGCTGAGTACCAACTGGATCCTAGCATTGACATCATGTCCCTTCTAACCCTCAAGGGCATCTTGAACAACTGTGACGCCCATCTGTTTTACCACTATGACGAGATTGTTGAGAGATATGCAGTTACACAGAGATAAAGTTAGTGACTGACCAGTCATTTGATGTGAATTACGTCATAGTTACATTACCATATATAACGCCATCAAGTGCAAAAACACTTGCAGATCACATTTTTTTTACCAAAATTAATGTGGTGATGAGATAACTCATACTTTTTTGTATAAGGTGGAATATATTTTGCACGAACTACTTTTTTGACATGTTTAATCATGTATTTTAATAACAGTTACAGAGATTAGAAAAAATAATTTTACGTTTACATGAGCAGCTTCATGCACCCAGTTTAAAATTCGGGCATGTAGATCTATATTCATCGTAAGTTTACAAACTGACTTCTATGAAGTTTGATTTCCTTCGCCATCTATGAAATTCCAAAATAACTTAAATCTAATTAGAGAAAAAAGTTTAAACTTTCTACCTTTTTCATTTTTTTAAATTTAGTTAAGATTAATGTATTTAGACAATTTAATTCATTCCAACTGAAGTTTGTTTAAACGGTTGTACTTATTCAGTTATTTTTGTTCCAAGTGTTAGATCTACGTCATTGAATGCTGATGTACATGGTTGTTATCAAAACTTAATTATCATATCGTGTTTTGTCAACTTGTTAAAACAAGCATTGAATTTGTAAAAAATGCACCAAATCATGAGGCAGGCCCCTCTCCTACACATCAAATAGCATCGTTTATTTCGGCGTACGCTATCATGGCTATGTTATGTTATCAGAGAAAAGTGTTAACCGATTGCGTTTTCTTTTGTCATTTGTTATTTACATATATCACAACTTCAGTAGCGAACGCTCGCAGATCTATCTGTGGGTTTCTTGATGTTTTGTTCGAGTTAAAACTAAAAATACAAGTATCAGCATTTGAAAAATGCTTCGAATTGCGGTTCAGCAATGAATATAGAACTGATATTTCAACCTAGTACATTTATTATATGTGGTTAACACATAAAGCCAACAAACATACATGATTAACTATACCATTCCGTTCTAGTCAAATATTTTGACGTGCTAAGCTAGATTCTCAGATATTTTTTGTTCTTGATCAGAATCTTGCAATAACAATTAAACGCGTAGTACAATTAGTTGAACTTCAACGCGCTACTCAATTAATGCATCGATGGCTACTTGGGTAATTAACAATAGTTACTTGCTACTTCTTAAAATTGATGTCTTCGTATGTTTTGATACATGCATTCTATAAATGGAATTTCCGTTCTATACTCGCAAATTTTTTGAACCACATTGTGAAATTCATATCATTAATTTCTCAGTATTTAACAGCTTATTAGACATTTCTAGGAAATTAAATAGAAATGTCATTATTGTAAATAAACATAAAACTTGTATTTTCCTCCATTATTTTTTATTTGCTGCATTGTTTCGTAAAATGTGTTGTACATGTATATTTATAGTCTACAAATGTTAATATGAAATGTACTACTTTTACTTATTATAATATTATTTTGTCATATCTTAAGTATGATTTTGTAAATATGACTTTTTTGTTTGTATAATTTTCGTTATTATAGTAATTTTTCAGTGTTTAATAACGAACTTTGTCAAAGTGTCCATGTTTTAAAGAATAGCATGCATGTACATATTTATAGTCATTGTATTGGAATAATTGCTCTTAATGAGATTAAAAAAAAATGTGTTTGTCATATTTTTGTAGAAATGTGTATTTAAAATGACATGATAGGTGGGTAAGGTAATACGCTAAATTTATTGTTCTACTGAATGTGGATAGAATCTCAACACAATGTTCCGTTTTATAACTTAATGTTCCTTTCTAAGTGGAATACCACAAATAATATATAACATATACACAGGTTATCCTGAAGTAAACAAATATATATAAATAAAAACAGTAACAATTATTTCTAGTGGAAAGCCACAATGTTATCACCTGGAAACCCAAAATCTGTCTTTACAAAATTTCTAAAAATTGCTTCGTTTTACACTGACCAATAGAATTTTAACATCTTTGTTTCTTTAATTACAAAATGACCGATCAGATTTCAATACAAAATAATTTTACATATAGCAACATGGAATTTCCAACAACAATCAGCATCTGGACATTTTATCAGTCATAAGGTTTATTTAAATCAATGTCAACTAATGTCAACTAATTTCTTATAAAACTAACGGCTCTTTTATAAAATATCTTTACAAATATTTCGTGTCTTGTATATGTTATATAGGGTGTAATTGAAAATCACTTAGAGGTGCGCAACACACAGGGGGTGTCGAGTCTAGCTACGCACCTGTACGACACAGTTGTAAATAATTGTGAGAGCTTTAAAAATAAAGAATAATTTAACTCGTTAGTCCTTACCAGACCTAGTTGATTATTTGTTTTTAATCAATAAGAATGCATAGGATGTGTTTTCCGTCCTCTTAGAGCTCTAATACATTTTATACATGTGTATTTATCTTACTAAGTAATCTGTTAATGGTCACAAAAGGTTTATTTAAATACCCGTACATGTATTAGTTCATCGTACTTTTATTTTCGGTTTATATCCTTCGTTCGCCTCATGATACGTTACAAAATAAGTCATTGCATAGATTCTACTGGGAAACCAAACCTTTGAAAAAGAAACTAAAATTTTTATTTGTAAAATTAAACATAAAATTCTTTTATTTTGTACACGTCAACTTCGTTTATTCGGCCGTGTCAAATCGTTTTTCTTTATGTCTGTATTGGATAATTGAACACTGAAAACGAAAGTAAGAGAAAGTATGTATCTAGAGATTTTTTTACATTTATTTATTATAAAACATCTTGTGTCTCTGCCAGATCTTTGTACATGTAACTCATTTTTTATTTTGAAAAATAGTATTTGTTTTTTCCCTCTCTTTCTTTCAACCTGTAATTATTGAATTAGATTCAGATCATTTAAATTAAACTGTATTGTGAGATTCATTAATTTTCGTATGGGTTTCGTATAAATTTCTTAATATTTTCTATACTACTTCGATACTTAAATCAATGAATACTGGTTGATGGCCCACAATGGCGTAGTGGACAGAATTGTGATTGCAAGTTCGAAACTCGGACAACCCTTATTATTGTAGTTTTCATAACCTGATCCGGGTGAGCATATAGTCGCCACTGTGTCCGTCTGTCCGTCCGTCTGATTTTCTTGTCCGGGACATGACTCTGAAACGAAAAGAGTTATCAACATGAAACTTTGTAGGTAGATAGATCTCATTGGGTAGATGTGCAGTGTCTAGGAACCGTAACTCTGCCTTTTTCCTAATTTTGGAGTAATTGCCCTTAGTTCATTTTTATACTCGGTACATAACACAGCTAAAACTGTTAGAGATATCAACATGAATTGTGTATGTAGATAGATCTCATTGGGTAGAAATGCAGTGCAAAATAACCGTAACTCTGCCTTGCATCATTTGGGAGTTATTGCCCTTTGTTCATTTTTACACTTTGAATTTTGTGCGGTACATAACTCTAAAACTATAAAAGATATCAACATGGAACTTTGTTGGTAGATGGATCTCATTGGGTAGAAGTGCAGTGCCATAACCTTAACCAGAACCATAACCATGTCTTCCCTAATTTTTGAGTTATTGCCCGTTGCTCATTTTTACACTTTGAACATTGTCCAGGACATAGATGATAGTCCTGAAAGTCTAATAGATATGAACAAGACACTTTGTAGGTAGGTATATTTCATTGGGTTGATGTGCAGTGCAAAAGAACTATAATTCTGTCTTGCCTTAATTTGGATTAATTGCCCTTTGTCCATACATTGTGCAGGGCATAACTCTGACACTATAAGAGATATGAAACTTTGTAGGTAGATATATCTCATTGGCTTGCTTCCGACCGATGTTGGCCCTTGTATATTCTTTAGCGGTCACAAGAAGAGGATGAAAACAAAAGTGCATTGAACTGTTTGACCCACGAAACTTAAAGTGAATAATATTTATTTTTACACGAAGGCAACTATTTTGAAACAGATTAAACATAATTTGGTCAAAGTATGATCGACTTCAGATTAAAGTTTTGATCCATAGTGTATTTATAGCAACTAAAAGTGTGTTTCCTCAAGAAGTAAATTTTTCAATTTTTCAAAGTGATGTGTATTTGTATAAAACAGAGTTACAGCTGGGAATATCAATTATACCTTTTTCTAATTAAAAATGCACAAATTCGCTAAATTATTAAAACCCTGGTCCCAACCTGCTGTTTGAAGCGAGGAAAAATTGTCTTTTCCGGGGAATTCGATAATCGAAAACTTAAAGGAACTCCACCGAGGTCAAAAAGCCTAAAAAGACTTTCTTTCTAAAAGAATTTCTTACAAAGATCAACCACGGCACTTAAACCAGAAACATATGCAAAAGATATTAAAGAAACATAATCTGAATAATTAAAAGTCATTTTTTTACAATTACAATAAACATTCTAGTAAAAATGGAGTAAACGAATTATCTGAAATTCTGCAAGCAAGCTATTGGTCTAGACCTACATCGAATGAAACATTAGTCTCGAAAAATTATTTCCAGACTAGTTTTGTCAAAAACTCTCAGTGGAGTCCCTTTAAAATTAGGTCCCCGGTAACAGCTACATAGGTTTTCTATTACAGATGGCAGAATGAGTGAAAACGAAAAAGATGTATTGAGAGAGACCCCGTGGAGGACGACTGTCAACTGGAACAACCCTTTTGAGGTAAAAATCAAAAAGTCTTTTACCGCATTATTAGATATTTTATTAATTTCAATATTTTGTATCATTCTAATACGTGAGTTTTACTATAAAATGCATTAACTTACTTTCACATTATGCTCAATGCATCTCGTCAAGAGCTATTTTAGACTAATAGGTTGTAGCCTCGTACGTGCTTGTTTTAGACTTCAGTGGAACCTCAATGTTTTACCGCTTCTATCGAGTGTTTGTATCCTCTCATGTGCTTTTTTGTAGACTTCAGTGGAATCTCAATATGTTAGTGATTGTAGCCTCACATGAGCTTTTTTAAGACCTCAGCGTATTCTCAGAGTGTTGACGCTTCTATCAAGGGGTAGTAGCCTCTCACGTTCTTGTTTTAGACCTCAGTGTTATATCAGAGTTATATCAGAGTGTTGACGTTTCTATCGAGGGGTTGTAACCTCTCGTGTGCTTGTTTAAGACTTCATTGTAATCTCAATATGTTAACGCTTTTATCGAGGGGTTGTAGCCTCTCACGTGATTGCTTTAGACTAAGTGTAATCTCCAAGTTTTAACACTTCTATTGAAGGGCTGTAGCCTCACACGTGCTTCTTTTAGACTAGCGGAATTTCAAAGTGTTGACCTTTCAATCGAGGGGTTGTAGCCTGTAGCGTGCTTTTTGTAGGTTAGTGAAATCTCAGGATGATGCCGCTTTTATCATAGCATTGTTGTCTCTCACATGCTTCTTTTAAACTTTAGTGGAATCTCAAAATGAATTGATGCATATTAAAATATAACATATGATATCTATGCAATTTATAGAGTTTAGAAGAACTTAAAGATGACTGCGAGAATTACGAACCGTTGGGTGAACTTTTGCCAGGCGATGTCCATTTCCCCAAGGTCAATATTCTTCTATTAGGCAGGGTTGGAAGCGGAAAATCCAGCGTTTTCAACACGATTAACTCATGTTTTCGTGGAAAAATCTTCAATGTGGCAAGGAGTGGAAGCACTAAACATAGTCTTACAACAAAGGTAAGCGATCACAACAAATGAATCGTACAGGTCACCCACCTTTCCAATAAACAAAACAACATATTGGATACCCCAGTATCAATAACAGTTTTTGTTTTGTTTTGGGGTTTACGTCACATCGACACAGTATAGGTCATATCGCGACGTTCAAACTTTACTGGTGGAGGAAGACCTCAGGTACCCCTCCGTGCATTATTTCAGGCACAAACGGGCACCTGAGTAGAACCACCGACGTTCCGTAAGCTAGCTGGATAGTTTCCTCAAATGAAATAATCAAAAGTCCCTGTCAGGATTCGAACCAACAGCGGTGAGGGGCAAGTGGTTTGAAGTCAACGACATTAACCACTCGGCCACGGACGCCCCATCAATAACAGTAATATACAATCTAACGACCACGCCACAAAGAAGATCACACTGCTATTAATGCCCTTTGTCAAAAAAGCAAACTATCTATTGAGAAATTGATAAGAATATCGCCAACGTATCTTACTTCTTTTTCTATAACTGGCTATAACCTTGTTATCAATAATTGGATTATCCTCTTATTTAGACACAACCTTTTTTAGGTCAAGTCATTCGTGTATATCAAACTCAAGACGAAAATAAAATAATTAAGATCTTAAGAAGTTTATCAACTTATTATAATACATACATGGGTACATACTTGAAATTTTTAATTACATTGGAATGGATAAGTTGTTTAGGAACTTTATTCACTATTAAGTTAATTCCACTGTTAAGACCACTTGAGAGACCAATCATTGGTCTCAATAGAGAGCGTTTACTGTACGGGATGTTTTTTGAGCGATCATGTTTTATAATTCAAAAGCAGTGGTTTACATAGAAATTATATTATTACTTTAAATATGGCACATTATATTCCCATATTTTTGTTTATGTTTTATTTATGATAGTTCACAAAGTATCCAATACTGTCCGGAAGAAGTACATTGCGACTGCCAATGAAGTTTCGAATCTGTGACATGCGAGGTCTTGAAGACGATCATCTGATGAGCAAGGAAAATATGCGTTTTATATTAGAGGGGAATATTCCTGACCGATATCCGGTAAGTACACGTAGTAACCGCTGCTATTGTTATAATCAAATATACCGTGTAATACGCTTTTCCAGACAATTGATAGACCCCTAATATGACCTTCCATTTGAATAACAATAGATTTAGCCACAACATTGACATTGTGCTCTTTTCTTCACAAATATGTTGGGGTGAAATTCTCATTGTCTCCACTAGTCTGATAATTAAAATAAGGTTAGGATCTTTGCATTGTTACCACAACCCTATCTTGGAAATAGCCGGTAATGAACTACTGTGACTTCGATAAAGGCCGTGGCAGGCAGATAATTACATTCACTACAATGTCCTTATGCCGCTACCTGGACATATCCCATGTCATGTTGACTAACAATAAACCCATCCAGGAGACTTTATATATAGAAATATATTTATTTCATAATTGATTATTTTTCCCTGTACTGTGTCCAGTAATTAATTAGCCGAGGTTAGTTTAATCATAATGATATTTAAGTTTACATACATGAAATGAGCCGCGTCAAGACAAAACCAACATAATGGGTTTGCGACCAGCATGGATCCAGATCAGGATCTATGCTGTTCGCTTACAAACCCTATAGCAAGATAGAGAAACTGACAGCGAACAGCATGGATCCTGATCAGACTGCGCGGATGCGCAGGCTGGTCTTGATCCATGCTGGTCGCAAACCCATTATGTTGGGTGACTGACATTCTTCGATCCTAAAAGCTCACCCTGAGCCAGCTCAAGTGAGCTAAAAGGCCTAAGGAGGCCACTTTATCAAAAAATAGATAAGCTGATATCAAATTCAATTTTACATCTAAATCCAAATTTTATAACTGTACATCTAAGGACAAGAAAGTAAATCCCTTTTTCAAAATCTAGGTCAGCTGATATCAAATTTTAAATGTGAACATGGTCCAAACCTCATAGCTGTACATCAATCGACAAAACTAGGTCACTTCATCAAAATCTAGGTCAGCTGTTATCAAAGTTTAATTTACATCTTAATCCGTCTAAAATAGCATACCTGTTCATCAAATGACAAGAAAGTAGGTCACATCATCAAATTCTTGATCAGCTGATATCTAAGTTCGGCCTTAGTGTTACATATAAAGGGAAGTAACCGCTTCAAAAAGCGGACTACTTTCGGCATTTGCAATTAACAGCATTAGAGTCTGCTAGATATGTTTCATAACTTGAACAAGATATTACAATACAGAACAATTTTCACCTTTTAATGATAACGTTTATTTACATGTATCTTATATTTCACAAATGCTGGAAAGCATTGGTGGCACTATATAAAAACAAATTGTTTTATAATCTCACAACCTTCACCTTTCTGACATTCTGAGACCAAAACAAATTCAGCGCCTTCTGTGCTTTGATTTAACTATGGCGGAGAATTGTAAATTGTTGTGGTTGGTTATCGATTTGTAAATAATTATAGAAGATATTGATGAAGTAAGTGAATACAAGGACGGGCAATAATGGAGACAGTAAGACGAATTTCTGTCGTTCTACTACTATACAGACTACTTCATTCAGGTGTTCAAATTACACTTAAAGCACCATGATACAAACATACTGTGAATACATTGAGTGTTTTCTACTCAGTTGATGCTGAGGCATACCTAGACAAATGAGCCGCGTCACGACAAAACCAAAATAGTGCGTTTGCGACCAGCATGGATCCAAACCAGCCTGTGCATCCGCGCAGACTGATCAGGATCCATGCTGTTCGCTAACCAACCATATTACAAGTAGAGAAACTGATAGCGAACAGCATGGATCCTGATCAGTCTGCGCGGATGCGCAGGCTGGTCTGGATCCACGCTGGTCGCAAACCCATTATGTTGGTTTTGTCCTGACGCGGCTCGTATAGTTTAAGTATTTCGTTCTTTGTACCCTATGGCACTTTCGTTTTAGACAAAGGTTTATACCACCATTATTTCTACTTGTAATCATTTTATTAAAAATCTCCCTTTTAATATAAAATACACTTTTTAGGAAATTTAGCACCGTGAATTGAATTAAAGAATAATACATTTGGACTAATTTCAGCTCGATCCTTGCGGACACATTTCGTCTGATATGCCTGGATTCAAGAAAAATCCTGGCCTTGACGATAAGATCCACTGTGTTGCTATAGTCCAAGATGCAACTATTGTTGATGCCATGGCAGATTTGAACCCAGAGGTCACCAAAAATAAAAAGGAAATGCAAACCGTTATGAATAGTTTAGGTAACAGGGGGTCGGACATATAAAGGTCCGTTATTTTTTTAGCGATGTTGAATGGTACGATACGAGATAATGGCGGAGAAAAGTGTTAAAAAGTGTAGGTAAAAGTCGTTTTGTTTTAAAAATTTGTTGTATGTAACTGGAACAGCTTTTGATTAATCATAGCACCAACCCGTTTACTTTGTAGCACGAAGAATTTTAAGTTTCTTTTTCGCATATTTGTACAATATTTCCGTATTTCTTCTTACTGTACGAGTACACACGCTTATTCCTTTGATGAACGGTTGTACGCATGAATTTTGGTTCCTGAGGATAAAATTTTTTGACCGACTGATATCTGTTCCCTGCGCATTGGCAATAAGTAACTAGTATTGTGAAAATCAGTTTACACATTTAATGAACAATTAACTATATCATTATTAATTGCATATGGTCTTAGCATTGGAAATTATACAAGGAAGGACAGTTCTGATTTAGGCAAGAAGTTTTCGCTGCGCTGATTAATAAAATATGACAATATAATTACCTCTTTTGAAGACTATCGACATGTGTTTTCTTTTCAACGTATTTGTGAAAAAAGCTTTGTTCTTGACGAAGCTTCATACTGAAGATTGTGAAATGTGTGTGACATGCTTTATTTTACGACAGACACATGACAGTACACATTTCCCTTCTATATGTGTGCCCTCATTATGGAAAATCATGCCAAAGTATAGACTTGAGCCCGTATGTATGTGGAAAATGTTGTATGATATAATACGTTGCAATGGACATTTACCAGAATATTCGACCAGGCAGCCAGACTTTGAGAGAGAAAAACATATATTAAGATTGTATAATGATTTTATGTGACAGTTTTAAAGAAACAATAAACACTATCTACAGGCTTTACATTTATATCACTATTCAACAATTGTAAATAGTTAGTGAAATTAACTATTATATAGTATTCAAATTACAATGTATACGAAAAACAACTGGATTTGTAGAATCACGAATTTGTACATTTGAACTGCAAACTATCTAAATGGATATACACATTAGTGTTCCCTTGTGCATTGTTTAAGATATTTGTTTCAAAATAAAGTATCAAGTTTTTACTTTTGATGAACTAAGTAGCACGCCCTTTGTTTATCCTAAAACTAACAAAAGCAATATCTGTTTTTCTCCAACCTTGTAACGGATTCTAACAAATATTGCACTCCCGTTGACAATTCCTTTCTCCAAAATAGCACAAAACTACTTTTTACTTTTCCTTTTCCCGGTGCTCTGACATCAAGTTAATTGATTCTGAAAAAACAAAACATTTTAGTAACAAAGGGAATTCAGCTTTGATATATTTTTACTTATTCTTACAAAATGCAACAGTAAAAACACCAACAAATTATAAACAAGCTCATAAGTCGATATTAGATAATTTAAGGTATATAATTTTTAATTAAATTATAAGCACTGTCAAAATTATCTAACCTTTTGTACATGTAGCGTACAGTTATCATATCGTACCAAAACCCACCGTACACATAAATATTTGGACAATACACGTCAATATATATCTATGCACAAGCATATTGTGATCAGTATCTACATAAGTTGTAAGTAGTAATAGCAACTATCATTCACGATAAGGGCTTTGATCTATGATTTTTTTTTCTGACACAAAGTCAGTAACTATCTGTTCACCTTCAATAATTTTTTCACCATTGAACCTAAACTTTATCATTTTAGAAATAAATGACTTTAAGATTTCTATAAAATTTACTCGCTCTGTGTTTTCATTCTCAAAAAATCCGCCATTACTCTGCATCGTACCATTTCACCTCGCTTAAAAAAAGTATCGAACCTAGATACGTTCGACCATCTGAGGTGAGTCTAATCTAATAAGAGGTATATTTTGAATAAAACCGTTAAACTGCAATTTAAGAAGATAGTTAAAAACAAAAGGATAATGTAGACTCAAGACGTTTTTAAATCACATTTTCACATTTAAATACCTCGGATAACTTTTTTAAAGGATAGACTATTGTTAAAGTTAATAATCTTTTTCAAGTTGTTCAATATTGTCTTAACCTTCAGATATCCCGCAAGTTGTTATTTTAACTAAAATTGACAGTATTTCTGATGTGACTGAAGACGACCCGGCAAATGCCTTCAGGAGTCAGAAAGTGGAAAGATGTGTTGGCAAGGTAACAACTTAGATCTTTAATATCACATCGGTTTTTATTTGCAGTTTTTGACAGAGGTTTGATTTGTGCATTGTTGAATGATTGAATAGGAAGATTAAAAGGTGATTTTAAATAATAACATAAGAATAATTTGATGTCTTTGGAGTTCCAGCATTGTTCCTAATGTTTGTCAGAGATATAACATTTAAAGCAATACTTCATGTACTTTTTGAACACATTCCTTTCGAATTATGAAGGAAAATAGTCCTGTTTTACGGGGCTATCTTATTCGTGTTGATTTGAGGATTTAAAAAAAAATAAATACACTAAGAAAAAAGTAGTACATCTATTTTGGTTACACTTTCCAGGTATCAGAGATACTTGGGATAAATAGAAATATGGTTTTTCCGATGATGAACTACGAGGCCGAGGACCAACTGAATCCTAGCATTGACATCATGTCCCTTCTCACCCTTAAGGGCTTATTGAACACTTGTGACGCCCACCTGTTTCATCACTATGACGAAATTGTTGAGAGGTACACCGTTACCCAGAGTTAAAGCCAGTGTCTGATCACTCATTAGATGTGAATTACTAGTACGTCTTGTATAACGTCATATAGTGCAAACAAACAAAAACCTGTTTTTCATCCATGGTTTGTCAAATGAAGGAATGAGATAGCTGTAGACCCGCACTACCTTTTGTATAAAGTGGGAAATATTTAACTACTTTTTGTAGCATGTGCTTTTGTTTGTATTTTGTTTAGTTTTTTTCCATGTTTATTTACTTTATACAGTTACAGGAATTGTTTTAATTATTATATGCTTAGATGAGAAGTCTGAAAGGTATACTCATTACGTTAAGCTGACAAGGCTGTTAATAAAATGAGCCGTGTCACGACAAAACCAAAATAGTGGGTTTGCGACCAGCATGGATCCAGACCAGCCTGCGCATCCTGGCAGTTTGATCAGGATCCATGCTGTTCGCTTACAAACCCTATAACAAGTAGAGAAACTGATAGCGAACAGCATAGATCCTGATCAGACTGCGCGCATGCGCAGGCTGGTCTGGATCAATGCTGGTCGCAAACCCATTATGTTAGTTTTGTCGTGACGCGGCTCATTTAATATAATTTCGCTTCAAAGGGAAATATAAGCTACCTTTATGTACTTTTCAATTAGAACTATTACTACTAGGATAAAAATGGATACTTTAACTTGGGCATGTAAATTTATTTTATTATAAGTAAACTTACTTTTATGAAGTTTGATTTTCTTCACCATTTATGAAATCCTTTGATTTTTTAAAAATAAATAGAGATAAAAAGTTTACTTCCTACATTTTATATTTCTAAATTATGTAAAATTAAGGCATTTAATGCTGTAATAGACAAGTACTCGTATATGCAAGTATACGGATGCGCAGGCTGGTCTGGATCCATGCTGGTCGCAAACGCACTATGTTGGTTTTGTCGTGACGCGGCTCATATATTTTAAAAAGCTGACACCCTTATTTGTTACTGATAAGTTTGATACGTTTATTATTAAAACTGTCTTAAACAAATAAATTTTTATATTATGTTGTTTTTATAATAAAATGACTTGAAACTTGAATTTGGCTTGTTATTTTTTGTCTTGCAACGATACTCCGTGAAAATAAGCGAGTAATGATCTCAGGAAGTGCTTCTAGTGTATTTCCGACTGTTTTCATGTTTTAAATATTCTTCGTTTTTTTAGGCAGCTGGACTGCCAAATTTAGGATGCTAAACTGCCTACTACAGGCTATTGGCTGCCAATTTAGGTTGTTAAGCTGCCAATTTTAGGTTATTAGACTGCTAACTTAAAGTTGCTAGACTGCTAATTATAGGCTGTTCGTCTGCCAATTTAAGGCTGTTAGGCTGCCAACTTGAAGCTGCTAGACTGCCAATTTTAGGCTGAAAGCCTGCCAACATTTGGCTGCCAACTTCAGGCTGTTAGGCTGCCAACTTAAGACTGCAAGGCAGCCAATTTTAGGTTGTAGACTGCAAACTTCATCTGTTATGCTGTATTTATAGGTTTCTAGGTTATCAACTTTAGGCTATACGGCTACTATCTTTCGGCTGCCAATTTAGGGCTGATAGGCTGCCAACTTTAGGCTATGCAGTGCTTTATTTACATCAAACAAAAAGTGAAACTTCTGTCCGAGATCACAGGTTGGTGACACTATAATAAACAAGACCTTTATCTTTTTTACAGTGTAAGTGCAATCTATAGTGTTTAAATTGTAAGTTGTAAAATTTACACAGCTACTTTTAAAGATCTTGTAACTCAAATTTTTAAAGGTTTAATATCATAAATCCGATGCTCAATTAAAGATTAACATTGTAAGTTCAAAAAAAGCATTATTTGCAAAAGATATTACCGAATTTACATTTCGTGTAAATAAGGGAGGTAATTAGAAATCTATTTTCGATAAAAGTGTAAAAAAATGAATACATAGATTTTAATGACTACTGATTATACAAATAACATGTGCAATACACAGCAAAACATATCCTTGGATGCTTGAAAATTGTTTTAGAAGAAAAATTATATGTATGTACATAATCAAATTTCACTGTTGGTACAACCTTATAAATTAATTACACAAATAAAACAAACTCTATTATACAGTTTCAATATGTAACAGTATCATATGCTTTTAAACCTTCATTTGTAATATTTTCTCAAGAGGGAAAAATTACCAATTAAAGACTGTTATAAGGGAGAGAACTATTACATTTACTGCCGAATTTTAAAATTTTTTCAAAGGGAGACAAATCCGCCGCTCTTGACTTTACAAAAGGGAGATTACTCTATTGCTTAACAATTATTTTCTTATATAAGCCGTCAAATTGTAAATATCCTTAACAGTGATTAGACCTAATACTAGTAAATTATTTACACTAAATATATAATTTATATAAAACAAGACACAAGTGGGAATGTGGCTTATTATTGGTAGCATATATCAACAATTATTTTCAAAATCCAGATACTTGTGCTAATATATGTTGCCTGGTGCCTGTGAAACGTCCGTCGCTATCATGGAATAAAGACTTCGTCGAATTGGAAAATCAGCCCTATATGCACTAAGAATAAAGAACATCGAAGAACCAGAAAAATGACCTCTATCTCTGGAAAAGCATCGGATGAAGGAAAACTGAAACGAAAAAATTATTAAAACTTTAACAAATCCAATCTATAACAAAACTTGTCAGTTATAGGATGCACAGACTGGTCTGGATCCATGCTGGTCGCAAACGCACTATGTTGGTTTTGTCGTGACGCGGCTCATTTTAAAAAATCTGTTACATGATCAGAAACACGCGCCGGGTCTGTTCTCGATTACATATGGCAATATTTTTGCTACATTTGTGTATTTTATGTGACTCTCCTACAGCACATAATATATAGAAGCTTTAAAAATTATTGATTTAATAGAGACTATATTCGTCTCAACCCTTTGATAATCAGTTAAATTTAAATATATTGTCTATAGAGTAAAATATAATAATAATATAAAATAATTTGTCGAGTTTCATTCGCATTTGTAAGGATTGTTTCTAAGTTTAAATAAGTGAATGGCCACTAGTCATGATTATGTTATGGATGTGACACAATTTAAATGTTTTTAATTTTTATAAAAAATATTTCATCAGATAAAACTTTATACAATATATATTAAAATATATTGCTTTAAAATACTTATAAAAATTCAAGATTCAAGAGAGATTTCTTTCAGTCGTAAACGATTCCTTTAGCATGCGCCAATCAAATGGTGCATTTTCATGTTTGACATATACTTCTTTATCAAAAAAAATCAACAAACTTTTCATTTATCAACACATGCTGAATATAATTATACATGCATATCTCTGATATTTTTTATAGGTGAAAGAAATGTTAAAGTAAATAAAAATATTATTCGCTTTTCTCGGGCTGTAATTATTGCTTGAAAGTTGACCATACAATCATTGAAAACAAATCGTTACAATTTACGGAAACTATGGAAAAAATAACACCCCGAGAATAAACCAGTCTAAAGTTAATAATGCCGAACAATATCAGATACACACATTATAACACGTGTACATGCATGCTATTGAAGAGTCAGTTTTTCGTGGATTTCATTTTGCACGAAAATTGCGTGCTTCATAAAACATGTGATTTCATTAAGAGGCCCTTCTGGCTAAGCTGTAAATATAAAAAAAGAAATAAAATTATGTACATGTCAATTGTCTCCTTCCCCGACAAATAACGTTTTTTTTTTTTTTGGCAATCGAAACCCACGGTTAAATTCGTTCCCCTTCAAGGACGGCCAAATGGTAAATTTTCATCAAACTGTAAAACTATACCCGCTGCCTCGCGAGACCCCTCCCCCTCCCAAACCAAAACAACAACAAAATCTCGCACAGATATCTTCTGAACCACTGACCTCTTACTCGAAATACCTTACCGTTATTGTTTTCTTTGAAAACAAGCTAAGTGACAGATTTGAAAAAAAAAACGACCATTGAACCGTGAAAATATGTCCGGACGGAATCAAATTAGTCACGTGACACATCAGCTGAATTCGTCAATATTGTCAAGACTACCAAACATATTCATAGTAAGATTATCGCAAAAATGAATTTTTCATGGACGTGATCATCATAATAATCATCATCACTACATCATAAAAACAACAATCATCATCAGAGCATCATAATAGCCATCATCATCAGTGTATCATAATAATCATAAATATTATTATCAGTTCACCATAATCATTATCATCATAATCATCATTATCATCATCAGTATACAATATTCATCATCAATATAATAATCAGTACACCATTATATCATCACCATTACCATCAGAACATCATCATCATCATCATCATACCAATCATTAGTACATCAGCACCATCATCAGTACATCGAAATCATCACCATCAGTACATCATTTAATCATATACAAATTTATGATTAAACTTATTAATAATTATAATAATAACCTTCCTCATCCAAATTATCATCATCATTATCACTCAAATCATAATTATTTTTTCAACATAGTTACTTTAAAGGAACAAATGATAATAAATGCAACATATATGTTTAACTTATTTTATTTATGGTTGGCATAAAATTTCCGTCATGACTGGTCATTTAGTAACATAAAGTTAATAGAGTTTGAACCTTTATATAAAATAGAATATTATAAAATAGGTTTTGCTTCGTTATTGATTGCAAAAACATTTAATTTTATGTTAGATTTTATTTTTCCGTGTTAGTTCACGGCAGCTTTTGGAGCTCGGAGACTGGATTGAAAAGGAATTTGCAAAAGCGTGCTTGGTTTATATACCCAGTTTACTAAGCATGCGCGAACAAGATTGAATGACTTGTTAGGAGGAGGAGCAGCCAAATATACAGGTCATTGCAAAAATACTGTGACGTATAGTGTAAAAATAAAGAGTTTAAACTTAAGCGCTTAAACTGAATATTGTTATCATCTCTAGTATAATATTTTCTCACAGTGTGGTAAGATGATGATGATGCTGATGATGATGATGATGATTATGATACAGATGATGGCGATGATGATGATGTTGATGTATTGAAGAACAAAAATGATGTTCTGTTGTAAACGACGTTGATGATAAAAGATAATACTTCTACTAATAATAATAGAAATATGACGGTAATGAAGGATAGCTAATAGTTATGTTGTACGAATGATGTTTATTATGCTGCTGCTGCTGCTGCTGATGATGATGATATAATAAATGATGGCTGTATATTGATGATTATAATGATGTTTTTCTTTTATGAACTCAATTCACTCATTTTATTGTCAAGTACTGATGATGATGTTCTTATAAAAATAATGATAATGATGATGATGATGATAATGATCTTATAATGATGATGATAAGATACTTATGATGATGATGATGTTGTTGATGATAATGATGATGATGATGATGATGATGATGATAATGATAATGATTTGTTGTTGTTGTTGTTGATGATGATGATGTTGATGATGATGATGATGATGATGATGATGATGATGATGATGATGTTCTGATAAAGATAATGATGATGTTTTGATGATCATCATGATGATGTAAATGATGAACTAATGATGATGTACATTATGAAAATCACTTTACCTTTGTTTTTATAAATGAAAAACACAAAATGTATTACAAAGATGTTTATAACTTTGGGAGCTTTATTTGTTTCAATTGCAATAAGGTGTCGAATAAATCTCGCAAGAGGGAAATACTCACAATTCAATCGCATAATCGCTTTCTCGGCTTATCTATTTATTCACGAAAACGTGCTTTATTTTTGTCGTTGGGGCCTCACTTTGTGTAACTATGGGTATAAATACCGGCGCATGCAACAGCTCCTTCACTTTTCACTTTTCTTCTTGGACAGACGACATAAAATCTAGAAATGCAGCTTCAAGTTTTCATTGCTTTGTGCGTGGTCTTTGTGTGCGGTGTTGATGGCCGCCATGCAGATTTTCAACGACGCCGTTTTCTAGAAGGTAAGGGGTTTCTAGTTTATTTTTAAATTTGTGAAAAAATAGTTTTAAGGGAACGAAGCCACGTGGCTTTGTCAAACTCGCGAGTCACACGTGCACGTGTACTCGTAAAGTGATACGAACGCAAAATAAAGCTGTTATGGTCTGTGTTATAATAATTGTTTTTATAATTATCGTGATTAAAAAAGATATGATGGCGCGTCACGACAAAACCAACATAATAGGTTTGCGACCAGCATGGATCCAGACCAGCCTGCGCATCCGCGCAGTCTGATCAGGATCCATGTTGTTCGCTATCAGTTTCTCTACTTGTACTGGTAAGCGAACAGCATGGATCCTAATCAGACTGCGCGGATGCGCAGGCTGGTCTGGATCAATGCTTATCGCAAACCTATTATGTTGGTTTTGTCGTGACGCGGCTCATATTTGGATGAATGAAAGGTTATCAGAGCAGGACGGTTATAGTTTTTTTCAAAATATTTTCTTGTCGACGGGTCAATGAATCGTTTCAGTTTTCCCGTTGTATTTTAAATTTACACTTAATCCTTAATGTACATGGTCTGTGCGTCAATGTTCTATTATATTGAAATTCTCAATGAATACAGACGATACGTGTTTGAATGATAATCTATTTGTTTCATATATCTCTATATATTGTATAATTATATATTAGGCGTATTTTTATCCGCTCCTGAATAGAATTCGCATAGTTCCTCGGCGATATGTGGCATTGCACCAAACCTTCTTGGGCATATAAATTTGGCATGTATTTTCTTAAAGGGCAAATCGCCCCGGTAAATTATAAGCAACATTATCGAATCCATGCGACGATGCTACAACGTTGTTATAAAATTACGTTGTATTTATTAAAATAAATCGCAATATATTCGTCTTCGCTTTAAACGCACTATAAATTTAATTGGACATGTTTATAAAACGAAATAAATTCATATATCTCTGACAACTGTATTTATAATTCAATTTTGCATTATGGGGCCTTTATTAGAACAGAACCGACAATAAGACTATTTATACTGCAAACTTGTAAGGTATTCTAAATGTTTAAATTTCTGGTACTTTCCGGGGTTAGACTAACTGTATACATGCGCCTATTCCACTCTTCCTTTAGATCATAATTGAGCCGCGTCACGACAAAACCAACATAATGGGTTTGCGACCAGCATGGATCCAGACCAGCCTGCGCATCTGCGCAGTCTGGTCAGGATCCATGCTGTTCGCAGTAAGTTTCTCTACTTGTAATAGGGTTTGTAAGCGATCAGCATGGATCCTGATCAGACTGCGCGGATGCTTAAATTTTGTCCGGCCCATTTCTCTTCAACCAAAAAAGCTATGGACTTGAAACTTCATAGGATGATAGATCTCATTAAGAAGAATGCAGTGCACAATAACGCGTACTCGGCACTTCTTAATTTTTGAGGTATTGCCCTTTGTTAATTTTCATACTTTATTTTTGTCCGGCCGTTTCTCCTAATGTATAAAAGCCATGGACTTGAAACTTCATAGAATGATAGGTCTCATTAAGTAGTGCAGTGCACAAGAACAGGTACTCTGCATTTCTTATTTTTTGAGTTATTGCCCTTTGTTTATTTTCATACTTTAATTTTGTCCGGGCCATTTCTCTTTAAGTATAAAAGCTATGGACTTGAAACTTCATAGGATGATAGATCTCATTAAGAAATAGTGCAGTGCACAAGAATCGGTACTCTGCATTTCTTAATATCTGAGTTATGGCCCTTGTTTATTTTCATACTTAATTTTTGTCCAGGCCATTTCTCCGAAAGAATAAGTTATGGATTAAAACTTCATTGTATGATGGATCTCATTAAGAAAAAGTGCAGTGCATAAGAACTGGTATTCTGCATTTCTTATTTTTTTAGTTATTGCCCTTTGTTGATTTTCTTACTTTATTTTTGTCCTGATCATTTCTCCTCAAGTATGAAAGCTATGGACTTGAAACATCATAGAATGATAGATCTTATTGATAAGAAGTGCAGTGCACAATAACTGCTGCTCTGCACTTATTATTTTTTTTAGTTATTGCACTTATTATTTTTCCCATTTCATTTTTGTCCTGGCCATTTCTTTTAAACTACATTAATCACAAGGCGACACATCCGACTCGCGGAGTTCTAGTTATTTTACGAATATGTAATACGTTTGTGTAATAATTTCAATTTTTTGGTTGGGTATAGCCACTAAAAACTACATGTAGATAAAAAACGTTTTTTGCTTTATTTTTACAATGAAATTTTACTGTATATATGCATCTGTTATAGAGTACAGAGCGTTTAGCGGATCTGGAGAAATGGCGACCGATAACAAGAGGGACCAGTTTCTACAAAAGGCTAGACATAAGGCGGTCAATGGAGCAATGAGTGGGTCTGGGGAAATGGCGACCGATATCCAGAGCGACCTGTTTCTTCAAGAAGAGGCTAGGGATCACGGGGCCAATGGAGCAACAAGTGGGTCTGGGGAAATGGCGACCGATAACAAGAGGGACCAGTTTCTTCAAAAGGCTAGAGATAAGGCGGTCAATGGAGCAATGAGTGGGTCTGGGGAAATGGCGACCGATATCCAGAGCGACGTGTTTCTTCAAGAAAAGGCTAGGGATCACGGGGTCAATGGAGCAACAAGTGGGTCTGGGGAAATGGCGACCGATAACCAGAGCGACGAGTTTCTACAAAAGGCTAGAGATAAGGCGGTCAATGGAGCAACAAGTGGGTCTGGGGAAATGGCGACCGATATCCAGAGCGACGTGTTTCTTCAAGAAAAGGCTAGGGATCACGGGGTCAATGGAGCAACAAGTGGGTCTGGGGAAATGGCGACCGATATCCAGAGCGACGTGTTTCTTCAAGAAAAGGCTAGGGATCACGGGGTCAATGGAGCAACAAGTGGGTCTGGGGAAATGGCGACCGATATCCAGAGCGACGTGTTTCTTCAAGAAAAGGCTAGGGATCACGGGGTCAATGGAGCAACAAGTGGGTCTGGGGAAATGGCGACCGATATCCAGAGCGACGAGTTTCTTCAAGAAGAGGCTAGGGATCACGGGGTCAATGGAGCAACGAGTGGGTCTGGGCAAATGGCGACCGATATCCAGAGCGACGAGTTTCTTCAAGAAAAGGCTAGGGATCACGGGGTCAATGGAGCAACGAGTGGGTCTGGGCAAATGGCGATCGCTAACCTGAGGGCCTACCTTCTCCAGGAAGAGATTCGAGATAACAATGTCATTGGAGAAGCAAACTCTAAAAACTGGCCATATGCGATGATTGAATGTAAGTTTGTGATAATTTTGAAAATGTTACAGATCTATTTATAAATCTGCACTTTTGTAAGGTCGTTTTTCATTAGATGTTAATTATTTTGGATGGACCATCATTAAGCATAGACTACATACATATACATTCTTTCACTCTAGTAAGCAAGTTTGCTATACCGAGTTGAAAAAAAAAGTGCACTTGGTTATACGGAAATTTGTATGCTTATTTAAGCAAAATTGGCATATTTAGCATCAGTATTCGGGTTCGGGTCCATGCAAGCTCGAACACACGTTGATCCTTTAGATAACCGCAACAAATAATGATTAAAGCAGCACGCCTTCAGATAAATGCTTATTTTCATGAAAATTTTAAAAATGTAATTAAAAGTATAAAATTGTATAGTAACCAAAAGGAAGCAATTTACACATTTTCAACAGCCTTTACGTCCCACATTAATTACACAAAAAGAGGTCAAAATATGCAAAAATGCCCTTAACGCGTTAGTAACGCAGTAGAAATATAGTTACACATAATGAAAAATTTACTATTTATCGCTTATAACATGTAAATTATGACTTGAATCTTGCATCTTTCTACTTTTCGTAAAATCATAGTACATTTTTCTCTAAGTTTAATTTGTTGGAATATTTTCGCTAATTTGGAGGCATGCTGCTTAAAGGCCCAAACTTGTTTCCGTTTTACCCACGCCGGAAGTTTTATCTGGCATGTTGGGAGTGGTGCCGGCTGGGTCGCGCGCTACACAATGGCGTGCTTAAGATGAGGAAGTTTTAACCATTTTGAAGTTGTAATTTTATATTTTATAGGCTTTTGTAGGAAAATACTAACTGGTGTAATGACATAAATTTCCGTGAAAAATTGTTTATTAAGGTATGATGGAAAATTGTAAACCTAACCTCTCTAATAGTTTTTCAATTTCTATTCATTATTTTTCCACTTGCTATGTATGTTTACAGAGTTTCCTAGTAACAGAGTGTACACTCTCTTGCATGTAAATAAGTATAAAAGATTTTGACGGGTTTAATGGCCCTATATAAACCGCTAGGTGCCAGCAACCGTTTATATACGGTCATATAACTCGCCCTATATAAACCGCTAGGTGGCAGCAACCGTTTATATACGGTCATATAACTCGCCCTATATAAACCGCTAGGTGCCAGCAACCGTTTATATACGGTCATATAACTCGCCCTATATAAACCGCTAGGTGCCAGCAACCGTTTATATACGGTCATATAACTCGCCCTATATAAACCGCTAGGTGCCAGCAACCGTTTATATACGGTCATATAACTAGTTATGAATATTTATAACGAATTTATACTACAAACATTTTTTTTTTTTGCGGAAAAAGTGAGATTTCCTCAATTAATTGCAGCCGTGTGTATATAAACACGTCAAGTCACGATTACTAATGAGTACCAACGTTAAACACTAATAATATAACCATGCATTTTAGTCATGTGCAAATATGCACTTGCATACATAAACGTAAACACTACATTTTTGTATAGTCTTAATTCATTAAAGACGGAAGCAAACAAAAAATCCTGAAATCGTACAGAATGATTTGTATCGATTTTTTTTATAATTATCTAAAGTTTTTAAGGCTCATTTCATTATCTTGGTTTGCCTAAATCGCTTGAATTTACTGTGAACTGTATTTAATTAGAATTGCGTTCTATTACCCCATTTAAAAACCTTCTACCCTATCACTAACATGTTTATTTTACTCTGTATTTAGTTGCAAGTCTGCTTGGTAGATGTATTACATCACGAGCTGTGACAGAGTCTCTGCCCAACAAACGTAAGTTATTGTTTTATCATTTTAAAAATACATAGACGATATTTGAGTCGCGCCATGACAAAACATAAACATAATGGGTTTGCGACCAGCATGGATCCAAACCATCCGCGCAGTCTGATCAGGATCTATGCTGTTCGCTTTCAGTTTCTCTACTTGTTAAAGGGTTTGTAAGCAAACAGCATGGATCCTGATCGGATTGCGCGGATGCACAGGCTTGTCTGGATCCATGCTGGTCGCAAATGCACTGTTGGTTTTGTCGTGACGCGGCTCAAATATTCAAACCTCCTTTCATGCCATTTCAATTTCAGCAGTCATATATAAAGTGTTTGAAATTTGACATGTCTTAAGGTATCCATTTTTTTGCAAGACGTAAAAATAATTAACATATTTAAGTTTTAAAAGCTTACTTAAACTGTGCAGATTTAAATAACTGCTTAAAAACGTACAGTAAAACTTGTTAACAACGACCATCAAACGCAAAGCCGAATAATGGTCATTTAGACAAGTTGTCTTGATCTGGTGGTTTCTTTATTCCATCTCAGCGGTAAAGAGTTAACAAAAGATGACCTTTATTTACAGGGTTTTCTTTATCTAAAATAATTACATTTATAAGATTCTGCAAAATATTTTTTTTTGATAACAAAATTATTTATGTTGACATACCATTGATGTACGATTTTGTGTACCTTACAGCTAAAAACAAATTCCTGACTGTTGCTTGTCCGCTTATATTGGAAGCGGTTGAATCTGTAAGTATATTTCTATTTGTTTTAGTTCCTTGTCTTAGATCTTGTTTTAAATCTTTTCGACACTTTAAAGGGACTCCACTGAGAGATTTTTGTCACGGCGTGACTTAAACATAATTTAACTATATACCATTTGACTTTGCATCAATGTGTACAAAATTTTAAGAATTTGTTCCTTTTCTATTTTTCTCGGAATAATTATTGTTCAAAATAACTAAAAATGTAAAGCGTTTAAACGTTTTAAACTGGGCTAAATTTTAAAACTGGGCTAATTTTCGCACTATATACCGGCTTAAGATTGAATTCTGGGCATTATTCTCTATCATATCATCATTTACCCTCGTGCAGCTGCGCAACGGTAATTTTAATGTTTTAGGCTTTTGGAAATCGATGGAGTTTCTTTAACATATTGGGGATATAATTAATTCTACTTTTTAAAGAAAACTTTTTTAATATTTGAAGAAATATTTTAAGCTGCAGGATTCCAAATGAGCCAGAATATAAAAATAATCGAAACTGTAGAAAAATATACTTATATTGTAAAAAAAGATTGAAATCAAAATATCATGTTGGATTCATAAAACTGATTTTGCAGAACTTTTCACCATGTGGTTACTGCGTCAGTTTTTTGTTTGTTTTTTGTTTTTTTTGCTCATTTGTTTGAATTGCAAGAGACATTTGCAATGTGTAAATTACTTTATTTGTCCATTAAACAATATTTTATTGTTAAATTATATATACGAGATTTTCATAAAAATAGCACGAATCTGCAGTCATGCTGCTTGTGTCACACTCGCTACCCTTGGAGCGTTTCCAACCTGTTTTTCCGTTTCCAACCTGTTTCTCCGAACAGAGTTTTCGACAATATTTAGAGCTATGTTAAGTGAAAGTCCAAAAGTTTGATTAAGAGGCGTAGAGGCGGAGTGGTTGAATGTCGTTCTCTTTTAACCACTTGCCCCGATCGCTGTATGTTCGAATCCTACCAGGTAAATACTATTTCATGTGAAAACGTCATAGGTTCTTCTACTCAGGTGGCTGCTTGTGCTGAAATCATGTACAGATGGGCAACTTAGGTCTTCTTCCACAACAGTAAAGCATGAACCACGCTATATGATCTAAGTGCGTGGTGAAACCTAATCCAACCCCTACAACAGAAGACAAAAATGCGTTGGATATTCATACAGTTTTCTATAATAAAGTATGCGGTTTCTATCATGTTTCAACATTCTACTTTCTTATACATGCATATTAACAGAAGTCGAAAGAGAAAGTGAAAGATGAAATACGGGACTTTGGTCGAAAGAATTTTGGTCTTTTACAGTGTAAGTAGTTCAATTTCTTTCAATCTGAAATGAGCCGCGTCACGACAAAACCAACATAATGGGTTTGCGACCATCATGGATCCAGACCAGCATGCGCATCCGCGCAATCTGATCAGGATCCATGCTGTTCGCCGTCAGTTTTTCTACTTGTCATAGGGTCGAACAGCATGGATCCTGATCAGACTGCGAGGATGCGCAGGCTGGTCTGGATCCATGCTGGTCGCAAACTCATTATGTTGGTTTTGTCGTGACGCGGCTCAAATGTTTTGTTTATTCGGGTTACTTATGTAAAATAACAAGTCTCTGAGCATCCCGAGAACTGAAACAGGCTTGCTTATACGCAACAGGTTTTTTTCCCATAACAATGTAATACATGATCAGTGGACAGGGGAGAGAAACAGAATAATAAACTTTTAAATGAGATTTAACATTTTTAGCTCGACTTTTCTTTTTGAAAAAAAAAGTAGAGGTATTGTTAGTCAGGTCGGCGTTGCCGTTGCCGTTGCCGTTCCCGTCCGCAAACTTGTACCTGGATCATAACTTTTTTTATTTCTTGGTGTATTGTCTTCATACTTGGCCACAACAACCCTCGGGACAAGACCTTTCAGTAGACCACACTAACCTTGACCTTCATCCATAAATGACCTTTACCTTCAAGGTTAAAAGTCCAATTTTTGCTTGTTCATGCTGTTATTGGCTGTAACTTTGTTATTTTTGAATGGATTGTCTTCAAACTTGAACATAATAATATTCAAGGATATCCCTTAAAAATAACCAGCCAGACCTTGACCTTCACTCATAAATGACCTTGATTTTGAAGGTCAAATTATTGAAATTTTCATTTTTTTGGCTATTATTGGCTGTAACTTTGTTATTTTTGAAAGGATTGTCTTCAAACTTGAACATAATAATATTCAAGGATATCCCTTAAAAATAACTAGACAGACCTTGACCTTCAGTCATAAATGACCTTGACTTTGAAGGCCAAATTATTGAACATTCATTTTTTTTGGCTATAATTGGCTGTAACTTTGTTATTTTTGAATGGATTGTCTTGAATTGCGTCACGATTCTATTTCTACCCGCATCGACAATATTCTTTTAAGTGTGACTGGGGAACCAGTTATATTTATAAAAATTGTAAACCAGACAACGCACTTCCGTTGTTTTAAAACATGGCGGCTGCGAAATCTTGTAGTATTTTTATACAAATTAAATTTTTTTTAAAGAAATTAAAAATCAAAAACAGTTGTGGAACCGAGTGCCTATGATTTCATTCTCAAAGGCTATTTGACACGAATTTGTCATGCACACTATTGAAACAATTTTTGTGCCAAAATGTTATATACAGACAGACTGTTGTAGGTCATTAATAACTCATTCGTATAGACACTTGTTCTTCCAAATGAAAATCTAATTCTTTAAATAACCAAACATTTTGTGTGCAGGTGTGAACCTTCTTGCTGAAAGGGACAATGTTGAAGCCATAACAAAATCAAAGAATTCTCGACGATACAAGCAAGCAGGTAAAGCACGTGATTACACGAACTCTTACATACAGTAGTTTGATACAATTAAGTAGTTTAAATTCATAGCAATTTAGTGAAGAGTAAACCGGTTTTTCTGACCAAAATGATCTAAAAATATACTGACACTGTTGTTACTATACTTTGATGATTAAAATAATTCTATAATGTTTTAAAATCGAAATAATAACAGGATTGTTTTGAAATAATTATATTGTTTTGAAATCATCATAAGTTTTACAATCCGGATAAAGTCACTTATGGTTTGAAAGAGAACATGGATTTAAGCGTCATGTTAACTATTGATAATATTCTCACGTTAAAACTTATTACTTTTAGTGTTTATTGCTGCGTTTGTTTTTCACGCATATGACGTCAGTGTGTTAGTGTAGGCGATGGTCTGTCCGTCCACCGTCTGTTAGCGGTTTAGTTTCCGGTCTGTATCTTTTGAAATGGTTGAAGGAAATAAAAAAAACTACTTTGCAGAAATGTTAAACATAATTAGATCTTGTGCACCGCGCATGTATCTTCCTTTGGTCAAGATCATACTTAATTGTTAACTTAGAATTAACATTCGGGCTTATATTGCCACGACTTGCTCTTGTTTAGCTTTTTTTTCGGTAAATGCTTAACAGTTGTTTATATCTGGAGATATGTTCTCGTCTGTGTTAAGCGACCATTTTCCCCTTGCGATTTCTTGATGGTCTTAATTGAATTTGGAATTTCACAATGTCATTTCAGGACTGAGAGCTGAAACTACAACGCCATGGCCAATGGACGAAATGTCGAAAGTTCTGTTTCAAGAGTCGATAGACCTATATGATTTGTGTCTGCAGACAATTGCCAACACTAGTCAATCTCCCGAGTACTTGGAGGCAAGAACGAACCCTGAAAAGCGTCTTATTGTCACTCTCGGGCTTGCCCTTGTTGTTGGAGCAGCACAGGTAAGCCTCATTGTTTGTTGCAATCTTTAACATAATAAGTCATCTTGTTCTACGAATCTCGTGCTATTTACATACAATAATTTAGGTATTTAAAACAGTGCTAGCAACATACAGATGGCAGATAATTTGATCTATAGCCTTTGACCTTATAGCCTTATAGCCTTTGACCTTATAGCCTTTAAAACTGACTATCTGACCGAAATACCAGTTTATGCCCGTTTATGCCCGTTATCAGTTTTATTCGCGCAATTGGCTTTGTCGTCCAATATCTTTTAAACATTAAATGCCTAAAAGATGCTTGACAACTCGCTTGTATCCATATTTTCAAACTAACCACAAAAGTTGTAATTAATCCCCTTCCGCGGAATAGGCTTTGTCTGTCAGTCCGTCTGTCCGCCAGTCCGTCTGTCAGTCCGTAACACGTTCGTGTCCGCTCCATAACTTTTAAAACTGCCATTTTTTTATGTCCCCGCCATGTAATGGCCGGGGCATGTAGTGTTACCCTGTTCCGTCATTCCATCCTTCCGTCCTTCCGTCATTGTGTCATTCCGTCATCATCAGTTTCCGTTCATTATCTTAAGAACGGTTGCACACATTCAACTCAAATTTGAAATATGGATATGTCATGACAAAATACAGGTCAAGTTCGAATTTGGTCATGGTTCGATGATTTTTGGCAGAGTTATGCCCCTTTTACTTTGAAAATGATAAGAAATTTCAGTTTCCGTTCATTATCTCCCCAACGGTACAACACATTCAACTCAAACTTGACATATGGATATGTCATGAGAAAATACAGGTCAAGTTTGAATTTGGTCATGGTTCGATGATTTTTTGCAGAGTTATGCCCCTTTTACTTTGAAAATAATATGAAATTTTCACTTTCCGTTCATTATCTCCCCAACGGTACAAAACATTCAACTCAAACTTGACATATGAATATGTCATGAGAAAATACAGGTCAAATTCGAATTTGGTTATGGTTCGATGATTTTTGGCAGAGTTATGCCCCTTTTACTTTGAAAATAATATGACATTTTCAGTTTCCATTCATTATCTCCCCAACGGTACAACACATTCAACTCAAACTTGACATATGGATGCGTCAAAGGAATGCGCAGGTCAAGTTCAAATTTGGTCATGGTTCAATGATTTTTGGCAGAGTTATGCCCCTTTCACTTTGAAAGTAATATGAAATTTTCAGTTTCCGTTTATTATCTTCCCAATGGTACAACACATTCAACTCAAATTTGACATATGGATATGTTTTTGGAATGCCGAGGCCAAGTTCGAATTTGGTCATGGTTCAATGATTTTTGGCAGAGTAATGCCCCTTTCACTTTGAAAATAATATGAAATTTACAGTGTCTGTTCATTATCTACCCAACAGTGTTACATATTCAACTTAAATTTGACATATGGATATGTCAAAGGAATGGGCAGGTCAAGTTGGAATTTGCAGAGTTATGTCCCTTTCACTTTGAAAATAATATAGATACATCTTAGGAATAAGCAGTTTAAGTTTGAATTTGGTTGTGGTTCAATGATTTTAGACAAACTTATCTTTCCTGAATGTTGGAAAAATTTTGAACTTTCAGTTTCAGCACATTATTTTGGCTACAAATATGCAATATGCTATTTTTAAAAGGTTAAGACTGAATAATTTCAGTGCCTTGAACATTGTATGAAAATGGTTTGTGTTAACATTGAAAAGTTTTAAGGGCTTTGAACTTAAAAATGAAAAAAATAATTAATGCAGCATCTGAAATTTTGGCTGCATGCGGGGGCATCCGTGGCATGATGACACATTTCTAGTTTCCAAAGAACTTGGCACAAGTGATCGCCATGATAAAATTGTGCAGAGCGCAACTATTGGGTTGCTACGCCAAAGGTCAAGGTCACACTGTAAGGTCAAATGTTAAGTCTTCATTTCATAATTAAAAATTCGTCATTCCGTATCTGCTCCATACCGTCATATATATAAGGCCATACTATCATTTTTGTACTAATTTAATATCGCATAGCTACATGTAATTCACATCTTTTTTTTTCAGTGTAGCCACCCGTCGAGCGTTATAAAGCAATGTATAATTTTCATCTAATTTTTATATTGTTGTAACAGATTTAAGCCCTTAACTTTTAAGCAACACCCCCCCCCCCCCCACAGATACTTGGAACAGGGTTTCGCCTGACCTTAACCTTGTGACTCCCATAATGGACCATATAAGGCATGTTCAATCTAAATATAAAAAGTATCAACATATTAGATTAGAGTGTTATAGTAAGCAAATATTTAGAAATCCATTATTGGCAACCAGTGACTTTGACCCACTAACCCTAAATCAATCTAAAGGAAGACAATGCAAATATCTTCCTGCCAAATATGAAAGAAAATCTATCGTTAAATACAAGTTCTATTGGCAAAAGTGTAAAATAAACAATTGTTGGCATTTGTGACCAAACTTTATCTCTAGCTAAATCCTAGCTAAGAACCTACGTGGTCATCGACCTACCTTGATAAATAAAAGCTGTTTAAGCAAATGTTAAATCATTCATCGGGACGCATAACCTTGTCCCCAAAAACCCTATCCAAAGAAAGACAGTGCAGGTTCTTCCTACCAAATATGAAAAACATCTCTTTAAAAAGTTGTTTGGGGGTGTATAAAAATCTATGTTTAGCACTTGCGAGTTTGATCTAAGTGTACTAACATTCCAAAGGTAGACTGCTTATTCTATGTTCCTTCCAAATATGACATCTGTCAAAAGAAATATACATGTAAAAGTGAAAAAACATGTTTTGACATCGGTGACCTTGACCTAAATATTTGACACTTTACTAAACCCAAGGGAAGAGTACCTACATAGGCATGTCAGTCTTGAACATGAAATACATAAACTAAAAATAAAAGGTTGAATAAAAATGTATAAATCTATTTAACTTTGACCATAGCCCTAGTGTCTCCTTACTCCACTTGTATCATAGTTGGGGGACTTTTCTGTTGAAAATGCGTCAGAGTTAAATCTTATACATATACATGCACAGTGCGGTAACTGGAGTGCAGGTATCAGTTACCCGCACTCCAGATAATGCCAGTTGATTGGTTCATTTTTGCTGGGGTTTACATATTGTAACGGCAGAGAAAGGGAAAGGGGCAGAAATGTCATATTCAAATGCTCGTTCATTGGTTCATTTTTTTCTGGGGTTTCGTATTATGACAACAGGGAACATGCTGTCATGTTTGACTATGATACAAAAGAGAAAGAACACCAAAACACTCGGCAATCTGATTTATACTCGGGGGCTACGCCCTCTCGTACAAATCAGATAGCCTCGTGTTTCGGTGCTCTTTCTATTACAAAGTTGGATCATTTAAGGTATCTACCAACCAAATATGGAAGATATCTCAAATTTAATGAAGTAATAAGGGGAAATTTGTAATAAGGGGAAATTTATAATATATATATATTTAACTTGCCGGACTATGTTAACCATACAAGGCCCTATTTTCATTGATAAAAAGGGAAATAACATGAAAGTATTTATGACACAGCTATATAACTTGGCAACTACCTGTTGTATGTATTGATAAGTATGGACATTATGAAGCCATAAGTGCAGATAGAACATAAGTATACCTACCTTGCCTGTTTATGTTAACCATATCAATATTGTAACCGCTGAAAATAGCAATACCGGTAACTTTCACAGATCATGTACTCTCGATTAGCGTAGAACTTTAGAAAATCCAGCTTGCCATTTAAGGTTAACCACGGACAGATGGACTGACAGTTCAATACCTGTTTCTGGCTGGGGGGAGGGGGTTAAAAACTGCAAATGACGAATCCGATAAGAATATTTTTATCTACTGTATTACATTAGTGTCATCCGACGGTTTTCATCGCGCGAAGGGCCATGATGAAAAATACTGTAGATTTTTTCTCTCCCCAGTATAAAAGAGTTTGGTGGTCAATATTACTGATACCAAGACTGAAAAATGTTTCCCGACCATATACTTTATTATATATCCAGCATATGTAGAAACCTCGCCTGGTAGTTCTTTTAGCCATATGGTAATGATCAGGGCCATTATTACAAAATTGAAAAACGGTAACATGTTGACATATCGGCGTTTGTTGCCACCTCGCTTGGTCATAAGGTCAAGCTCAATGTCTTTACTAAAATGGGAAAACAAAATGATTATATAAATGTAAGTTTGTCAGGTAACATAATTTGATGGTAATGTAATCAACTTGTCATACTTGATTGCCCCAAAACTGATGCACGTTGTTCTCGGAATTAAAATAATTGAAACACTTTCTTTTGTTCATTTTTCTGTTCATTTTTTGGTTATCTGTTGTAAACATCAATTTTTAAAAGACAGTCTTTAGGCCATGCATTTTGTCACATTGATTAATTTTTTTTTAATTAAGCGTTCATAGTTTTATTTATTTTATTAAGGCTTAGAATTCTAAAACAACCGGACAAAAGGTTAGAATTCTGGTATTGCTTGAAAATACAAATTAATCTGTATAATATATATAAAAACATATAAACAAATGTTTGATTTTTTTTATCATTTCAGGTATATCAAGCGGGATAAAAGAAACCTTGTTTTATCGAAGGTATCGAGTGCCATCTTGTTATTTTTGACTATTTTATTTTAACTTTTTTATTGTTATTTTAATTTTTTTTATTGTTAATGAGTTGTTAATGAGAAATATCATTAAATTTTGCTTAAAAGTACATCTGGTTTTCTTTGTATACACTATAGACAAACCGCAGGACATGCATTTCTATGCAGGTTGCCAAATGACTATTTAACACTCAATTAATTAGCATTTTAGCCAACAACACTCAATTAATAAGCATTTAAGCCTGACTATTTAAAGAATAATGAGGCTATGCAACTCGCTTAGCGTCGGCCTCAGCGTAACATTTGGTTGTCTTACTTCCTACAACATATGAACCGCGTCATGACAAAACCAACATAATGGGTCCGCGCAGTCTGATCAGGATCCATGCTGTTCGCTTTCAAACTCTATAACAAGTAGAGAAACTGATAGCGAACAGCATGGATCCTGATCAGACTGCGATGATGCGCAGGCTGGTCTGGATCCATGCTGGTCGCAAACCTATTATGTTGGTTTTGTCGTGGCGCGGCTCAATTATGAACACCACTAATATTTATTTGCCTGTAGCTGCACACTATTTGAGAGCACAAGTCGCTGTTCAAGGCTTCAAGGGATTATTATTTGAGGACATATAGACCTTTTCGAACTTTGAAAATACTTGTAAAAGTGTTGGACCTTTCCGAACTTTGAAAAATCTTCGTAAAGTTTTGTTGCATGTAATAGATATGTCTTACAGAAAAGTATACGCTAAAAATACGTGATTATAATTACTGACCCATACCTCGGAAATGGATTCTAACAATTTAATGACCTACCCTTTTACACACAGAAAAGTTTTTCGTGTTTATTTTCGAGCCTACCAATGATGGCAGAAAGTCTGAAAACTTGATAGTATTCTGACAAAATCGTCGCTCAAATACCAGACTGCACTATAAATGGAACGATTAACTGCATTTCCAAAATTTATTTATTCTAAATCTAGTCCGTTGTGTCACGGTGTTCCTAATAACATTGTATTCTTTTATTAGGAGAAAATATTTTAAAAAGTACGTCTGTTGTATAAAAGCAACTATTTTGTTATCTTGACTTTTGCATTTCTTCTGCCATCGGCAGCCTTGGAAATATACTTTGTTGCAAAACAAAAGAAAAGTAAAACCAGATTGTAATACGTGCGCACGCACTGACATCAAAATACATATCGAGGTACAATAAAATACAAAGCTGCAAAAAGCCTACACATTGATCCCCCTATGTTCCCCCTATTTGAACCGTCTGCGAGGAGTGATGAAGCTGTTGGGAGTTGTTCGTTCTTTACTGCCCTCACACATACCTCGCGACCTTACTGCGACCTTGCTACGACCCAGGACGCAGCACAGTCGCCATGGACGCAGCAGGGACGCAGCGAGGTCGTAGCGAGGAACCCATGGACGCACAAGGTCGCAGACCTTCGGCGACTATTTTGAACATGCACAAAACAGTCGCAGAAACTCTGCGTTCTTGCTGAGTCCTGGTTAGGTCGCAAGAACGTAGTAGGGTCGTCGTACAGTCGCAGGACAGTCGCCGGACAAACGCAATAGTCGTCGTAGAGTCGCCGTAAGGACGCAGAGAACATAGCACAGTCGCAGCTGGGTCGCCGATGATCGCCGTGGGGTCGCCTTGGGGACGCAATACAGTCGCTGTGGAAACGCCATGGACGTAGAAGGGTCGTATTGAGGACATAGAGAAAACGTACTGAACACAAGACTGCAGAGTCCCGAACGTCTGCGAGAGAGATTTTCTGCGAGAGAAATTTGGAAATTTGAAAGAAAACCAACGATTTTCGAAAGAAAAATGCTATTTTACTATTTTTCAGGTCGCAGTAAGGTCGTGGTTTATGTGTGAGGGCAGCATAATTTTCTTTATTCAAACTGATATCTTTCAATATTTATGAGCGCTCGACTGCTCAAGAAAACATTTCAATTTTGATTCGTACAGTGCTTGTGGGTTTTTCTGCATTACTTGTTATATCAATTGTAACTTTTTTTCAATTAAACATTGAAACTATGGCGCCACCCCTGAAAAAATACGAAAGAAAAAGAGGAAAAATAATTCACCCTAACCTCCTTTGGAGAAACCCAAACAACACCAACAAAACAGCCAATAAGACTTGTTTCTAGTTACTGTTTGGTTAAACTGTTTGGCCCTACAATCGTTAGTTTACGGGAAGTTTTTTGCTAGTTTACGCTTGGGATTATCATATTGTAGATCTCTGTATTGAATACTGCTCGAGAATTGTGATCACGTATTTTCAGACAAACCTATTCATGCTCCCAAAAGGGTGAGCATATAGTCGCCGCTTTGTCCGTCATTCCGCTTTTGTTGTCCGGGACATAACTTTGAAACAAAAAGAAGTATCGACATGAAATTTTGTAAGTAGATAGATCTCATTAAGTAGGTGTGCAGTGCACAAAAACCGTTACTCTGCCTTGCCTAATTTTTGAATTTTTGCCCTTTGTTTATTTTTTGCAATTTGAACTTTGTCTGGGACATAACTCTAAAACTATGAGTTATCAACATGAAACTTTGCAGATAGATGTCATTGAGTAGGTTTGCAGTGCACAAGAACCATAACTCTGTCTTGCTTAATTTTGGAGTTACTGCCCACTATACCACTAATGCAATTTCAATGAAACTTTACAGGATTGATCTGTAGCTCAAGTCCTTGCGCATATTGCAACGGTTTTCCGGTTGAATGATTTTTGGCCGAGTTATGGCCCTTTGATAAAAAGGTGTTTTTTTTCTGTGTGTTGCCAGATACACAAAAGCTTGTCCGGACTACTCCTCATAAACTACTGGTGCAATTTCATCCAAACTTTACAGGAATGATCAGTACCAAGTCTAGTTTATATATTGTCAGCATTTTCCGGTTCAATGTTTTTCGTCAGAGTTATGGCCCTTTAATAATTTTTATTTTTAAAGTTTGTCCGGACTGGTTCTCTTATACCATGCAATTTCAATGAAACTTTACAGGATTGATCTGTAGCTCAAGTCCTTGCGCATATTGCACGGGTTTTCAGTTTCTCTACTTGTAATAGAAATGGTAAGCGAACAGCATGGATCCTGATCAGACTGCGCGGATGCGCAGGCTGGTCTGGATCCATGCTGGTCGCAAACCCATTATGTTGGTTTTTTTGTCGTGACGCGGCTCATTTTTATGGAAGACATGGAAGAGTAATGAAAAACTAAATGTTTGCTATAATTGATTTGTTTTGGAACAATTTCCAGCAGTAAGTTGTTTCTTTGGTTTTGTTTTATCGATTTATTGCGGGTTGGTACAATGACATGGTTTGGAATTTGTATGGATCCAGACCAGCCTGCGCATCCGCGCAGTCTGATCAGGATCCCTGCTGTTCGCTTACTAACTCTATTACAAGTTGAGAAACTGACAGCGAACAGCATTGATCCTGGTCAGACTGCGCGAATCCTATGTAGGAAATTAAATCTATTTCTATTTTCATAATATTTATGTTTCCAAAATTATTTTTTATTTTAGTTCATATCTAACACCTAACGGTCTTGAAACATTAGCAAAAACGTGTTTACTTTTTGAAATAAATGTAAAAATTGAAAAAATTCATATCGTCAAAAATCTTGACGATGGCAGAGATCTAATCCTGTAAGGGGAGATCATTGCGTAGGAGATTGATAAAACTCCTCGCAGCGGTTACTTCCCTTATAAGTACACTTGGAATTGTTGACGATACGTAGATACATATATGATACATTTAAAATGGCTAAAACATACGCACGCACGAACGTACGCGTGTATGGCAGTAAATATACGTTCAATCTGAATACCATTAAAGATATACTATGCTCATCTTTGAGTAAAATATTCTTATCACAGACTTTTATTGAAATCCATGAAATCCTTACTGAATGTTTTTAATTTGAGTAAAAAAGTGTTCAAATTTGGTATTAAAAGCTGCATTCCCTATTAACGGTCAAGTGAAGTTGGTTAGTCTTTTCTTAAAAAAAATATACCAGTTTTTTTTTAGCTCACCTGAGCTAGCTCAGGGTGAGCTTTTAGGATCGTTGAATGTCCGTCGTCCGTCCACACTTGTTCGTTAACACTCTAGCGGTCACATTTTTTACTTGATCATCATCAAACTTAATCAGGATGCCTATCTAGGCAATTGCTCGAACGAGTTCGAATATGGGTAATCTCGGATGAAAAACTAGGTCACAGGAGCTAAAAAATAGAAAAACCTTGTTAACACTCTAGTGGTCACATTTTGACCACTCACCTGTCGTGAAACTTGGTGAGAATTCTTGTTTAGGAAATTGCTCAGATGAGTTCGATGGGTCAGGTGAGCGATCTAGGGCCATCTTTGCCTTCTTGTTTAATGACAGTATATATTCATATTGTGGTCGACGGTTTAAATAAGTTTTAAACAATCGAATATATAAAATTGGTATGTTTTCAATCGGTTTTTACATAGATATATATCTATATATCTACACATTTATCTATGTAAAAAAACATTGAAAAAATAACAATTATATAAAATATTATTATGGTCTTCCAAATGTATTACTTATACAACTTTGTCAAAACTTCTATTTGTTTTATTCTATTTTCCTCATTATGTACTTATATGTACAAGAGAGAAAAGTAGTATGTTCTTTTGTTCTGTCTATCTAACAACAGTATCAAAATTTGAGGTTTTTTTTATATTTATTTCAATTGTCTGACATGATAAATGTTATGCATCAATTCTTATATCAGTTAATTTAGGCAATTGCACGAGAAAGCACGTGAATCTATCACGCTCGTATAAAATGATGACAAGTCATGTTGATTTGTTTGACATGACAGGAAAATATTATATATATAAATGTATATGTGTGTATGTGTGCTCGTGATGCAAACATGAGGTTAAGAAAACAGGTTATTATAAAACCGGAATTTTTGACAGCATTTCAGTATACGTTTATCATTTTTCTGACAAAATATATAAATTCCCATATATATGGTTTCTTTGCTTTAATATTTATAACTGAAACGGACGAAAATGAAATGAAAGAGAAAAAGACTAAAAAAGACACACATACTGATACAAAGAGAGACAAAGAGAATGAAATGAAATATTTATATGTTTCGCAATATTTTACGTTGAAGCTGTTCAGTGATAACCGCTGGGGATGATTTCTAAACAAAATAAGAATTTAATCTGGCCAACTATTAAAATTTGTAATTGCTTAAAGACAGATTTCAGAACAATTGAGCCGCGTCACGACAAAACCAACATAATGGTTTTGCGACCAGCATGGATCCAGACCAGCCTGCGCCTCCGCACAGTCTGATCAGGGCTTACCAACTCTATTACAAGTACAGACACTGATAGCGAACAGCATGGATCCTGATCAGACTGCGCGGATTCGCAGGCTGGTCTGGATCCATGCTGGTCGCAAACCCATTAAGTTGGTTTGTCGTGACGCGGCTCAGATATAGTGTATAATTTTGAGATGAGGTCGAAACGTGTGTTTTAAGTCTGCCTTATATCGCCGATGTTCGTTAAGTTGACAGTCTAACAGACTTAAGTAAACAAAGAATATTACAAACATGAAAACGGTCGGAAATGCATTACATTGTACAACTTCTTCCTTAGATCACTAGACGATTATTTTCACTATGATGATCTTTATGTTAAACTTTAAAGTTTTTATTCTGACGCTTCTAAATTCGTGACACGCATTATGTACACGTAATAAGCGCTTAATGACCTAAAGAAGTGCTTATAATGCGTTTCTGACAGTATTCATGTTTGTAATATTCTCAAGGCTGCTAAACTGCCAGGCTGCCAACTTCGAATTTTCAGAACGAAAACTTGTATGTTCCGCATTTCAAAACGATTAAAAATTATGATATTAAAAATAGGCACAATGATCTAATAAAGTACTTTGAATGCGTTTCCAACCGTTTCCATGCCTGTTACAGTCTTTCCATTTTTTAGGCTTCTGAGTTGCTAGGCTACCAACTGCAAAAATATCTCATCGTGTTTGGATCTAATCACGATGTGCTATTGAATTCATTTTATACGGCACTTTACGGGAAATTGATGGACAGGTATGACTGTATTCTGTAGGTAAGGTATGACTGTATTCTGTAGGACAGGTATGACTGTATTCTGTAGTACAGGTCATTCTGTATTATTAAAGACAGGTATGACTATGACTTTATTCTGTAAGACAGGTATGACTGTATACTGTAGGACAGGTATAACTATATTCTTTAGGACAGGTATGACTGTATTCTGTAGGACAGTTATGACTGTATTCTGTAGGACAGTTATGACTGTATTCTGCAGGACAGGTATGACTGTATTCTGTAGGACAGGTATGACTGTGTTCTGTACGACATTTATGATGGTATTCTGCAGGACAGTTATGACTGTATTCTGTAGGACAGGTTTGACTGTGTTCAGTACGACATTTATGATGGTATTCTGTAGGACAGGTATGACTGTATTCTGTAGGACATTTATGATGGTATTCTGTAGGACAGGTATGACTGTATTCTGTAGGACAGGTATGACTGTGTTCTGTAAGACATTTATGATGGTATTCTGTAGGACAGGTATGACTGTATTCTGTAGGGCAGGTATGACTGTGTTCTGTACGATATTTATGATGGTATTCTGTAGGACAGGTATGACTGTATTCTGTAGGACAGGTATGACTGTGTTCTGTACGACATTTATGATGGTATTCTGCAGGACAGGTATGACTGTATTCTGTATTCTGTAGGACAGGTATGACTATATTCTGTAGGACAGGTATGATTATATTCTGTAGGACAGGTATGACTGTATTTTGTAGGACAGGTATGACTGTTTTCTGTAGGACAAGTATATCTTTAATCTGTTGGACATTTATGACTGTTTTCTGGGGGACAGGTATGACTGTATTCTGTAGGACAGGTATGACTGTATTCTGTAGGGCAGATGTGACTGTGTTTTGTAGGACAGGTATATCTGTATTCTGTAGGACAGGTGTGACTGTATTCTGTAGGACAGGTATGAGTTTAATCTGTAGGACAGGTATGACTATATTATGTGGGACAGTTATGACTTTATTCTTTATGACAGGTATGACTGTATTCTGTAGGACAGATGTGACTGCATTCTGTAAGACAGGTATAACTATTTTCTGAACAAGTATGACTATATTCTGTAGGACATTTATGACTGTTTTCTGAGGGACAGGTATGACTGTATTCTTTAGGACAGGTATGACTGTATCTGTAGGGCAGTTGTGACTGTATTCTGTAAGACAGGTATAACTATTTTGTGTAGGACAGGTGTGACTGTATTCTGTAGGACAGGTATGAGTTTATTCTGTAGGTCAGGTATGACAATATTCTGTCGGACAGGTATGACTCTATTCTGAAGGACAAGTGGACTGTATTATGTACGGCCATTATGACTGTATTCTGTAGGACAGGTATGACTTATTCTGTAGGCCAGGTATAACTGTATTCTATAGCACAGGTATGACTATATTCTGTGGGGCAGTTATGACTTTATTCTGTAGGACAGGTATGACTGTATTATGTAGGACAATTATGACTGTATTCTGTAGGACAGGTTTGACTATATTCTGTAAGACAGGTATGACTGTATTCTGTAGGACAGGTATGACTTTATTCTGTAGGAAGGTATGATTGTATTCTGTTAGACAGGTAAGACTATATTCTGTAGGACAGGTTGACTATATTCTGTAGGACAGGTATGACTGTATTCTGAAGGACAGGTATGTCTGTATTCTGTAGGACAGGTATGTCTGTATTTTGTAGGACAGGTATTACTGTATTTTTTAGGACAGGTATGTCTGTATTTTGTAGGACAGGTATATCGGTATTTTATAGGACAGGTATGTCTGTATTTTGTAGGACAGGTATGTCTGTTTTTTGTAGGACAGGTATGACTTTGTTCTGTAGGACAGATATGAATGCATTTTGTAGGACAGGTATGACTGTATTCTGTAGGACAGGTATGATTGCATTCTGTAGGACAGGTATGAATGCATTCTGTAGGTAAGGTATGACTGTATTCTGTAGGTAAGGTATTACTGTATTCAGTAGGATAGGTATGACTGTATTTTGTAGGACAGGTATGACTGTATTCAGTAGGACAGATATGACTATATTCTGTAGGTAAGGTATGACTGTATTCTGTAGGTAAGGTATGACTGTATTCAGTAGGACAGGTATGACTGTATTTTGTAGGACCTGTATGACTGTATTCTGTAGGACAGGTATGACTATATTCTGTAGGACAGGTATGACTTATTCTGTAGGACAGGTATGTCTGTATTATGTAGGACAGGTATGACTGTATTCTGTAAGACAGGTATGACTGTGTTTTGTAGGACAGGTATATCTGTATTCTGTAGGACAGGTATGACTGTATTCTGTAGGACAGGTATGAATGCATTCTGTAGGAAGGTATGACTGTATTCTGTAGGACAGGTATGAATGCATTCTGTAGGACAGGTATGACTATATTCTGTAGGACAGGTATGAATGCATTCTGTAGGACAGGTATGAATGCATTCTGTAGGACAGGTATGACTGTATTCTGTAGGACAGGTATGACTGTATTTTGTAGGACAGGTATGTCTGTATTTTGTAGGACAGGTGTGACTGTATTTTGTAGGACAGGTATGACTATATTCTGTAGGACAGGTATGACTTTTTTCTGTAGGACAGGTATGACTGTGTTTTCTAGGACAGGTATGACTGTATTGAAACATCTGCGTAGTACATTATTTTTAACTGTTTATTTGTTGAATAACTGCGGCTTTTTCTTGTCGTTTCAATTAATAAATGCTGCATTATGGAAAATGCCATGTTTAAATAATGACTACCTTCGAAACGTTAACATTTATATGGGGACTGTTGCATAACTAGTTATAGATTTATAAGACATGATTTCTGCATTTTAGTTAAGTTAGTATATACATTAGTATAAATTTAAGCTTCATACTAAAACCTTTGAAATGCTTCGTTTTCCTTCTTTCGTATATGCTGCTATGCAATTCAATGCTATTCGATGCTATTTTCTTGCGAGAAAAGGCTACCCTATGGAATGTGCTTACCTCTCATCGAGCCACATATTCTGTTACATCAGCAGAAACAAGCTGAGAACCTACTACTGTTTTTTTTTTCTTTTTTGAAAAATGCACTTACCGATAGGCGCTCATAACGCATGTCTGAAATCGATAAGTAACACCAAATTAGAAAACATACCTTCCCGGTCGTGAGACCCTTAATCTAGACCTCTCGATTTTGTTTCAATGGCTGTTAAATACTGAAAAATAGTATGAGAAAATTCGGTTCTGAACCTTTTCTGTGAAATATGTTGTGTTTACAATTTGAGTGCACCATACCTGAACTTTTCGTATTTTGAGACAGCCCTCTACATTTAGTTGCATATAAACGAACAAAGGTAAGAGTCTAGCACTCTTTCATAGGAATATTGGCCATTTCCTTTGGAGTCAGTGGTTTTTGTACGTAAAGTTTGGTAATAAATTCGTATTCAAGCAATAAGTAAGTACGTGTTATAAGCAATACTAGAATGCGGACTTCTTCTTGTAATAAGTTTTTTCTATATAGTTGTAAATATATGTTAAAGATCCTGTAACTCAATTTTTTTACGTTTTAATATCATTAATTTGATGCTCAATTGAAGATTTATCAATATTATAGGTTCCAAAAAGCATTATTTGTAAAGATATCACCGAATTTACATTTCATGTAAATAACGGGGTGTAATTAGAAATCTATTTTCGATAAAGTCTAAGTAAAAAATGAATCCATAGATTTTAATGATTACTTATAATGCGCATTAACATTTTCAGTACATATCAAACATATTCTTGGATGTTTGGAAATTGTTTCAGAAGAATAATTATATACATATATAAAATTTCACTTAAGTGTTGTTACATCCTTCATAACAACATACAGGGTTTTGAATATATAGGTTCAAACTGGTTCCTTGATAATGTCGGAATAAATATTTAATAATTAATGCATTTACATAAAAAAAAGAAATAGCAAAAGTGTCAAATTAAATGCAAACGAAAATAATTAAAAGTAACGGAAAAGAGTATAAAATCACAGTTAAAATGACTATTCAAAACAGAAATAAAAGGACGGACTATTAACTTTGTTATTTACATCAAACTGCATTTCATGTATTTTTCCTTGTAAACATTTAATTCCTAAGATATTCTATAAGAGGACTAATATACAATTAGTTAAATCGTTTATTACGTATGTTTTTTACTATAATATTCAATTTTGGGGCAATCAGATTTCAATTTTCTTAACAGAAAACTCCGTGATTGATTACAATGGTTTCCATTGGCGGACTGCTTGTTCTGTTGAGCATGCGCGTTGCAGCTGGACAGGGAGGTATGTTGATTTTTTATTTCTGTGAACATTAAAATGTATCAAGAAATGTATCTTAAAGGTCAATCATGCGTCAGTCAAAAACAAAATGTTGGTCTTGCTCAGAAGCTTGTGTGTGTGTGTGTGTGTTTTGTGCGTGCGTGCGTACGTGTGCGTGCCCAGTTATAGTTTCCAAAAAGTCACTCATTGGTCAATTACATGAACCATCTTTTCTTCTGTTGCTTATTTTTGGCAATTACTAGAAGTACAGTTATAATGACTAGTATTTCGTATTGAAGTCAAAATAATAGTTTGTCTTTTATGAGAAATAATTTCAAGCTCAGCGCTGCCTTTTCCCGATAATAATCAATGTAACATGCTTTAAAACCATTTTTAGAAGTTAGAAAATTTATTGTTGCCCTGTCTCTGTGGCATAACGTGTCTTTAAACTTAAATATATTACTACGATTTGCATTATTTAGCAATTTTTCATATGTTTATGAGCATGCAACGTTATCTATCAGTTACGCAGACCGACCCGAAAAAAAAAAACACACAAAATTGTCGAAAACTGCAATCAGCTCACTATAGAGCTGTACGAAACAAACATCCGGGCCATTTATAGAAAAGACTAACATATTCTAAATTAAACAAAACAAAAAGTAGAATGAATCATTACCCTTTACGTAATTTATTATGTTTTCGTAAATGTTATTTCAAAATAGAAATATATAATAAATCATAAAACTAATACAAATTTAAAGAAGATGCATATCTTTCTCAGATGGATGGATTATGAACATAACAAGTAACATATACGGGTTTCCATGGATACCGGCGGACAAGTTGTCGGACAGAAACTCTCCAAGATTCAAGGAGGCACAAAACTTCTTTTGCGGAAAAGTAATATCTACATGCATATTCTTGTAAATCATTTGTTATTGGTATCAAACGCACTTAGGTCCTTATTTTTTTATCATTTTCTTTGTCGCCTTTCATCTAAGCCGAATTCATTTGGTTGTGTCTAGTCGCGTGGCGTATCGTCGCAATCAGAGAAAAAAATGCATTTGTGTAGTGTATCGTTGCATGCGAACAATAAGACAAACTTACTTGTTTTCGCCTTATCACCTAATGTATCGTCGCTAGCAATAAGAGACAACAAGCCAAAACACACCGTATTACCGGCCGCAGTGATGGCAGATCACTGCAGTGATGGCAGATATCTGAAAATTACCGATCGATACAGGTAGGTTATTAATTTGGTTGGTTTAATTATATTACACAAATACGGCCCATTTCATTGCTATAAAACTATTGTCCATCCGACGGCAGCATTTATAACATGTATCTACCTACAACGGCAGCATTTTTTCTTCGACCGGACAAGATTGAGCGTCTGTAAAACTTTCAAGAAAAGACTCACGGGGTAGATATTTGGCTTGCGTGACCCCAATGGATGAACGTCTTTATTGATAACAGGAAATCCTGCCATTTTCTTAAAACTTGAGATATTTTGAACAGAAAACAGACATTTTCACGGATTTTTTCGAGGCTGTCACTTTTAATCTGCTCAAAATAGTCTTAAAACAGGAAAAAACGAGTCCAAAATTACCTTACTGTATCTCCATTCAATGGACAATAGTTTTATAGCAATGAAATGGGCCGTATTTGTGTAATATAATTAAACCAACCAAATTTATAACCTACCTGTATCGATCAGTAATTGTCAGATATCTGCCATCACTGCAGTGATCTGCCATCACTGCCGCCGGTAATACGGTGTGCAAATACTACGGTGTTCCGTTTGGACAATCGTGATTTTTATTAGTCTTTACCCGCGATGCACGATGGCACGATGGTGAAACGCGATGGCCTGGTACGATGGTGAAAAACACGGTGGCGCGATGGTACGATGGTGAAAACGCGATGGTACGATGGTGTAAACGCGATGTTTCATCGCGATAGCACGATGTTGAAAACGCGATTTCACCATGGTACCATTGCGTTTTTATCATCGTATCATCGTGTTTTCACCATCGTACCATCGCGTTTTCACCATCGTACCATCGTGCATCGCGGGTACAGACTAAATACAAAATCACGATTGTCCCAAACGGAACACCGTTTTCACCTTGATTGCCAAATACACTTGTGTTTTTTTTCTGGCCGTGCAGCGTATTGTGGCAAGAGAAAAAATGGCAGCAAGCCAAATAATTTTATTATTTACTATGTTGCGTGACGTAGTGTCGCAAGCTAAATGAGAAGCCACATTCACTTGATTTCACTAAAGACCGACACAAAAAAGTGATAAAATAAGCTACCATGTAATTATGCCAAAAACGTTGTCTTGGTCATTATTCATAAATTGTTTATAAGCAGATATCTTATATGTTTCTTCTCGTCTATTAATCATTAAAAGCTAATACATGTTTGTGAAATTTCATGTTTTATTTTTTTTTTTCAAAAAAAAAGAAGAAAAAAGCAATAAACATTATATGATTTATTACATTTTCTCTAAGAAAATTTGTCATCCCTAATTGCTACTGAGTCAAAATTACTTTTACTAATTCCCTATTCCAATATGCCATCGTTTGACACTTTCCGTTAAGTATGTCAAATATTTAAAAGTAATCGGTGTATATTTACGGATGTGACGAGTGAATTTTACACGTTATATGACCATATATGAGATCATTTTTAATCTGACATTTGTTGTTGTTGTTTTTATTATTTGCAGATAAACGAAATGTTTCGGTCAGAACCTGTTGTGGGGAATGCTGTAAAGGAAAGATATTACCGGTGTTTTATTTGTAATTTCAAGTAAGTGTTGTGCAGACCAAACGCTCGGCAAACTTCATCCCTTTTTGTTCCTCGAGTTCATTTGGAAGCTCTTAAAAGACATGGTTTATTGATTGCCCCTGACCATATAGACGTTTATTTTATGCAATAACAACGTTGTTATTTTTCATGATGATGATGATGATGATAAAGAAGGTGAAGATGAGATCTTGATGATTATGATGGACGTGATGATGAGTTCAGTAATAATGATGATCATGGTGATGATGACTTTAATGGTGATTGATGAGATGAGTTCGGGGTGATGATTATGATGATGATAATGATGATGATCATGATGATGATGATGATGATGATGATAGTGATGATGATGATGATGATGATGATGATGATGATGATGATGATTATGATGATGATGATGATGATGATGATAATTGAAAATTGCTAATAATAATAATTTTGATGATAATGGTGATTGAGGAGGTGAACAACATTATTTTAATGATGACTAGAATAAAGGTGTGATCATCATGATGATGTCAGGTGATGATGAAGGTGATACTAATTATTATTATTATTATTTTGATGATGATGGACATGGTGAGTTTTATAATGGCAAAGTTAATGACGATAGAGGCGACAATTGTTATTACTCTGATGTTAATAATGATAATTCAAGGTGACGACGTTGTTCATATGTGCCAAATTCATGACGGGTAGCTTTGTCCGTCGAAGCTATGCATCATTTTTGATGTCAATGTATGTTGTTGGCGAATAAAACTCCCGGGAGCTTTCATTTGTGTGTACTTCACGAATATAGCCCATGCGAATATAGCCCTTGCGGTTTATGCATACTCATATTATCTAATAGTTCATAATTATATGAATCTACAATTTATGTAAGACCATACATGTATATCCCGTATATGTTTTTGTATTTATCCACAGGCAAACAAATCTACATTTCGAAGCCCCTGTATCATTCACGTACTCCCTCGTTTTCAATGGCTCAGACCCAGTACCGAAGGCTGTCGTGGATGGACTTATAGCCAGCAACACGGAGATCTACCATTTTGGAAACAAAGTGTGGAATCTGATCGGTGATTGGTTAGTTAACCGTGTTGACGTCACGATGGTGAGCGTTAATATGTCAGATTATATAAAACAGAAGAAGCAAGAGAAGCAGAATCCTAACATAGGTAATGTCTTAACTTTCTGCATTGTTATCTAAAATCGTAACTAATGTAAAATGCATTTACCATTATTCCATTATATTCGAATATTCGAATTTTGAACATTCTACTTTTTTGAAAATTCGGTTAGTCTTCGGACTTTGATATCCGAAGAATATAATATTTAATTCAGATGTGCGGAAACAGATGAGAATTATCAGGAAAGTGATTAGACATGACTTTCGTCGGATAGCTACATGACTTTTTTGATAACATATTAATTCATGTAGGGATTTTTTTACATATTTCCTGAGGATGATATTTTAACTATTACCCACAGACCTTTGTGTTATAGTTTGTCTGTAACAGGCGTGTGCAGGAACCGTATCGTAAGACTGGTAGGCAAGAGCCGGTCTAAACATGTTAATTTGTTTCAAAATAGACATAAACTCGTCAATCATTTTACAATTTTCACGCATTTATGAATAATCATGCTATAGAGGACAATTTTCACCAACAACGAACGACGAGTATTATACACGTATATCACACGTTAATGTCATGTGTTATCAAAGTTTGATCTCTCTCTGAAAAGATTTCATCTCTGTCAAACATTCTGATCTTTATGCCCAAAGAGTAATCTCTACGGTTGAAATGACCGCAATAAGATAAATGAAACAGAATGTGACATCTATGACAAAAAAGCCGTATTTTAACATTGAACAAGTAGTGTAATGTTTAGTCAAATGGTCAATAGTCCTCCACGTATAACAGGTAATAAGTTTGACCAAATAGTAATGTGCGAGAACAAATGAGCCACGTCATGACAAAACCAACATAATAGGTTTGCGACCAGCATGGATCCAGACCAGCCTGCGCATCCACGCAGTCTGATCAGGATCCATGCTGTTCGCTTACAGACCCTATAACAAGTAGAGAAACTGATAGCGAACGGCATGGATCCTGATCAGACTGCGCGGATGCGCAGACTGGTCTGGATCCTTGCTGGTCGCAAACCCATTACGTTGGTTTTGTCATGGCGTGGCTCAAATATTGATACTTTTGTCTGATGGTATTGAATGCATTTTGATCATGTTGATAAAAAGTAACCTCTATAAACAAATGGTGACCTCACTGGTTTAGGACTGACCTCCATAAAGATGAGTCGATAACTGTTAGTGCAGAGTCAGTGTTGAAGGAAGAATAACATTTTAGACATGGTCACTTGTGTTTATTTGCAGAGATCGACATAGTTGTTTCAATACATGTTGATTTAGTCAACTTTACACTTACACCAGAACTGGCCGACCCGACCTCACCCGAGTTCACCAAGCTGGAGACGTCCGTTTGTAAGGTAAGTGTCCAAAACAAATTGAATCCCGAAATGTTTTTCCATCTCTGGGCTGTATAATTATTAAAATATAAAAAAAAACCTATCTTTAAAGACGCTATATTCATTTATGAAAGTATCTAAAAATATTAATAAACAGTTAATAGCAAATGCGTAAAACAAACCAACTCACTTACTTGTAATTATGATAATATTTTCATCAAACAAATTGAATATCAAGTTTGAACATTACAAATGTATTAGGTTAAACTTAATTTTACAATAGCTCATCTTAACCATTCGTCAGCCCGCTGCCTTGAACTGGCCAGTGCTGATGATGGTTGTGACACAAGCAGGGTTCGGACCAACAACCCCCGACTGTAACAATACAGCAAGTTTATTTATAAGAACAGAACAGAACATTAATTTTATTTTGGCTTATACATAGTACATACTCATACATAGTGTGATAAAACATTGATAGAAATGCATAAACAATACATTTTCAATACTAATTGAAATAATTAATACTAATACTAATACTAATTAATACTAATACTAAATATAAGCATGCCTTCTTGGCAAGTACGTGTATTTGAAAGACCATGCGTTGAAATTGTATATTTCCTTTTTATTTTAGGACATCTCTCAGGCTGTGCATGGAAGTTTCCCTTCCCACAAAGGCTGCGATGTCACGTCCATTGTGTGAGTGTGAAATATATATTTGTATTTTTCAATTTAAGATAGAAAATATACGTGTACATTACAGTGAAATACCATATGTAATATTTTCATGTCTGGCGTAAGTTGTTTTATGAGTGAAGTGGTTGATGCTATTTGATGTTTCAATAATTATAACTTTCGTGCGCGTATTAAAGCAGCATGCCTTCAAATTCATGTTGATGTTGTTTTCTTTCATGAACACTTTAAAAGTGTACTTTAGAGTGAAATAATATGAAATAAACAAGAAACATAATTTACTAATTGCAACCGGCGCTTACGATCCGCGTAATTTCCCAAAAGAGGTCAAAATATTAAAAATATAGTCCTTACTGAACTGCGTTAGGCACGAGTTACTTACGCAGTAGAAATATGGTAATATTTTCTGCAAAATCATTGAATCTTTTTACTTTTCTTAAAGCCTTAGTTCATTTTTGTAACACGTACATTTGTATACATAATCAGCTCTAAATTTATAATGGTCTTAACAGGTAGTGTTATTTCAGTGGCGTCTTTCTACAATTATATCTTAATAATTATGCTGTTTACAACTCACTTTGTTAATATTACTTAATGCTAAAATAATTGTTACTATTATACCCAATAAACAGAAATAATTCAGTGGCAGGAAGGATAATCATGACTATAAACCTAACATTTGGATGGGATCGTGAAGTTATCTACCCACACATGATTGCATCTTTGATCATAGAGAACGCCCCGAGACAAGTCGTTAACAATGAAATTGTTATCTCTATTGGTAATGTTCAGATCCTAGAACGATCCTTCATGAAAGCTGCAAACAGAGCCGTTCAAGACACACGAGATCGACCTGATAGTAAGAAAAAAAACATAAGAGCCGCGTCACGACAAAACCAACATAATGGGTTTGCGACCAGCATGGATCCAACCAGCCTGCGCATCCTCGCAGTCTGATCAGGATCCATGCTGTTTGCTAACAGACCCTATAACAAGTAAAGAAACTGATAGCGAACAGCATGGATCCTGATCAGACTGTATAGATCCATGCTAGTCGCAAACCCATTATGTAGGTCATGACGCGGCTAAATTAATAAAGCAATACATAATAAAAACAAATCATTTGTTCTTATTAATTTTAACAAATATATGGAAGCTTAATTGCGAAACAAGTTCTTGCAACTTATATGAATCACTGTCTAGTTGTCTCCTGGAACCAATCAGTACTGTTGTTATATATGAATCACTGTCTAGTTGTATCCTGGAACCAACCAGTACTGGTGTTATATATGAATCACTGTCTAGTTGTATCCTGGAACCAACCAGTACTGGTGTTATATATGAATCACTGTCTAGTTGTATCCTGGAACCAACCAGTACTTGTGTTATATATAAATCACTGTCTAGTTGTATCCTGGAACCAACAAGTACTTGTGTTATATATGAATCACTGTCTAGTTGTATCCTGGAACCAACCAGTACTGGTGTTATATATGAATCACTGTCTAGTTGTATCCTGGAACCAACCAGTACTTGTGTTATATATGAATCACTGTCTAGTTGTATCCTGGAACCAACCAGTACTTGTGTTATATATGAATCACTGTCTAGTTGTATCCTGGAACCAACCAGTACTGGTGTTACATGAGGAAACCTGGTCGTGGCACGAGTAGGGCTCGAACCCATAATCCCCTGGTATGTGAGGCAGACAACTTAACCCCCGGACTTCCGATTCTCTCACTGTTTTCTTTAGAACAAATTTTTTAA